AAATTTTTAACACCAAATTTATTCATATTATTTAGAGGAGTATACGCAATCTTTCCTTTCCCTCATCGTAGACTCAGAGTCCAACTCTTGGGAGTGATATCCCTTGAGCTAAAAGCGACCTGAGACTATGTCCTTCACTAACCTTTCTTAGTACTTTGGCTGTATTATGTTGGCTAATCCCAGCATAAGTGCTAAAAGAACTTAGAATTTTGTGAGGTACGTCGGTAGTTAGCACTGAGACTGCAAAGTTTTAGTGTTGGCACTCGTCAGCCTCGTTTTATTTATAATTTTAATTAATTATGCTTTTTATTTTATTAATTTGCTTTCTGCACTCAAGCACAATTTGTTAGTTTATTGCTTTCTGCATAAACCTTTGGATACTAATTATCGCTTTCCGTAATACTTATTAAAATATTGCCATGTGCCTTCTACACATAATTGGTTCTAAATTGCCTTTAGCAATTAAACTTATAAAATTCGTTTCATCTAAGTTAATTTCATTACTGATTTGAAGACTTTAGCTTAAATGAATTATACTTATTTTTTTTCGAATTGGATTATTAAAATCTTGTATTTACTTATTTTGAATTTGTATATTTGAATTTTTTAATCACTTGAAAGATTTAACTTTAATCTCCCCAAATAAGAAGAAGCAGGATAATAAGTGAACGAATTCTTGCTTCCGTGGTATAAATTTAACCTATGGAAATACAGGGTCCGAACATTTCAAAATAATAAACGTAAATATGTTACAGGTGATATATCAATTTATACCGTTGGCTTAACTTTTAATTCATCGATACAAGGTTAACGAATTTCCACTGCAATACTTAAGTCTTTTTCACCATTTTCATCTGTTTACAATAGATATTTTTAAATTTAGTTCGAAACTTTTTCCAGTACAGTATCGTACCAATCATGAGTGTAACAAGATTTATCTTACCACTAATCTTAGTCATCATTCTTCTGCTCCAAAACACAAATGCCGAAGGATACGAATTGGGTGCTCAACACTATGGCGACATGTTACTTGTAAGAAAGAGTTTGACAGCCGTAGGTGCAGGCCCCTACAGCGGACCAAATGGTGATCTCGACGAGACAAATATTTTTAGTGGCCGTAGTGGGAAAATCATTCATTTTCTAAAAGTCATTGACAATACCGATGATCATTGTGGTCGGGCTATACCGATCAATGGCGGACCTGGATCATCTTTCGTTGTGTTGCATTTCACTGCTAAAGTAACATGTCGAGTTAACTTTATTATTGAGTTATACGGACAGTAAATCTCATTATCTTCTATGGCGAATTTCACATTTACTACTTGAGGCTAGACATTATATAGTTGCTAACAATTGCTGTGATGAAAATTTTGAGTGATATATGTATTATTGATTTTAACTTTAAATAATAAAAGAATTATATCTTCTCATAACTAAATTTTCATTGAAATTCAAATTGAGCTCTACACCGACATCTACCGTTTTTGCACAAATTAAAAATAATATCGATTGGTAGTTATATTACCGATTGCCGATAAGTACCATTCCTTTAATGGAAATTATAAATGATAAGATAATCATATTTATGGCTATATAATTAGTTTTCTAAATCCTGATTGATTAAGTTCGTATGTATGTACCGCATATGCTCTCTACGTTCAAAAGTTAAAAATAGGAAAATAAATCTTTTGTTATGAATAAACTTTTATAAAAATAAGATCATTTCACCAAATGAGTTATGATAAATATTATTTCTTTCAAATTTACCTAAATATAATCAATAACTCTTTTTTTCTAATTCATAATATTTCATTCATTGCTACGTAGCTTTTTCTTATAATATATTTTAATGTGAAAGTTAAATTTGTAAAACTACTAATAGCAGGTGAGATTCGATTTTGATAAATTAGGATCTTAAATAATCACTTTCCCTTTCTTATACTGATAATTTTATGAGCTTCGCAAATTTCCAGATATTTTCAAAAATCTTTGAATAGTGTTCAATTAAGTGGGAGGCATGATAATGGTTATTATAATTTTGAGATTAAAAAAAAACTATAAAAAATTAATATGTACGCTCGTAACATTCGTGTTATTTTAGTCACATATATAATGGTTGTAATTTCATTGAAAACTAGCGACAAAATGTCTTCCATTTTCTTATACAAGAACGAGGGCGAATTCACTTTCGGTAAAAATAGATAAATTATTCATTCGACCCAAGACGACAGCATTTCAAAGTAGTATTTCAATTTCCTAAGTCTCTGTCGTCGTTATTTATAAAAATCATAAACGTCAGTTAACCTTTGCATTCTTCCCCGAAAAAAAGTCGAACGTTTACCTTCTCATTAAGATAAGGCAACGTCAAGAAATAAACCTTGGAAAGTCATAAATATACGAAAAGATCAAATACTTGCCTCTGCGGCAAATGTAAAGAATAAATTTCCGTTTTTCGCAAACTGCATTCCTCGTCTTTTTGCTTGTTTCTCATTCGCGGGCTCGTTCAATCTATTTGTCGTTTCGCTCACGAAATACAGCCATCATCGGAAGAAGTGGAGGAAAAAAAGGTGCAGTTATCGAATCATCATCCAGACGGCTCATTCAGCGTGGTAAAGCCTGCGCATATGTACACAGAGAAAGAAATGTCGTTAAAGCCCAAACAGGCGGAAGTATAACGGGCTCCCGCGCACACAAAAGAGTCCGAGTTTGAAATTCACTCGACTCTTCGTTTTCTACTTTCTGATTCGAGCTCCCGTGTGTCGACTTGTCCGCCCCCTTTTTACAGTATTTCCTTCATATTCGCTGGTAATTGGGTGGGAGAAAATAGAATTCTACAGGATTCTCTTTGAGCGTATCTAGATCATTGAAAATGATTGGGAATTCGGGCTATATTACGAGGCTGGTTCGAGCGTTTAGCGCAGCATTAAGACGAGCGCGTTGATATCTGGTCGGCGGGATATTCTAATTTTATGCATTCTCGGCCGACCCGCAGTCAATTTAGATACGGCAAGCTTGACTTTATATTCCGGTTGCATTTAGATAACCGTTGTACTAATGTAAACTTGTGTGAACACCGAGCTTTTGCATTTAATGAAGTGCTCACCTCAAGCGTTCAACCGAGTCGTCATCTTGCAGCTGCACGCGTCGAAAGAATCTCGCATTAAAAATGCTCGAAAGTCTGCTATTAAGCAAGGATGTAATCCCGTAAGTGAGAAATCTCGCCGAAAACGGCAGAAAAGAAAAAAGGCAGCACGTACGCATTCGCGATATAAGGGTCCAACAGCACACTGGAGGCAAATTAGTGGCGCTCTCACGTTACACTTCTGTCTTCCTCTTGTTTCGCCGATGCACGCAACAATGACGAAAATACACAATGATCTCTCGCCTATTTTCTCGCGTTTCGACGGAATCTCGAAAAGCTTAGAACTTTCATCCTAATCGACGCGAAGCTATATCATTCAATTACCTCTCGCCGACGAGCCTGTCGAGTGAGCATGCTCGTGCAAAATACGTCGTTGTGGGAAATTAGCTCGCAGAGACTGCCCGCCTTCTTTCCGTCTTTCTTAATTATTCGGGCTCCGGCGAAGTCGCAGTCGATTACGGGATTATTGTGGGTCAGGCCGACGCGTCGGTTCATTACTTTTCTTTTGTTTTTTCGTTTTCTTTTTTTTGCTTTATTTCTCCGGCGCTACCGTTTGTCGGGATGCCAATAAAAGGCCTCTCCCGCGATCCGAGATGCAGAAAAAGAAGGGGATTCATTCTGCATGATTAATTTTTTTGAAACGAAAACAAAACGAGGTATATTATGATTGACACATTAAAAAAGAAACGTAAGCGACGTTGCGTTCTTAAAAGTAGCCGAGAAATTTCTTTGTTGTAGAAAATTTTGCAGTCCAACGTTCAGCTTGAATATTTTACGATATATAAATAAAAGTATTGTCGCATTGTATCCAGAGCAACAAAGAATTATAACGAGTGAGCTGCCATATCCAAAACGTACATATAATTGGCACAGAGAACGAAGTGAATACGTATATACATAAATTGACAGGTAGCACATACGAATGAAAGTCATCGAGTCGACGCGTGAAGATTTCAACGCCAGGCAAAGGCATGATACAATTGACGGTCGCGCGGCACAGAAAGATCGATGAAATTTTATAGAAATAAATGCAACATTAATTGGTCGTCAATGCCGTTACAGTAAAAAATAAAAAAGAGGAGAAAGAAAACCCGCCAATAATTTGACGCGTGACAGTAGGTGAACGATCCTTTTATCATAAAACCCCTTTCACTTGTCAGCTACGTGAGAGTCGCCGTAAATTCTTCATACTCTGTACATCGACGGTCATATCCGTTTTTTTTCTTTTTTTTTTTTTTTTTTCATTACAAGAGTCATCAACTTGGAGGCGTCACGACTCGTTAGCCGTTGTGATCTTTTCTTTTTTTTCTGCAACCGCGGTTTCACTTTTCAACAAATTAGACGCCAAGATTATCGAGTTCGCGGAACTCACGAGAGGACGAGGGATTAGAGAGACAAACGGCTGTTGCCGATGATGAGCTTGCTTTTCTCGAATGCACATCATTTTTACGGAGCTGTCGTCGTCGCAGTGCGATTCTGCGCTTCGATCGTCGTCGAAAGAGCGAACTATTCGTTGCCAGACTTACGGCAGAGCTCCGCGGACGCGTGCGCGCTCATCCGGGAAAATGGAGCACTGGAAAACTCAAGGTCCCAAGAAGCGTCACTTGGCGCGTTGCCCATCTGCGCGCTCGTAATCCATGTATGCTTCTCTCTGCGCGTTGGCGGCCGAGCAGCGTCGAAAAGCCCGGCCCAGGGCGCGGGCGCGCAGGTGTGGAATTGAAACGAGCAGCGCGCTCGCGCACGTGCGCGCCGCCGGCTTCGCAAGGCGAATCGCTCGAGTCCCGCTAAGACGCATACATCCCCCGTCCTTGTGCTCGCGACGGCCAACTGGGTTAAGGCGATTCTCGGGAGAATCATCGCGGAGTCGGCACGCGCGTCTCACGCTCGGGACTCGGCTCGTTTCTTTCTCGTCGCGCGAGCTACGCGTATGCTTACCGGCGCGCCGACGCGCGAGATGTGCTTGCTTTCTTTCGGCTTTAATTGGCCGGCAAGCTAAACGAGCGCCGTCCGTCCGTAGTTTTTGGCGTCGCCGTTCGTTGGTCCGATCCATTCGACGATCGGAGATCTTGGACCGAGTTGGCACGCTCCTTGCCGGAACGCGGCGAATCTCCGCGGAGAGACTTCGCCCGAGGAACGAGAAAGAAACGTGCGTCGGACGGCTGAAGCTGCGAAAAAAGGGCTCGAAGCGCAGCGGTCCGCTGCTTTTTATCATCGCACACGACGCCGTGTCAGCGCGAAGGAAAGAGGAGAGAGAGAAGAAACGAAAAGGGGCGCGTGGGTGGGGGCAACGGGCATAAGTAAGCGCGTGCTTTAGGAAAAGTCTCCACTCGGCGATATAACACCGCGCGAGCGCTAAAAGTGGCCAAATGTGCTTTCTCGCTTCTGTCTCGCACTGACGCACACGCGCGCACGCCGAGGATGCGAGTCAGTGACAAAGTGTGGTAAAGTTCTTCTCTCTTCCCTGGACGCAGCTGTGCCGACAATGTGAGTATCCTTCTTTGCATCCGCGCGTAGCTCAATGCTATAAGGTCGCGCAAATGACAATTTCGATAGTCTAATGCTCGCGCAAATTGGGATCGAGAATCGTTGAGTGGCGAACCAATCGAAATTTCATAGAGGATTTTTTTTCCGTTATCAAGGTTGGCTTCTATATTGCAAGGACACCGCGATGTATAATTACAGGTGACTCCGAGCCATTATTTTGGAATCAACTATGAAATTATTATGAGTCACGAATCTAAGTCAAGGTCGCGAAATCTTCTTGAAGGAAACGTTTTTTTTCGTTCCGTTCTATAGAATGTATATTGTGTTGTATACTTTTGAATTATCCGGCACCTGTTATTCTGAAATGCGTGCCGCGAATAAAGTAAAAATACCGTCATCGCCGTGAAAGAAAGATCGACGAGTTCGCGCAAACCGATCGGCGGTAAAAAAAAAAACAAGCGAAATACACATCCGGCAGAAGATGCGCTACATTCGTAAACTTTCAGACGCGCGTGACGCATTTCCGTTAGCTCCGCGAGACAAGTCCGCAACAATGCATGTCGAAATATTGATTGGAGGCGAATGTTCACGTGCTACGTTTATTCCTCGCCGCTTGCTCGCTATCCGACGGAATCAGGTTGCAGAACGAGCTTCGCAACGTGCACCTTCGCGCTTATTTCCGTTGTCGAGATTTCTCTTAATGATACGTACTTGCCGCGCGCGCATTCACGGCGTACCTCCGTTCGCAGCTCGTCGCGAGGCCGAAAGTGAAGCAAAGGAAGAAGACAGTTCGCCTCTTCGATCCGGCGAAAGTGAGACTCGCGCGAAAAGAGCCGCGACGAGACAAAAGAAGAGGAGAAAAAAGCCGATCGATCGGCGGAGTTGGCGTCGGAGCAACATCCTCGGCGCTGGCGGCCTTTTCGCGAACGACACGACTCCCGATACGCGACATGGTTTTTTACGCGCAATTGAGCGCGAAATTCCGGAAGCGCGACTCGTTTCGATTCTCACATTTGTCACGCGCGCGTATACGCGAAAAATAGGTTTTCAGGACTAGAACTTAAAAGTGAAATTCCGTTTTTTTATTTTTATTTTCGTTCTTTCTCGCGTAGTTGTCAAGCTGGTTAAACTGCATATCGCGCCAGAGAGTAATCTGAGTTGTTTCAATGCGACTTTTCTAAAGAACTGCATTTTCTTGAATCGCCTTATGGATGAAGATGCGCCGGTTAACGTGTCCGAGGTACGGTCAAAGTGACGTTCAATTGCGGGCAACTTCTTGGCTGAAAAAGGACTATTCCGTTGGTTAGCGCGCGCACAATTGCCAAAAAAGAGACTGGTGAATTAATCCAGTGACGCCCGTAATGAAACCGAATTGACGGACGCGAAAAAGGCCGATTCGCCGCTTCCTGTCGGCCCAACTGAAGCAGAACTGGCGCGAGGAACAAAGTTCCCTCTGCAAGGATTTTTTTCCCTGCGGCAGGAGGTCGCCAATTCATAATTGAAATGCAACCCCGGCGCGCGGCGCGATTGGACGTTCGCCAGACTCCGCCGACTTTGCGGAACTTTTACGCGCGGACGGAATGCGAACGCGTCGTCGCTCAATAAGCGCGGCCGAAGTGAATTTCACGAATGACGCTTGTTCTCCGCGCGAACCGTTTTTTCTCTTTTCTTCTTTCGATCGCTCCGCGTCGCATTCCGCGCGATCCTCGCGCTCTCGCCCACGCGCGAGTGCTTATTTTGCGCCCCCCCTCTCCCCTCCGCCCCTGAGATAACACCGCCGAACGCGCGCGCGCGTCTCCGTGCCGAGCGAGAGAGCAAACACTCGTCGACGCGCAAAGAAAGAAAGACAGAAGAAGAAAAAAGAGGCGAGCGTATGATCTCGCAATAATCCCAACTAACGAGGTACATACGGCCGATCGCGAGAAAGGTGGCAGAGGCGGCGAAAAACGGAACCGCGCCGTAGAGAGAAGAATAATAGCGCTCGATAATCGAAGCCGCGGATCGGCTTCCATTTATCTCCGCGTCCCTTTTTCCATCGGCGAGAGATTTTCGAGATTCCTGCGCGCGCGTGTCACGAGCCGCATTGTCGCGCGCGGATTTTCAGCTATTCTCCGCAAAGCGCAAAAGGGGGTGGGGGAACAGGAGGAAAGGAACGTGCGAACGATAGGGACCGGAGGGGGAGGCTCATTAACCCCCTTTCACAGTTAATTCGATAGGTTATCTGTGAGCCGCGGCGGCGGCGGCGGCGGCGGCACGAGATGTAGGTGAATGCCAGCGCGCAAGGGACACTTTACATAACGCCCGCGCGTTATATCACAGATCGCGCGCTAACGGAAGTCCAGCGAGAATCGTCGCGCTCGGCGATAATTGGGCCGTGAGAGCGGCTCAATATTTTGACACGGCCTGCGAGATCGAGACGCGGCGCGCGAGAGATAATGGCCCTCCGCGAACAATGGCTGCTCGCTGTCGGCGAACGAGCCGCTCGTCGAAATTGAAAAAAAGTGCACTGCGTTCGGCACTGCGCCGATTTGTCCCGCGCCGTCTCTCTCGCCCTGCGCCGCTGCGAGAAGCTTCGAGTCGCGTCGTCGAGGATGTTCACTTGCTTAGCGCTTGTCGGGGACGACTGCGCGTAGCCAAACGAGCGTTTCGTCAGTTCAATCCGCTCGCAAGCGACAACATTTGTGAAATATCTTTTCAAGCGTCGAGTTTCTAATGGAATATTCCAGAAATCGGCAAACACTTCGGTTTGTTTATAACAAATTATAACTTCGACATTTATGAAAGGAGTCATTTGAACCGTCGAAAGTCTATTGCAAATTGTCGAAAATTGCATTTTTTCAATCGCTACATTATTAATCGACATTCCAAGAACGACAGTATCAGATTTAAAGTTTTGACATTGATTGGGAAAAATTATAGAAGCGATTTAGTGAAAGATCGTCGCGCCGTGGCATCGATGTTTAAGCGCTTTTATTAACAAGTTTTACGATTTTCTAAAGAATCGTTCTACGTATATTTCAGTTATAAAATGACAAAATATTGTTGCCTATGTATTTCCCGGATGAAGCCAATGTTTCGATTTTGATTTAGAAAAAGAACGGAGAGCGCTTTTTTAGAAAATCGCGAAACATTGATACGATACATTTTTTTCGGGTCTAAAGCGATCAACGCATTAAAACGCCGTCCCACTAAGTCGCTTCTATAATTTTTTTCTAATCAATATTAAGACTTCAAATCCGCTGCGGGTATTCTTGTCATGTTGATTAATAGCGTAGTGTTTTATTGAAGTGTGCGGAGTATGTGTCAATGCCTTTTTATTTGTTTGCACCTGCGCGAGCGGCTCTCTCTTACTGGATTCGGCGCCGGTTGCTCACTTTTGAGTCGACAACAGCCAGCAACACGCGTGTTCTCCACGGTAGCTTCTTGCACGTAATAATTTCTTTTGTTAAACTGGTTGCGTGTCGTCACTTGAATTCGATACCCCAAAATATTTAAAAAAATTTGGAACAGACTTTAGGCAATTCAAACGACTGCGTAACTTTCGAGATTATAACTTTTCATAAACAAATCAAAGAAGTGTTTCCAAATGTTGTCGCTTTAATCCACGTGTAAGCTGGAACATGCGAGCAAATTGAACTGATGATACGCTTTTTTGGTTGCGCGGAGTGTTCTTTGACAAGCGCTGACAGGAGAACGTCCTTATTCAATACGCGCCCACGGGACGTCCGTCGACTCTAGAACTGGTCATTAGGGACTGATCAGCGCCTGTGACGAGACGGATTTTTCGGCGACAGCTTCTGACGGCGCAAATAAATTAATCTGCTGCGAAAACACTCGTGGAAAGTGATTGCGGTCAATGACACAAGAATCGTATGAATGGGACGACAGCACGAGCGAACAATTTTGCATGCCGCGATCGAGGTTGTTAAGTTTCTCTCGTTTCGCGGAGTCTATCGCGTGAAAAAGAAGAGCTCGAAGCAATCTTTATTGCGAAATTCGATGTAGGAGTATAGGAATCGCAGGTTGATCCTATTTTTTTACGACCTGGTTGTAACTTGGCGCGACCGAAACGGATTCTCGAGCGCCGTTGTACTTTTCGAAAGCGCACCGCGAAATCTTAGAGGAGTTATCGCCCATGAGAAATTCATTTGTCCAAAAGCCGCAATTGGTTAGCGCGCGGGTAGTTGTTTTTAGGAATGCGCCACGGGACACGCGGAGGGAGCTCCCTCCGATCGTTACCGCGTGTCCGCAGCAGACGTCGATTCACAGAGGCGTCGGAGAAATAATTTCTGCGCAACAATGCAGTGGAGCGCGGGCCGCTCCTGGGGTATCGCGCGTAGAGCACGGCAATCCTCTGTAGCGAACGAACGCGGCAGCGTACAGTCGAGCGCGCAGCGGCTTCTGGCGCGTCCCGCCGCCTAACGCTCGCGCCTGCTATACCGCGCGTATAACAATAACCCTAACGGTGAAAGTTTTGCCGGGACGGCGATGACTCGGCGAGAGAGCGCGAAAACACGATCCGTCTTTTCGTTTCGTCGAGAGTCCGTGACCTTTATTTCCTTTTTGTTATTTTTTCGTCGGATGAGAAAAGGAGACTTGGTCGCTGCTATGCAAATTCCGCGGCGCGAAAGCGGTCCGCAGAGCACGATCGCGACAGCGCTCCAGTACAATTTGACGCGCGGCTTCCTTATGGCGGTATTCGCATTCCCGGCACGCGAACGAGCGTAGAAAAATCGATTTCTCATTGGTCCCTCTGACTCTTGACAAAGGATGCCGATGGTAAAACAGGTGTCTGTGCGAGACGTTGAGAGAACGCGGCTGCGCGAACGTGTTGCTACCGGTGAAAGGTACGGGAAGCGTGAGATCGGCAGTGGAGAATCGGTAGGTGCTAGAACACGGCGTTCGCTCGCGAGATGTCGGTGGGTTCGCCGCCTTTCGAGACGTTGATCGTCGAAGCCAAAGGCGACTATAAACTCAATTGAAACTCGTTGGCGCGACGCGAATGAAGGAAAATGAACAAAATAAAAGGGGAATACAAGCAATGCAACGCCGTGTAGTGGATCTCTACACGTCGTAAAGAAGGCGCTTTTTTCTCGGGCGCCTTAACGAACTAAAACGAAGAGTGAAAATGAAAAGAGCAGGCCGCTCCCGTAAAACCGCAAAAAACGGCGGACGCGGCGCGAAAGAAGCAAATTCACACCGCACATCAACGTCGCGGCCTTTTTATCGGCCGATTGTCCCTATTAATCCAAGCACGCGCGCCAAACGAACGAGCGGCAAGAAACGGCGGTGGCGCGAGGTGTCGAGGCGCGAGGGGGCGAGAGCCGAGCGCGCTCGTTAATAAACGGCGCACGCGTGCTTTCTTGCGCGAGCGAGCGGCGAATCTCGCGCCCGGCGCGAGCTTTGCAAACTCGCCGATTACCGCGCGCGCAAAAAGTCGCGCCTTAATTAGGCGCAGGAACGGGACGAGCAGGCGCCTTTTTGCCGGAGGTGTCGAGCGAGCCCGCTGGAAATAACTTCATCCTGCGATCGATTCTCGCCTCGACACGAGCCACGCATCCGAAAATAATAATAAGGCCGGGCAAACCAGTTCCGATTAACCATTTCGCGCGCGCAGATATGCTGGACGTTGGCAAGGATGACGCGCCGACTCCTCCCGCTGGTGATGGTACTGCTGCTGCTGCTGCTGCTACTGACGTCGCTCGAGGCGGTCGCGGCGGTCGCGGCGGCCGAGCGGCGATCGGCGTGGAAGAGGAGCAGCAGCGAGGCTTCGAGCGTTGACTACCCGGCGCCGCAGTGGACTTACCAGGTGCGTGGCTGCTCCGCGCCGTCCTCGGGCGCGCCACCGCGACCCATCACGAGCGACTCGTTGCAGGACGCGCCGGAGCCGGAGGCGAGCGAGATCCGCCGACGGCGCAAGCAGCGCCCGCGAAGGCCCGAGAGCGAGGTCTACTTCGTTAGGCTGCCGCCCGCGCCGTACAGCTACGTGGAGGGCCTGGGCTTCGTCTCGCGGCCGGCGCTCTTCGACCCGGCCTCGCTGCCCAGGCCCAAGCCCAGGCCGCGACCCGTCGTCCAGCTGCCCGTCGACTTCGTGAGCAACGGCAAGCCGACCAAGGTCTACCGCTACCCGCAGAACGGGGCCGACGGCCCGCTGGTCAGGCTGGACCGCGGGCCGTACCGCTTCAACGGCAGCCCGGCGGGCGTCTACGTCGTCAAGAGGACCAAGAAGCCCAGGCGCAAGCCCGTCGTCACGAGCGTCAGGAAACGCGTGGTGATGAAGCAGTAGGCCGACTCGCGCGGTCGCCGACGAGCTTTCCGCTACTTTTGTAAATACGGACCATTTTTTACGGCTTGAGCGTCCGCTGATTTTTCTCTCTTTTCACGTTGACCGCTGTTCTGCGCGAACGGCGCGCTTCGGCGAACTCTTCACTTGTGTAATCTGCGCTGTAAACTTATCAGAGCTTTGCGAATAAAATTGTATCGCTCCGTTTCGAACCCGTCAGGGTGAAATTCTGTCGTTTCTCTTTAACGAGTTTCAGGAATACCGAATTTGGATTAGTGCCGATCTCTTTGTTACTAATTGTCACTTTCCGAGTGTAAACTCAAGAGGCGCGTTAAAATTGCCTTGAATTCAGAAAGAGAAAAAAAAAAGACGTTGGTAGCGTACGCCTATAATAAATCTCCTCCAATTAGTTGTGATGGACGACCGAAGAAAACATCTTTCGTGAAATAATGCTTCCGTATATGCGTATAAAAAAGCACATATCTCGTCTTTCCGTGCTGGTGGCCGCGCACAGCCCAATGAGAAGCAAAATTCGTCCGCATAATTTATCACCTAGCCTTCTTTCTCTTTAACGTTGCGCACGAGTGTAATTAATTTACCGCATACATTACCATTCCTGCGGTGCAATTCGGTTGCCGATGCAATTAAGAACGGAAAGAGACGGAGGCCATATCGTTTGGCGAATCCATGTAAATATAAAATGACGAACCGCGAATTATCCACTTATCTTCTCCCGGAGCGAAGAGGTCGAGCAGATGATCAGGGAAAAAAATGCGCGTGGTGACTGCCTTGAAGGCGCGAGAGCAGCAGTACACAATCGATCCTTATCTCGCGCACCTCAACCGTAGCAGTGGCTCTCATCTCCGGCGATGTATTTTTTTAAGGTGGAAAATGAAGATCATTCGGGTCATTGAACGACACTGTCTTATGTAATAATTACGTATAAATAGTTTTTATTGTGCTCGGATTGCGACTTGTATAATAAAAAATATCAAAGAGTTTAATTATCATCCATGCAAGATTATCAAAAAACCACACGCATACATCGCTGTCTCGCATGCCTCAGGCAAATGTAAAATAAACGAGAAGTATAAAATTCTCACGCGCGCTTACGTACTTATCTACAGCTGTGTTTCTTTTCTCTTCTACTTAGCAGTCTTTTCAGAGGAGATGTCTCCCCGCGCCAGAGTCGCGCGCATATCAGTCTGTCTTTTTCCATTTAAAGAAAAATAATAAAGATTAAGGGTTGGCAAGCATATAGATATTAAAAAAATAATAATGATAATAATAGTAATAATTACTTTACCCTGTATGTGTAACTTTTTGCTTATGAATCGCGCCAACGAAAAAAATGCCCCCGTTTGATGAGACAAGGACGAGGCCACTCGTGCAAAATTGCGATGAATAACCAAAAAAAGAGGAGGAGGAGGAGGAGGAGGATGGGGAGGTGGAATTATCCACGAGCGGCGTCACCTCGTTCAAGAGTACAAAAAGGAAAAAAAGCAAGAGTCGTCCGCTTAAGGCATCAACGGATGATAGTAAGCAGGCTTCCTACTCTTCTCCATCACGTAGAAGGCTTTAGGCTTGCCGTTCCCGGAAAAGTGCTTGCTTATACTCGTCGAGGCAGACTTGCCGACAGGTGCGTAATAGTACGACACGCCGGCCGACTTCTTCTTGTGCTTCTTCGCCCGGTGGCTCGCCGCCGCCGCCGCCGCCGCCGCCGCCTCCAAGCGCCCGCCTTCCGGCAGGTTGTTCTGGTGCCAGTGATGATTTCGACGCTCGCCGTCGTCGAGCCGGTAGACCTTGTTGGGCGACGAGACGTTCTTCAGCGACAGAATTTTCATCTGCGTGGCAGTGTCGCTGTACTTGGTCCTGAAAGAGAATCGCGCGGGTCAGATTGGACGGTCCGCTCTTGCGAAACAGCAGTTAGGGGCGTCGGGAGCGCGGCGATACCTCGCTTCAAGCTTCTCCGGGTCGCTCAGCCACTTGTCGTTGTTCCTCGTCGGCTTCCGCTGGCTCTCGCCGACCAGCTGCTCCTGGGCCAGCTTCTTCAAGAAGCTCATCTTCTCCGCGACCTTCTGCCTCTCCCTGTCGGCCTCCAATTTCTTCCTGGCCTGCTCGATCTTCAGCAGCGCCATCTGCTTCCTCTTCTCGTTGATTTTCTTCACCAGAGGCAGATTCCAGTGGTAGATCTTGGCCGGCTTGCCGTTGTTCTTGAAGCCCGGGTCGGGATTCGCCACGGTCACGTTTTCCTTGTCCTTGTGTGGCTTCGAGAAGCTGTAGTACGGCGGACTCGCCGGTAGCTTCACCACGTAGACGTGGCTGTCGCGACCGCTGGCGCTGTGGCGCCTGCCGAAGGACGGCTGATGGACGCGCGCGGCGAAATTGCTCTCGCCGGGTGCCAGGCGCTTTCGATGGTGCCCCGAGGCGTCGGGATTCGGCAGCGGCACCAAGCCCAGTCGGTTCAATATGGCTGCGTTGCTCGTGCGCACCGTCTCGAAATCGTCGGACGGCTTCAGCGCCAGGGCCGCGCTCGTCAGCACCGTCGCCAGCAGGCTCAGTCTGAAAATCGACCGATCCGTCACTGTTATCGCCGAGGATCAATCGCGCTCGCTCGAGCGCCGAAAAGGGAGAGAGAAATGGAGAATCCACGGCACGCGCGGGGCGGCGTAACCTCGATGCGTATACCGTTTTATCGGCGCACGCGTATCCGTTATCGGAAGAACAGAAAAAAACAAGATAGGAGCCGATTATTATACGTCGTTATGATACGGGCTTACACGAGACAAGCGGACTCGGTCGAAGAAGAATCCTCTCGAACAGAGTTCCTTCGCGCGGCGCTGAGTTTGTTCACCTCTCTCCCTCCCTCTCGCTCTCTCTATGTGTGTATACCGGCAAACTGCACGAGCAAGAGAGATGCACGGATGTATCTTTTACGGCGCAGTCGCTGTATAACGCTAAGTGAAACTCTCGCATTTTAACCAACAGTCAATTCGAGACGAAGGAGAAGAATGACCATGTACGCGTGGTTTTAACAGCGGCTCTTTTATTGCCGCGAGCGCAGGTTGCGCGTATCGGTTTGGCGCGAGCGTGGATCTCGAGAGGTAATCTTCTTTGAATTTTCCGACTCGTCGGCCTCGCGCAATCGCAAAGACGGCGGATCGGTTGATATGTAGGTCGACGCGTTTTTTCCGCTGCGCGCGTCGCCACGCGCGAGCCAATCTTCAACGCGAGCACAACGAGCCGTGGCTAATTGTCGAAAGCCACAACGGCCGCGAGCACTGCGGGTGGAGGAGGCGACGGAATGCAGGCTGAAAAAGTGCGAGCCGCGCGAGATCGAACGGCCATTGCCGGGATGCGGCGATGTTTCGGGGCTCGCCAGCGCCGTTCCTCTCGGTGCGCGCAAAAACAATGAGCGCTGCTGCATCTACGGCGTCGCCGATCGACTATTGATGAGCCCCGCGCGAGCAAATCGCAATTGCAAAGCGACGCCGGCGATCCGACTTTCAAATCCGCGGTGCGCGCGGCAAGAAAAGCAACAGAGAGGAAAAGAAAAAGAGCGCGAAGGCAAGGGTCAGCCGGCGGATCGCGAGAGCGGCCGGCTCGTCGGATGAAGCGATTCCTCAAGCGCGACGAGGATTTCCCGCGCGGAGCCGAGCCCGCTCCGGGCCGCTCGCGTCTGAATCGGCCCGATCGATCGAGTGCGCGCGGCCTTTTTCTCTCTCTCTCTCTCTCTCTCTCTCTGCCGCGGACGGCTCGTCTACTTTCAGCTCTAGCGATCGCTAAATATGGCCGCGCGCGCGTCCGGCCCACGAGAGACGTACCAGCGGCTTCACATCCGATGTCCGACTTATATTCGCTCCATTCGCGGCGATCCTCGACTTTGTTTTTCTCGCGCGTGCCCGCTGCGTCCACGAGGCGAGCCGGCCGGGGCTGAAAAAGCGCGTTTTCCTAGCTGCTCGACCATTAAGGGCTTTAGAGTTGTCGCGAACGCGCGGCTCGCTTCTTTCGGAGGACAAGAAAAATATATAGGTGTATAAGGCCGCGAGGCCTCGTTAAAGGCTTCTGCACGCGGCCGAGTCGCGGCGGACGATTCGTCGGTTCGCTGGACTAGATCGACCAGCGCAATTCGCTGTCAACGCGGCAAGATACGTCCGATCGTTGCGCTGGGAGCATCGTCTGCCGGCAAATTGTCCAGCTGTCGTCGTAAAATCGTAATCGCCGCGCGGCGCTTCGAATTATGCGATTCCCAGCCGAGCGCCGACGGAGAGTCTGTCGCTCGCGCCTCGCATTCCACGTTCGGCGCTCGCCGATTCGGACGGAATGCGTGCCTATCGATTTCGCGAGGATTCCTCGAGTCGAGGCGTCGGCCGTTCGCGAAAAGAAGGCAGCGCGCGCTCGCCTCGGTTTCGTCAGGACGCCGCAACCCAGCAGCAAAAAGCGCACGACGAATCGCCGCGCGTTACGCAATCGCGATGACCGCCGACTGGCATTTCCTCAAAGGACGAGCGCGTCGTTGCGCGGCGTCGTCGTCGAGCTCGTTAAATTACCCCCGCGCGCGGCTACTGCAATAGCACGCCACGTTAGCGCTGGCTACTGTTCTGCGGTCGGCCGCAAAATACGTCCCGCGGCCACCTATACCCTCGTCCTCTCCTTTTCCGCGTTCGTACGACGCGCGCTGCCTCAGCCGGAAACTTCCCATGGGCGCTGCGCGTCGTCGTGCGGCTAGTTATCGCTAACCGGTTTCCCGCGTGTGTCGTCGTGACCAAACACAGGGAGGAATCGGTAACTGAATCCTAGACACGAGCGCGTACAAGCAAACAATGCGTGCGCGAGACGACGACGGGGGCGAGAGGAAGGCGAACGACCGAAAAAGAATTCGGAGGGCGCATGCGTTTTACGACGCTCGGCGCCTCCAAATTGCGCAACGACTTTTCATTCGGCGCGAGCAGAGGTGCTGCTGCTTCGCCTTGTACGGTTCCTACCGAGAGATCAGCCCGAAGTTGTAAGTCTTTTTCGAGCGGCATCAAAAAATAATAAAAAAAAAAAAAAAAAAAAAAAAACAAATCACAGCGTGAAATTTTTGCTCCTTAATTTTGCGACAACGCGCTTTGAAAATACGCGTCCGCGAATAACATTCGCTTAGCGACTCGTGTATTTTCGAGCAATTAACTCGGGCTGGCAATTAACGTGATCACTCGACGCAAGCTATTTACACAATTCATAACGCCGACTTTTTCTTTCGACGAAGAATCGCTAAATTAAGCTCGAAGCTGCAAACACGTCGTATAATTAGGATCAAGTTCCACGGCAGAGACGGCCGTGAGAAACTTTTGCGAGAAAATTGCCAGTCGAAATCCCAATAGCCAAGTGCAATAAGAGAGGAGAAAAAAAGGCAAGCAATTAATTGCGTAGAGGTCGTCATGTATAACGTATTCTCTGGTTACTCGCAGCCACGGAACAATGAGCAAGAAAAAGAGGCCGCGATCAACGCGAATTCCTTCCGAGGGAAGCCGCCGGGACTTTTCGCGAAACTCTTTTCGGCAGGAATGCAACTTTATGATACGTATAATCGCATTAAAAAAACGACGTCGCTTCGCGGAAATCGAGGCTTTCGGTCGAGATCACGACGACGAGGGCGCGAAGGGACTCTCTATCTCCCAAACAAAAAGAGTTGCACGGAATTTTTTCGGGGAAGTATTTTTGGCCTCTCGCGTTCGCTTCTGCGCGGACTCGAGGAGCAGCACTCGTTAAGGAATTGGCGACCCATTTCGATACTTTGACGTTCGCTATGACTTACTGCCCCCAGGCGATAAGTTCGTTGAAATAATTAGCTGCGTCGTGTAAAATCGCGAACACGCCCGTAGTTTTCACTTTTAACCAGGAAAAAGCATAACGACGCGTCTTAACGTGTCAGCACCCCAAATAATACACCTGTCGCGAAGAATCGCGCATACGGATACTCGTTAAGTCGTTTCCGATCTAGAAACCCCCTTTGGCTATGACTTGGTCGAACGCACATCAATATTTGCACTGGAGCGGACAGTGGAATTTACTTTTCCAAAATTACATACATCGAAGCAAAATTACCACCAAATCACCGGGGAACGATTTTTCTAAACAAATGAAAGCTCGGAAAATGAGTTTTTTTTTCGTTTGGAGTACAAGCGCGTCGAATAAAAATCAGTGTCGGCTCGAGCGCTTCCCTGACTTCGTCTTCCCACGATTTGCTCTGAAGCCCCGATAAAGTAGAATTTAACGCGCTTCAAGGATTCACTCTCCCTCGGCCAAATAGACTTTGTACGAGCTTCGGCTTTTAGCTCGCAAAGCCTGGAACAGAGAAGTTCGCCATTGTTTTTTCTTTGGTTCGCCTCGGAGCTTACTGCGCTTGTTTCGAGAGTCTGCGCGCTTCTCTTTCTCCTTTCGTTGACGCGACCGGAAAATACTCTTTAAATGGTTATTTTTTTCCTTTCCTCAATGGAAATGAAGCACCGCTGAAATAATGAAACTAACGCTAAAATTGAGAAGTTTGATTTTTTTAAAATATGATTTACTTCATAAACAAAGTATAAAAAATGTACTCGATCGAATAACATGGGAATGACGCCAGGACGAGCTCCAGAGTTTTGAATTTCGTTTGACGATGACCGATAGCCTGCAGTTTGGTCGTGCTCGAAGTAGTCGACACGAAGCACATTAGCGCCTCGATAAAAGTGAACTTCATGGAATCGGCGCAACGGCATAGATCGAGGCATAAAGCGACTGGCTACACCTAACGAGACACACTGACCCTTTCGGGCGGCGCGTATAATTCTCACGTGCCGCTTCACCCGTAATCTCCTTTTCGTTGCATAACGGTGCAAGGGTCCGCGCGCGCGCGCCCGAGAGAGAGAGAGAGAGAGAGATAATAGGCTGTTCTGTCCGCTCGCGGGAATTTCCCGTGTGTAAATACGGCGCCGCGCTCGAACGCACGCGGGCCGCCTTCGCGGTTCGATTTATATAGGCGAGACTCGCGTGTGACAATGTGCGTCCGAGATTTCGCGACGCACACGCGCGGCCTTACCGTTCGACGAACGGTACTCCTCGCTCGCCGCGCGCGCGCGCGCTCTAGTTTTTCGGGATGATCCCCCCGTGGTGGTGAGGCCTCTTCGTTTCCTCTCCGTTTCTCTCGCGTTCGTTAGCGCGCATCGGTATCTCTCGGCATCTCCGCGAGGACGCAAGGAAGTCCAAGTTGTCCTTTGGTGGCCGCCACTCGCCGGCGAAATAATCAATACCCGGGTCTACGCGACGGCAAACGGCGAAAAAAGAAACGAAAGCACCTCGGGCGGGCGCGTGCAGAGAGACCTTCGCGGGACAATTGCACTCCTCCACCCCCCCCCCCCCCCACCCCCCCTCCCGCGAGACGGATTGCCTATGAAGTGGTTACGCGGCTGTCCTTTGTGCGCGCGACGGCGGGTAGGGGGGCGGGCTGGCTCGACGAGGAGGCTTAATGAACTACGCTCCGAGCGATCGATCAAGGCGATTCGATATATATGCATATGGGACGAGAACGATCGCGAATGTGCCGCGCGTCGCTTCTATAAGAGGTATGCGCGCGACTCACCTGAGCGCACCACGAGCCATCACCGCTTGCTCACGCCTCTCGGCCAGGAGATATACCAAGCGTGCACGTCCGCGCGAGTGGAGCGCGCGTGAAAGACTGACTCGGGCCAGCTACTCCTCGCGAGGCTCGCGCTGTAAGCCCTTTAAGCCTTCTCTCGACGAGCAGAGAGGGGAACGTTGTATTCTCCCGTGCGTGCGAGTGTATAGAGTACGTCGCTCTCTCTCTCTCTCTCTCTCTCTCTCTTGTACGCGCTCTCGCCTATAACGTTTTAAAACGAGATCGAAGCGTCGCGGTGATTGCTGATCCTCGACGACGAGTCAACTGTCCAGTTTCGGCTGGATTAACGATTCCTAATGAAAAATTAGTAGACGGGAGTGGATGGGAAAAGAAGGCGAGTATTTCCGGTTCTGTACTTCGCGGAAAAATCAATAGCGGGAATAAAGTGTGCTGGACAACTTCAACATTTGCGACGGGCGCAGAAAGAACGGCTAAAATCAATATTTCTTTTTGTGCCTTTCCATTTTTGTCGTGCCGTGGAAAAAAATAAAGGACAAAAAATTAATTGCTGCGCGTTCAACGGAAAGGGAATCTTTGCGTGGTTTTCGACGAAAATAAAAAAAAAAGGCACTTGGTGGTTTCTTTTGCGATGGAATCCAAACTACATCGACAAAATAGTAAATGACATTTTTCAGGTACTGAGAATAAGTAGACAAGACAGTGAATAATATTGTGGGGCAAACATTTATTTTTGATATTTTAAGATGAAAATAATCCACTTGTACGAGTGGCGAGAGGACAAATCTGAAACGTGACACGTGGAATAAAGAATTTTGAAAGCATCCATTCGATATCCGACGCGGCTTAACGAATCGATTGTCATTGACAAAACGATAAACATTCGGAATTTATCTACGCAATTAGAACGAGCGACAAGGGTTGCCATTAAACCCATCGTAATTGTTTCGAAGTACTGCGGCTCGGTAGGGATCCAGTGGACCTTGTCATAAATCAAGGAGCAAATGGTTCCGTGTTTCAAAAAGAGGGGTGTCCTTGCCCCCGAGGAAAGCAAAAAAATAACGCGACTGCTGCCGGTCACGAAGCGAGAGGTAAGCGCACTCCAGAGCCCATGGGACTCTACTGCTTCCGTTTGGATCTCGGTTGATGACTCATCGCGCGATCCTGTCTGCGAGGAAACCGTACCAGTCGACGAGTATGGCTCGTAGGATCGAGGCCTTGGTCCACGGTGCCCGGTTTCCGCAGACACCAGACGACCATTTCAGCGAGGAACGCGAGGCTCGCGGACGCGTACCCGACGAGCAGCACGACGACCAAACTGCTCGCGATGTGGAACTCGCCCATCGCGTCCTCGGCGCGCGAGGGCCTGCTCGCGTCTTGCTGGCTGCCCCAAATCTTGGCCTCGACGATGATGCCGGACTCGGTTAGTCGCGACCACATGTCGTCGAACTTGTCGACGTAGGGCGACGCCCTTTCGAAGGCGAAGGCCACGGGCTCGGAATGAAAGTCCACATTGGCGATCTTCATCCTCGGCTCGCGATAGCGCGAGATGTCGTGCTGAGCGACTCTCTTGAGAACGATGCAAATCGCCGGATTGCCATTCTGATTCTGGTCGTAGCAGTCGGACATGCTACGCGTGAACCTCACGCGGTTTCTCAGCTTCTTCAGGTGGCTCTCGGCGTAGCCGTAGGTGTAGTCGTGGGCGTAAACCGACAGGCCGGAGTCGTCGATTTGCTCGATGGTGTCCAGCGGCAGCCTATCCCTGACGAGTCGGACGTTCACCAGGCTGGACAGCAGGTCCGCCGTGTACATCGCGTTCAGCGACACGACCGTGAGGAAGACGAGCTTCTGAGGCGGTTTGGCGGTGCGCAGATCGGAGGCGACACCAAGGAACAGTCGGACCACGTCGAAGGCCGTCCATTCGAGGGAGCCCAACTTGAAGGCCCGGACGAGAAGCTCGAAACAGACGATTATCGCGACGACGACGAAGAAGCTGACGACTAGGCTGCCAGCGTGGCTGAACTTGAGGTACGCGTAGGTTATAGGCACGACGAAGGCGATGCCCGAGGTCGAATACCACTGACTGAGCGGGAACTCGCAGCCGCCTAGGGATGTCACCACCATGGCGGATATCGGCATCATCGCGAGACTCTCGTCCTGCAAACATTCGTAAAACTTGGACTTGTTCGTCAGCTCGACGCGCTCGTTCAGCAACGTGGCGTTCATCCTTTGGGCGATCAGTTTGATGAATTTGTATTCGGGGCCGGTCAGGTCCTTCAGTCTCCCCGTAGCCGGGTCGACGTCGATCACGAAATACGGACGACACTCGCAGTACGGCAGTTTGAGCGGGTGTCCGTGGAGGTCGCGCAGCTTGTCGGGAAACAGCTTGGTCTCGGCGTCGAAGTCGCTCGCGGCGATTTCCCACCGCTTGAAGGGGTTGTAGTGGACGTGCTTGGCGGCGTCGCCGTCGCGAGCACACTGCAGAATGGAGAACTCGAGGAAGCGCCGAGACCAGGCGTGCTCGAACGCCCGCGCTCGGAACTCGTCGGACGAGTCGCCGAACAGGACGAGCAAGCTCTTCGGCCGCGAAGGCACCGGGGCGAGCCGCGCCGCGACCCGCAGAGCATCCCGCAGGCGCCCCAGTCGCGGCCGGTCTTGCAGAATCACGTACAGAACGCGGGCCGCTCTCGGGTTCTCGTGCACCCTGAGCGCCAGCGATCGGCGGCTCCGCGCGTCCGACCAGGCCACGCTCGCGGCGGGCAGCTCCCTGACCACGCGGCTCACGAACAGGCTTTGCGCTTTGCCAACGCGCTCGTTCGCGTCGCTGCGGAACATCGTCACCTGATAGGGGCTCAGCTCGTTCTTCACGGACCGCACGAACGAGTCCATCCACTTGTCGGCGACGATGGCTCCGCTCGAGAGGACAGTTAGCACGAGGAGCTGCCGGTAAACGTGCACTTTCGCACATTTTCCTCTTGTCACTTGGCTAGTCGATCGCCGCGGCTTCCAGGACGAAAAAATTCCCAACGACATAGCGAAAGGACCAATCTAAAAACCCACTTCCTGGAAGGTTGCCGGACGGACCGTTGGCGGCGAATCCACTCGAGCATGCGTTCGCCGATTGTCCTCTCCTTATTGTCCTCGCTTAATTTGACGTAAGCCGTCAACGCCTTCCCGAATCCAGTGAGTAATTGGACAGCGCTGTCATCGGTCGGTCGCTGCCTATGGCCCCATTGTCATTTCGGTCCTTGAATATTTTACCGAGTCCGACTCTGTTACGAGGTCGATTGCCGCTGCCGTTACTTTTCTCAAACTGTGCAAAAGCCACATCGGTCAAGTTGCAGAGTGCAGAAGCGACTCTTTATGGCACTCGGTCTTACCGAATCGTTCGCATATTTTTCCTCGTCGCGGAGTTGCTTAATTGAACGCGAGGCACAACACCGTCGAGTTCTGCAGTTTTGCAGTTTCTCGACGCAACGGACGGATCTGTCCATAAAATTTGATTGCCTTCGAGTGCCCTGTCCCGGGAGAAACACGAATAGAGTCGTAAACGTAATGAAGCCAAACCAAGCGAAGGAGAGTATCAAAACAAGAGAAAGCGCGTTTGCGCTCGCTGGATTCGTTGGATTCGGTGTGCCGCGTACGTTGTCCCGATACGAGCGCGCGAGCAGCTGTCTCGTGGCGTGGAATATCCTCGAGTGCGCGCGGGGCGTTCGCCTCTGTTCTCCGCGTGAGACTTGATCGCGCGAGACGATCGACGAGAAACCGCAGCGGGCGCCGTCCGAATTGGCGTCGCGAAGCAACTCCCTTGCCGGCTCGAATGAGAAACAAACAACGGCAACAATCTGAGCGTTCGATCGGTAGCTGTGAGCACCGAAGAGACCTCGTTCGTTCGCAAATTCTTCCGCTTCCGCTCCGTTAGTCCGCGACGATGTTTCATTACGCCGAACTCGTGCGCGCGTTTCTGGCTTCATCTCGTTTTCTATGGTTTTTTTCTTTGGCGCTAGTAATAATTGCATGTTCGCTGTTCTCGATGAAAACCTTCGTACCAAAAAGTCACTTTAATCGGTTCAAGAAAATTCACCATACTCTTGCTTAATGAATGTTCCACAACCACGTGAAATTTCTAAAGAGAAAAGAAGGTGGAATAATTAGAAAAACTTAACTTTTTATTTAACTTTGAATTAACTTTAGAACTTTTCTCCAGTTAAGCTAATTAATTATCGTAGTACACATTAATTTTTTGAATTTACTTGACTTCGAAATTCCTTGAGTAAGTACTTTGGCCCTTTTATCATAGCTTATTGCGGGTAAGCGTGATTTCTTGGAAAACTCTGATACAATCGTGATTTTAATTAGGATCGTACGCATGTTTACAGGTCAGTCGAGCTTCGGCGGCTGAAAGTTGTTCTATTCTGTCATCCGGGCTGGTATAGACTTCTTTGATAACGGGACCTCCACACTTAATTTTTCCGTAATCCGGTTGTACCTATTTTCTACGGGTTTCTGCTAATTTGAAAAGGCGCTGTTCCTCTATTTCGTATGCGCGTTTGACTCACTACCATATATCTGTGATCATTTATTTTTTCATTTTTTTTTCTGGGACTTTCAGTTAAAAAATAAAGAACAGAAAGGGGTACAGGATAATATTTAAAACACGTGCAAAAAAAATAAGAAATACTTTTTTAAGTAATTTACGTGCATTTGCTCGTCTTTGTTTTGTTTATTCGTGAGAATTCCTTTTCGAGAATGAAATACGTTGATCGTTGGTCACTGAAGATACGTTGAAAAACTTACGTGAAACTGTTGTCTCGATCAACACCCTCGACAGAAGCCAGCCAAAAATATCAGTCGTACCTCATTACAGACTCGTGCCTGAATGGGCATCATCCCCCGTCTGCTTTAATGTCAAAGGAAAACGGTCTGACGCGGGTGCGGAGCGCCAGCCGGTAAATCAATATCGAAAACCACCCTCGTCTCTCGGCTCCTTAGCGTAACGCGATATCGCAGCCGGCACGGCGAATTTTCGGAAGAGCTTTGTCGTCGCGCCCCCCGCGCGCAGCACGGCTTTCATTAGCGTAGCCAGGCGCAATTTCAAAAATAAAGCGGGGGAGACAGAAAGATAAGCTTCTCATCGCTGCTTGGGCGCGCCACGCTCAAGGCTGCATGGGGGGGGGGGGGGGTGTAAGAGGGCACACCCGCGGCGCTCGCGATTCACGAAGCGAGTCGTGCGACGGTCCTCGTCAAAGATCCGTCGTGCGGGACTCTGGCACCGATTTTCTTTTTTTTCGACAATCGTCGCTCGCTCGACAAGCGGGACAAAGTCGATCTCGGCGCGCGAAGGTGCAACGAACCCCGTCGCTCGCGCTTCTTTTCCTCGCGCGCCGACTGTCACGCGTAGAGAGGCCGCACGGAGATCTAAGTCTCGCCCCCTTTCGCGGTCGCGATTCCGAATGCCTTGCTCGATTCCATTTATGGGCTATTAACCGACTGCCTTGCCACGAGAGACGACTGGCTTTCCACGCGCGAATATAATAATGAGAGGCTGTCGTAGAGTTGTTCTTTTTTTCTTGCTGTAATTCCAAGTGCTTGTCACTGTGAGATGCTCGGGAAGGAGAAAATGTAAACTGGATTGAGGGTAATATAACGCCTGAGATTATTGTATAACGCTGCCCGGAATTTCGTAATTAATTCATGTACAAGGGAATATAATTTGACTAAGCAATGTTAAATGCGTACTGTGAAAAATGTAAGTTAACCAGAATACGATTATTTCTATTGACGTAAAAACAAAAATGTTTGCTTAACAAATTGTTATTCTCGGAACAAACACTCGTATAAATTAATAGATCAACAGACGTTAATCAAGTTCAAACTGTGTTTTCACCCGTACGAGCGCTAACATTGGACTAGAATTTCTTTTTGTTTGTTTGTTGCAACAGTTTACAAAAATAAAATGCTAACGTCATTAGCAGCTCTGGCAATGTCCACGTACAGTACTGTCGTCAGTTTTATAATTTTTTTATATCTGGCAAGTAAATCTCTCGAACATCGCAATTATTTTTGTCTACATTATCGACGTAAACATTAATTGTTAGCGTTTTAACAAAACTATAAGCCGCATAATGTTTTTTGTAAGTTGATAGAGTATTCAGCGGCATGAAATATTTGCTAACCGTAAAAATTGGCAACTGTCAATATAGCTGCAACGGCAAGTAAATAATAATTTTTTTTCATTGGAATACGTTTATAATCTAAATTAAACTCGCGATTGAACTTATGAAAAACCCAGATGAAATCTCGAACAGCGTCGCAATAGCAATAATGAAAAAAGAAACATATAATGGAAGTTAAGATAAAGGAAAATGTAAGTGTGGCAATAATTTGCATAACTACAGTCGGATACCCCCCGTTTGCGTTTCGATAACAAAGCGGCAAACAACTTCAATCTTGGCTCGGTCGGCCGCATCGCAGTCACTCGCAGAAAAGCACCATTAAATTCAACTTGCATATTCGATTCTCCACGCCGCCTTTAAGGATATTTCAATTAGCTTCTCCCCGACGCGCACGAGCACGCGGACGCGAATAAAGCCTCGGGTGCGTGTTATTTTCGTTGCCGCGGCCAATTTAGTGCCCCCTCCCCCTTCCCACCTCGCCGTTTTGCATTTCCTTAATCTCGCTCTCGATCGGCTTTTCTCTTTTTTTCGTTCACTTCCGACGGCCGCGCCGATATACTTTTCCGTTACGTGCTTACGAAAATATGCAAATGGATTTATCTTTTCGCCGAGGATATTTTGAAATTACATCGTTTTGCCAGGTGAAATTCGGATAATTGTTAGTCAATAACTGAAATGTAGATTGTGATAAAAGTAGAGGACAATAATTAACGTAATAACCACGCAACGTAAAGATCAAAAGTATGGACTTCGATCCATTTAGATACCGTCTTGTTTTGTTAATTCATAAGTACATTTTGAAGAAAAAAAACAATCGGACATTAGTAACTAAGTATATATTTTCATCTTATTAAATATACACTCACCTAATGTATCGGATGAAATAATTTCGGGTGATCGCTGAAGTGAATATTGTTTAATGATCTTGCGTGTAATGACTTCATGGAAAATAACAAAATATTTAAGATAGATAAGGTATGATGAAATAACAGTAAAAGTTAGAGTAGTACATCAAAATTAGTTTAATTTTATTTAATAATAAAAATAAATTTCAATGATTACTCTGCTACTGAAAAAGTATAAATATGAAAAATTTTTCACTCGAGATAATGATTCATGAATAAAAATAAAATATGATTATTAAAACATTAAAGATGTTGATGCATAAACTATCTTAGAAATAATGCTACAAAACTTGGTATATTTTGTAAAGAACAAAAGAGAACTTAAAATTAATTTACAATTACGCTAAAAGAAATTGTACAATTAAATAAACTTAACATCTACTAATAGGAAAACATAAATACAATGTGACAAAAACAATTATCACAAGGAAAAAAACCGTATCTTTTAAAAGTCAATCTATTTAAGTCATTTATATTTTTGCAAGGATAACGATAGGAGAAAAAATCGAAAAATCACAATATGACGAAAGATACGAAGAAATTGTAACAGTAGGCAGGCTAGAGTATATTTATCAAAAGGTTGCAAAAATTACAAAGAAATAGCTAGATATAGGTGCAGAAATCTAGAAAAGGTAAATAAGTATTAGGATACTGAGGAGAATAGGTTATGCAACTTATGCGGGAAAGGATTAAGAACATTCAAACGTGTGTGCGAAGAAACTAGGTAATAGAAAGCAGACTTGCGAAGTATAATAACAAATTGTAAACAATTAGAAAAAATATGGGAAGGAAAAATCAACGACGAAATAAGTAAATGGATAAGAAAAAGAGAAAGAGAAAAGTTAAGGATCAAAGAAAAAAAATTTGAAACAAATAAATAAATTAGAAATTAAAGGGAAAACAAAAGCCGAACACGTCGAAACACTACTTATAAAATCGGTAAAATTATGTAAAGCACGTAAAGTAAGAAATATTTACAATGCAAGGAGTGTAGATTTAGACAAAGAATAATGTAAAGGTGAAAAGGCAATGATGCACAAATGTAAATAAGTAAAAATATTATTTAAATGAATGGTAAGTAAAACGAAAATGAGAAATCGTAACCAGAAATGAATTAGATGAATTTTGTTAAAAAGGCTAAATTGTAATTTTAAGTTGTAGAAATTATGGATAATGTAAGAATTGCAATAACGACGCTGCATTCATACAAAAAATATAAAATAAAGATAAGAACTATAAATTTATTGTAAATTAAATGGAAAAATGTAAAAAGTATAAGTAATTAGGACAAAATAAAAAAAATATGAGATAAATATGTGATATAAATATAAATGTGAGATAGTTCTAATACTTTAGATTTAAGAAAAATGTAAATAATTTATAAACCAAGTCCATTTCTAGGTCATGTAAGGCTGAACTTAATAAATAAATAAATAAATAAATAAATATATCTAAATAATAAATACGAAAATGTATAGCTTTAATAGTTTTAATTCACTAATACTCATAAACAAAAAAAAAAAATAAATACACAAACATAATTTTTATGTTGCAAATTATTCTTAAATATCATTTTAATACTTTCAAAACTAAGTAAACAAATCAGGAACCAACAAAGATAATAATTGAATCAAAATAAGTTTGTCACATAAACTTAATTACAGTACGACTATTACAAAATCAATCAAGTGTTATTTTTTACTTTTTAAGGCCCTCTTTTGTTGTGCCAGGACTTTGACAGTCGTAATTTTTGCAAAATGTTTTTAATCATTAGCTTGAAATACTCAAGCTTTTCCCTAAGTCTTTTTCCACGAATAGTACATCTCTAAGGGCCGATTCACTCTCCAAAATTTGTCATTCACTTGACGAAGCGTCTGTGAGCCGCTTAAAACAACGAGTTGACCAGGCGTTGGAGCAATATAAATGCAAAAGTTTAGTAGCCTGTCAGACTCGGATAGTAATTCTGTGTCCAAGTCCAGCGTCAGTCTCATTGCCAAATATTTACTCAAATGGTCCACTACAATGTAAAGTATGTAATTAATTTTTAATCTATTCTATTTTAATAATTATATTATTAGGTTATTGTCTAAGTTATTGAAACAAATAAGCATTACCTGTACAGTTTGCTGTTGTCTTAATATATCTAATACTATTTTCTTTAAGAGCCTTAATTAGAGAATTATCTCCAGCCATTTCTGTAGGATGAGGTTTGAAAACTAATTCTATCTCGTTTAACATTAAAGGTTCGCTAGAACCTTCTCCCTCTGTATCAACCATAGAATCATTGCCACCTGTTTCAGCCTCTGCACTAGACGAATCATTTTCAGAGTTTTGTAAACTTTTATGTCTCTTAGATGGTTTTGGATTTGATGGTACTGGTGATGGAGTTGTCGAGTTTCTTGATGTTGCAGCTGTTAAAGTAAGCATTTAATTAAAATCGTAAAGTAATGCTTATCATGTAAATTTATTGCTTACCAGAAGCTGCTGGACTAATTGAAGGCTGTGGTACACCGTTTGTCGCACCATTACTGGACTGTCCAATTGCACTTTGGGAGGAGTCACTTTGATTTGCTGCAGAAACTACTGGATTTGGAGTAGTTGGGGCACTGACATTTGGTGTATTATTGTACGATACTGAATTATTAGGATTTTCAGGTTCATTGGCATTCTTTCTTGAACGCTGCGGCCTATTTTGACTTTGAAGCTTGATCCCTTCTGTGATTGAATTGACAAGAGCTGCTTGAGAATGGGAATTGTTCAATTTTGCCAAAACACGTTCCTGGTGAGCCTCATATTCATCTCTACTAGGATAAATTTTAGAGATCAGCAAGTCAAAATTTGGATCTGGTCTTAAGGAACGTTTTGACACTAATTTCTTTCTGCACGTTGGACATTCCTGTAAATTTCATTTAGAATTAAATAGAAATCAACCGGAAGTTTCAAATTTTTAAATAATAACTAATAATAATTATAATTAATAACTAATTTTAAACAAAATTTTTCGTGTTATTTATTTAAAAAATTTTACATTTTATTTGGCAATAATTATCTATGACTGATGTTAAAAATAATTTGGATTAGCTAACTATAAAGAATTAAGTAGAGTAGTATAAACAAACGTGACTATCGCAATCATTCACCAAGCTAACCTCAAAATTCACCAACAGTTTACAGCATCCTCCCTAGCAAAAGCTCTGCTTCCTTTAATCGACAATCAAAAACATCAACAAAAATAAACTAGCAAACGTGTCGACCAACCTTATTACCACTTCTAAGTGCAGTAATGATACAATCGGAACAGAAGCGGTGAAGGCACTCCTTCGTGGTCATCGTTTTCTTGAGCATGTCCAAGCAAATAGGACACATGAGCTCGCTGTGTAAACTTCTGGGGCTTACGGCGATTTCTGTGTTGTCAGTTATCGCCTCCTGGGGTGTACGATGCATCTCGTACAACGATAATTCCCATGTTTTATTTGGTCCAACCTGCTCAGTCGACGCCATGTTGATGGACTGCCTGTCTGTTCGCGGCGACTGGCGAGGCTTCTTCAAAGATGCGTGCGCAAATAGAGGTACTTTTACACTAGTTACAATGTTTTCTTTATGTTCTATTTTGTTTATTTTTGTTGGGTTTTCTTACTATATTATAAGTCTTGTTTTACTAAATTAAAAAATTGTTCTTCTGGATTAAATATTTACTATAATTACAAAAAACAAACTCGAGTTGAAAGAATGAAGGCAATAAAAGAACAAAATAAATATTTAGCAGAAGAAATCAAAGTTTCTATAGAAATATGCTTGAAAGCTATGAACATTTGTTTTCTATTTCGTTGACAATTTTATTAAACTAATTGAATAAATTTTCAGCTTGTAACCGCGGGGTGTACGAGGATTATACATGTATCTAGGTAGCAATATGTAAGTATTGCTACCTAGCAAATCGTTCACACGAGCTTTCATGCTTGTATTATTAAAATTTGATTATGTTACCATTATGTAACATACTCAAAAATATCTAATCGCAAATCTATCGACTCAAAATCCTGTTTAAGCAAGTCAATGCTTATATTCTCAATGATGAAGTAATTTGTAATCCCCTGCTCAAACCAAGATATTCATTTAAGTTATCAATGAAAATTTTTTTATCATAATCATGACATCTATTAATTCCAGTTAATTTTATTTTTACTTTACTGTTATTTAGAATAATATCTCGCAGCTGATAGCATCTAACAAATCAACACGCTCATAGGCGACGAATTAAGTCTATATCATTATTAGTGATTTTCAATATGTCTTTGAAAACAAAAGTCTGATTATTTATGGATATTTCCAGTTTTGATTATCGTATCCACATCAAGTCTTGTACTTTGTAAATGCAATTCCCCGGATTTCTCGTACCATATAACTAGTCGTTGGTAGCAAATTGGTAAGGTGTAAGTTTTGATATTAGATTAGTATTTTCTTTTATTTCTTTCATTTTTCGTATACAGTTCATCGTTCATAGAATCTGCCTGTTATTTTATTCATAATATGCGTGTATTTATTTATTTAATTTTTAGGAAAAATCGATTATTGAGTAGAAAATTTCTGAAAATTTCATGCAAATTTTTATATAAAATATAAAATTTATACACTACACTTGTATAAGATTTGTACTAAATTTGTACAAGTTTTGCTCTCAGTTTTTTGTAAAAAACATGTAAAAATTTGTACGAATTTTGTATGAGTATTGCACAAGGTTTGTAGAAATTTTGTATATATATTATCTAAATTTCGTATATATATTCTATACATTTATATATTTATTTTCAGTGGGGATTCCCTTTGATTTTCCGTGCGTAGTTCCTGATGGTAGTTGGAAGGTTTGCGCGTGTAGTGCTTCTTGACCTTGTTTGATAGACTTTCGTCGATATTATTACACTGTCTTTTGTGTATTCGTAAAAACATCAAAATGCTGTTAAATTCATTTTTGTCAGGATTCAGGTGGCTTGTGGCCGCTTGGAATAGGTTAGAATTGTCCGACAGGTATGGGTTTGCGATTTTATATTTATAATTATGAATGAAAAAATATGATATTAATAATTTAAGTAGATGAAGAAAAAGGAAATGACAATGAAAAATATAAGAAAGAAATGAATAATCGCCTGGTCAGTTAAGAGCGTAGTGTTCCATCAATTGCCCAACATTACCTCCATGACTTCACCTTCGCAACTCTATGCATGTATATGTATGTAGCACCAATCAGCTGTTCATATGGCCGCTTTTTGTCTCTATATATACCCGGTTGATCGGCTGCTTTGCTGACTTTTAACAAATTAAATTAAATTATAGATACACTCTCAAGATTAGTAACCGCTTTTCACGAAAAAGAGAAGACATAATCAACCTCTACATAATTTAGGAATAATTTAGGAGTGAGTATTAAAAAATGAATAAGATCGTTGTTATTCAGATGACACGTGTGTAAATGTGTTTGGCAATAGTCAATGGTAATACTTGAGCGTATGGTAATTATTGTTATTCGTTAAAAGCAGTACAGCCGTGATTATATGAATTGTTATAAAGTATCATTAATTCTTCAATCATTTGATAAATTATGGTTCATAAATTGTGAAAATGTTGGATATATGTGTTTGATGTTTGAATAATGAATGAGACAAATCAATATCATCTATAGATATACTTACATATTTTGCGCTATATTTTGGGTATAATTTCCCTGATAGTAAAATAGTTACTAGTACATTTGCAAGGTCAAAAATGTTTCTGCTATTATTTAAATTTTATTATTTTTGCAGGCTGCAAATGTTGCAATACAACAAGCATAGGTGACATTTTTAGTTTGGAAACAATTGTGTAATTGTGTTTAAATGCTCACAAAGTAAAATCACATTGCCAAGCATTGATGGACTTTCGATGAGCATAAAAGAGTATACATTAAGTGCGCTTGGAGTCTCTGTTGGCAGATAATGTCCAGCGAGGAGAGCTGTGACCAGGATAAGCCAGTAGATACACCAAGAGATGCAGAAGAATCAGAACAACAAAGCAAACCTACCCAGATACAAAAGAGATCAAATGAAAATACAGAGACTAAAGGGAACGGCAAAGGTAGACCTAATCTGAAGGAGAAGTTAATGAGTAAGATGTTTGCTTACACCAGGGATATAATATGTTTCTTTCTTGGAGTAGTGAGTGCTTTTGCAGTACTGCATAATGCGTAAGTCATCGATACTATTATATTTTATTGATTGTCAATAATGTTAGCAATGTAATGTTATAATACGATTTAGGCCACCAAGAATCTCAAAGCCACCTGTGGCAAGACCAATGTTTAATGAAAGTTCTCTAGTTTTAGACTTTTATAAGGGACATTTAAGTGCTCTAGTTGACAGAGTGACAGAGTCTGATTTTAGTTTTGTCATGTACTATGCTCCATGGGATGCAGAGAGTCAAGCATTGACAGAAGAGTTTGAAAGTGTTGCTCGATATTACCATAATCAGGTGAAAGATTAGTTAAAAATATTTAATTTGTATTTATTTTGAATTTTGGTGGTTTGTTAGGTATTTTTTGCTGCAATAAATTGCTGGCACCCAGGCTCAGAGTGCAGAGCTCGATATGGCAAGATTCAGAATTATCCAGTATTAATGGTTTATCCCTCGAAAGAGTCTGGAGTTCAATATAAAGGTATCAAAAGTGCACCTTACATGATACGCTTTCTCCATGATTTTATGAATCCCATTAAAAGGGTTATTCACGATTATGAATTGCTGAATATTTTAAAGTCGTACGATGTAAGTGGAATTATTTTTCGACAATTTACATGAGCGCAAATGAATTTTTTGTATAAGTAACAGATTTCGAATTTTCAGGCAGTGATGATTGGATACTTTCAATTTACGGGATTACGAATTAGTCCGGGCTACAATGAATTCTATCGAGCCGCCCTTAGGACCTTCGAGAAAGAACCGAATGGCGAGGTGGCATTTGTCGCAATAACAAATCCCAATACTGCGAAGGATCACGGCATCGTTGACTTTCCTTCCGGTAGTTTACTTATGTGGAATGAAACTATGGTAATTTTGATTTAAAAAACCTGAATAGCACTTTTACTAATTAAAAAATAAAAATGTATAGTTCTATCCGAACGATAGAGCGTGGAATGCTGAAAATATAGCAGGCTGGATCAGCAGTGTCGTTCATCGAGTTGTCACTTGGTTGCAACCTCCAGGTAGTAAATCGTCGACTCTAGCATCTTATCTCTGGGATGGACCTGTGCTGTTCCTCTTCACTCCCCGTAACCCATTGCATTTTGAGAATGAAAATTACAATCTGGTAAAACTTGATCTTAATGCATCAATTAAATTAATAAAATAATAAAATATAAAAAATATTAATAACAATAAACTATATAATAGTCTCGAAATCGAAATACACGCGTAAATATACGATGTGTGCAAATTTTAGTTGAAAGAAGTGGCATTACAATACTACGACTGTTCCGGGAATCCACAGATTCAGAATTTAGTGTCACTGTTGAGTCAAAGTCGAGCGGAGGCTGCGTTGAAAGCTTTCGAGAAGCGCGAATGGTGTGCCAGTATTCTCGAGGAGGAAAAATCTCGCCATTCACATCCCCTCCACGGTTAGTTGACCCTACGAGCATAGTTTTTGATGATTGCGATCGGGACTAATAGACACGCACCTCATTAGAGTTTACATTAGCTGGTCTGAATCAACCGCGACAGCAACGCTGGTCGAATGCCGCAGCAAAATGTTGCTCGGGCACACCGACGAACAAGTGCGTGTCGTGCACGCGAGTTCGCGACAACGATAACAACGACAATCGGGGTAGCGTCGACGAGCAGTTTGCGCAAGTGTGCGCTGCTCCGGGTATGACTGCTTGCCATGGAAGAGATGTTTTTAGTATGCCCCTGAGTCTCGAACATTTGGCCTTTGTGGATAAGCGGAGGAATAGCGACGCTGACATACAACAGGACAGTTGCTCTGCTGAAAGGTCAGTCATCTATTCACATTGTAGCGAGATATTATTTAAATTTCCATTGCGATTTCGATCGAAATTTCAGTTGCGATATGCCCGGTAAACAAAACGACGAGATGGATCCACAATCGAGTGTCAACGTAAAAAAATCGTATGATCGTGAGGAATGCCGGTGTTTCCTCGCGGGTTACAGTTACCAGCGGCCTATTTACCCTCGCGACAGCGAGTCCGTCGAGCTCGAGCTCACCGAGCTTATCTGTCAAGTTAATAAGACTCTCGCGCTCGTCACTATCGACAGTCTGCAGTATTTTCACTTTGCCGAGGGCCTTGGCATCGATATCACTAGGAATCGCGATAAAACAGTTGCTGTGATCATCGATCCAGCGGTAAGGGACCACCTCTCTTAATAATGATCATGACACGACGTTTCGGCGTGAATCTCTTGACATGTATTTATCCGATGACCTTACAGGACGAGAGTCAATACGTGATGGAAGAGATTTATGGCAGGAATGCTTTGGTGCGTTTCATTAACAACTTTACGAGCGGCTATCTCAGAAGGGCGATGCGCTCTAGCAGTCCGCGACGATTTGTACGATCCTTCGAGAGCAAGTGTAAGGCTGACGATGACTCGAGGATTTGCGTGCCTGAACTTTCGAGCGACAATTTTTTGAAGACCGTTCTCAATCCTCATAAGGTACAACTATACATTTATTCGTTTTATTGCTGGCAAAAATCATTGACATTTAACTGCTGTTCACAGGATGTCGTTGTAATGTATCATTCGCCGTACTGTGCATTTTGCAGTGCCGTAGCTTACGTTTACTTGACGGTGGCCCACTATCTTTCTAAAATGGACCATTTGGAATTTGTGCGCATCGACGGCGACAACAATGATTTGCCTTGGGAGTACACCATGAATCGTTATCCGTCTATTCTGTTTTTCCCAGCCAAGAGGTAAGCGTTTTCGAAAAAGCGATACACATGAAGTTTTCTCGAATCACGCAAAGTTTTAAATGTTTTTTCTTCTCCGTTGTCACAGGAAAGAAGACAGCACACTTTTTCCGACCAACCTTCAAATCACCGTGGGCAACCTACTTAGCTTCATCTTAGCAAATTGCAATGAAGAATCCCACTTGGAAGCATTAATTAATATATGCGCGATAGGAGCTGGTGGTTCGGCGGAAAGCTGCTTGTCGCGTACTCGCTGGTTCTGCCTCGATATTCTCGAGGCTCTTCTGCGAGATTTTCGTAAATTAAGAAGATTTAGAGCCGACAAGGAAAGCACTAAACGACTGTTGGATAGTCGTAGAAGGATATTATTACTGAGATTGAAGATCGTAAGGGAGGCGCATTTATTGCTTGGAACAAGTAGTAATTTGGCCAAGGAAAAACTTAAGGTTCGTTATTTGTTCAATGCGTCATTTATTGTTGAGAGTTAAGCATTGATGATAGTAAAATTGAATTAACAATTTGGGATGAACAGTGCTACATCTTCATGATTTTAAAGAGACCAGGTATTTTTGACTACCTATCAGACGAATTTTTCAAATTTTGCATTGATGTTCATTATTATTTCGTGAAAGTGATAACAATCAGTACGTAAAATTATTCAGCCATAATTCAGACTTAATAGCTTATTATACATTACATAAAATTTCATATATAATAATATTTTTAAACTGGAAAGATTTTGTTTTCAACATTGAGTTTTACTTATGGACGTAAATGATTACGTAGTGCCACTTGTTTTTGCGTCCAGTGAAATAAATCGATTATTCTTTTAAACTGATTGAATAACCTTGATCAAGATCAGTTTTTTTCGTAGAATTGAAATAAATCAGACCTTTTCTTCGATTAGTGGACCGTATTTTTTTAGCCAATCGAGGCGATACTAAAATTCATGTTTTTTTTGTTTGTCCACAGGTGCGGACATTAAGAAAGAAATTCAAGCGTTTCTATGCGAAGCTGGCGAATCTCGAGGATGAGCGAGATAAACAGTACTCGATGAGATATAGTAATAAAGAGGCGACAGCCATGGAACTAAACTCGTGATATCGGCATTTCCTTTCTATATATCGGAGCCGAAAAATTTAACTGGTTCCATGTTGTTGTTATTGTTGATTTATTAACATTTTATCTCGAGACTGTTACAAGTACTATATCTTACAGCTTTCAAGTACTTTCGGAAATGCCAAAGTAAATGTTATGCTCGGCGAAATCCCGGGAGAGAATGAAAGAAAATAAGTTTGGCAGTAATAAAATACATTTAAGTTAGCAGATATCCAAGAAAACTTTATTATTTTTTTAATGATAAAAATGTTTTGCATAAACAGGGTCGTAAAGAATCGCATTCGTATACTGCGTCTGTCGAGAAATCATTAAGCCGTCGGTGAGAGCCCGTGGGCTTTTATACGTTCGCGCGTTCTAATTTTGTTGTTGTTCAAGTTACGTTAGTTGCGCAAAAAAAAAGAGAAGAAAGATTATACGTTTATGTACGATACCGTAGAATCCTAATAAACATTCAGCCGTCTAAAAAATTGATATAGTGATGAAGTTCGAACATAAACAATAGAACGAATCTACTTAAACGGCAAAAAAAGTTTAACCCCGATAGCTATGCCCCGTTATATTACTGCGCTTAAGGTTTTATATAATTTTGAGTTGATAGTCATTCCCTGTTAAATTAGCACGTTACACTAATTAATAGAAATGAAGAGAAATGTTGTTTACAAATCGCACGATGGATTATATTTCATGTTCGTTTGTTGATAATTCCAAAGCAGAACGAAGAATGAATTTGTGATTGAAAGTCATGAAATTATCCTATTCCAATGGCTTTGTCAAGTGACAACTATAGATTATTCCTCGCAAGAAAATCATGATAACACGACCGGTCGGAAATGTATTCTACGGATGACGCATATGTATCTGCGCGCCAGTTACAACGGCAAACCTAAAGGAATTAGTAATCAATAATCGCTCGTCTTTGATACGATTATATGAGAATCAGAGAAGGCAAAGGAGCAAATAGAAAAGAAAAAGTCGCAAAACTATCTTTATAGTCGTTGGTATTCTCCATTAGTCATCGCGTTGGTAATATCTCTGTCTCTCTCGCGATGGCTTATCGAATGAGAGAGCGCGTACGTTCATTATTCCCCACACGACAGCTCCTCGCACGAGTGTGCGTCCGAGTATACGTTATCGAGGAATCGGCGAGGATAGAATGAAATCATCGAAAGAGTTACGCGCGTCGCAATATCTAATCCTCCCACGCGCGAGTTGGGCATTATACGCGCGGCCGGCCGCGATTAGTCACTTTTTCCCACACGTCCTAGCAGCGGTCTGATAACTCGTCGCGCGCGCTGCGTCTACAATGCGTGGGTGTGGCTTGACTATTTCTGGATAGGAGAGCCGCTCGAGCTGCCCGACGCGGTCGTTATGATATGGTGGGCTTTCGGTAGATACAGCAGATTGATCGTTCGCTTCATTCATATATACATATATTCGCGTGCCGAAAGATAAACTCTTGTACTAATTGCCTTTGATAATAATACTTTTTTTTATCAATTCGTGACTCAAACTTTTAACTCCAAGGACACGCGAGACATTTATAAGCGCGCCTTGGGTAAATAGAAATCATTATATTTTACCGCTCACTGCATGCTGCTGAGTTATCCGATATGGTCATCTTGACGTTTTAAACGAGTATCGAATGTCGGTCGGTTCATTGTTTTGATTTCTGTTTAAATACCACAAGGCCAATAACACAGATGTTTTTCCCAAATAGTGAGCTACTAGTTGTAATATTATGAAGAAAATGGTTAAAAAACAATTAAACGACAATCTATAAAAGCTTTCGCGTAACGTTGATAGACGTGCACGCAGATGGCTGATTTTATTTTTATGATTTACAAATTCCGATACATGTAATAGTTTATTGAATGTTCTATGATTTGCCGCCAAGATCAACTTGTCGCTGGTACTATTATTTTTGGAATATTTTGATAACAGATATTTTTAATAAGGATCCAGATCGATTATATAAAGTATTTTTGTGCAATGTATCCAGCGCAATGCGACAGTATGTTGTAAAGTAGCGTTTGAAAATATTTTTATTAATAAAAACCTAATTCAAAGTATAAAACTGTGTGTAGTTTCTTTAAATACATCAGCGAATAAATTCATTTTTTTTAATATTTTATCGACCAGTATTTTCAGTTTTGATTGTTATACGATTATCCTTTTATTTTCTTATGATCCTCTTATAACACGGAGAACTTGTAATTTTTATATTACATCTTTTATGTTATTTTTGAAGCTTTTTAATGAATTTTCAACTTAGAACTTGGGATGATAAAAACTTAAAACTTCATTGATAACAGTTTTAAATCATGAACGAGTATCAACGTAACTACTGCTTTATTTATCAACAAATAATATCGTCGGTTATATCAAATCGTGGAAATATTTAACGCATACTGAATTTTCTCATTTTCAATCTCGCCAGTAAAAATGTTGATTTATATTCGTGCATTAAAATAAATGATTAAAAAGATGAACAAGATGAGAGCTACACATTACTAATAACTTAAATTCGTTATATCTCATAAAAGTATCGCAATATACAAGTACATAGTAAATTTTCTTCCTTTCGAATTCGTATCGATACAAATAATTTTCCACATTCAGAACAGAAGACGTTAGACGATTCATCGCGCGAACTGTCCATTACAGGTTGTGCGAATAAACCCGCGAAATTTCAAAAATAACGCCGCGTGCCCACCACGCATGCGTCCGTCAAAAGCAGTTAGCAGACCTACTTTTGGCGCGGCGAGTTATCACATTCCCCGTAGCCAACGTGTATAGATAGTGTGGTATATATAGAGCGATATCGGGTGCGCGCAACTGCTCACCCACACAAAACGACGGCAGCTCCTTTCACGCGCAACAGTTAGCCGCCCGCGTCATACACCTATATACTTTAAGCATGTATGTCCATATCGTATATATAATGGAGTATCATACAACCTCTTTTTCGAGCTACTGTACCCGCGCTAAAATGTAATTTCCGTTAAGCCCAAATTGAGCGATTATTGACAAGAATTAGCCGATAGAATGAAACAGTCTAACAAAGTGCTTGTCGTTTTGGGGAGAAATTGAGAGAGAGAGAGAGAGAGAGAGAGAGAGAGAGAGAGAGAGAGAGAGAGAGAGAGAGAGAGAGAGAGAGAGAGGCATTCTACTTCGTGTTATCACAGTGGCCTTTAATATATATGTATATATACTTTTAATGGTCAAACATCGAAATATCTCACGCGACTGAAGAAGCAACCCTTAAGCTAAAAGTGGTATCGTTAGAATGGGACTGATTATTCGTTGGACTCACGCGCAGGTAAACAATGTGCGCGCATCAGGCCACAGAGCAGTAGCGAAATTTCAGCGCATGCGCACTTATTGGTCGCTGCTGCTACTTTTCATTATTGGACTGTCGGCTGCATCCACAATATCCCCAACCCCATCTGACATCCGACTGACCCGACACGCTATGCTATTTGCGATGCTCATGGAAACTTGAAATTCACTTTATGGATGGTTTTGTGTGAAATATGAAATTTAGACAATTCGTTATATGTATATCTAATAAATTATTGTAAATATTCGTATTGTTCAATATTTCATTATAATACAATTGATAAGCTAAATATATCAGTAGTGTACTGTCTATTTATTAATTATTTATTAAACGTTGCAAATATATAACTAGTTACATGGTTTAATAAATTATTATGTCAACCTACCGTAAAATAATTGAAGTACGATGGATTGTATTATATAAATATTGCAAATATTGGAAATTTCCTATTTATGTATGTACACACATACAATTAGAACAAGTTATTACCAATAATAATTCATTCTATGGGAACAGATTATACTATAATAAGTATATTAATGACAATTAATTCATATTTTGTTGAACTGCTGCTAATTCCAGTTTTACTCAGGTAATTATACTGTAACTCGTTCTTATTTTTTCATTTATTGTTTTTATATTACATGTGTATTTTCATTAACTGATTGATAACAGAAAATATTGTATGAAAAAACAACGCGCATATAATTGTTTTATAAAATCAGTTAATAACATGTTTATTTAAAATAAATTAAAAATGTGTAAGCGTTTAAATGTAATTATAATTGATTATCGTAACATTTATTTAAATATTTTCAAGGGCAAATATTCTAATAGGAGTTGGTATGATTGTCGGTAAAGTAAATCTCCATGAGTAGCGCATAGTACATGTTGTGGACGCAGCCTTCATGCTTTGCTTTCCGTCAGCTCGTCAATCGCAGGTCAGTACAGAGTCAGAGGCAGTCTCTGCTCGGCCTTATTAGTGTCCGGGTGCTGCGCGATTGATAGATGGTCGGTGTGGCGTGCGTATGCGGTTGTTGGGATTAGCAGCAGCTGCGCGATCATGATAAAGAGTAGCGAAGAAGAAACGACTCGCGTTGTGTGTGTGTGATAGTGTGCAAGTTTGTTTCTTTCTCACTCTTTAATCTTGCCGTCGCAGTTGCTGTTGTTGTGTGTTGTTTCGTTAGCCATGTTCGATGTGCCAGCCAAGTTCTACGAGCTCTGCCGGCTCTGCCTCTCTCATGACGGCGTCAAACTATCCATCTTCGAAGAAGAGGGTAGTCAGCGTAATTTCGCCGAAAAAATTGCCAGCTGCCTTTCTATTGCGGTAAGTTACTTTTCGAAACTGATGTACAACAGATAGGGAGATAGAGGTTAGGTACTTTTTTGTCAATTCGTCGAAATTTTACCGATAAAATTACCAGCTACCTTTCTATTGCGGTAAGTCACTCGTCGAGGTTGATGTACAACAGATAGGGAGGTAGAGGTTAGGTTTCTTTTTTCTAACTCGTTCTGATAACGATGACCACGACGACGACGACGACGACGACGCCGCCGCCGCCAGCACCGATTGTGAATTGAAGGATGCGAAAGAGAGAGAGAGAGAGAGAGAGAAAGAGAGAGAAAGAAAGAAACAGAGAGGGAACCGTTATATAGCTTTCTGTCGAATTCTTTTTTGTTTGTTTGTTTGCGTTTGTCAATGCGCTGCTTTACGTAACGTTGGCTAATTAAACGATAGGAGAGATAACGAGGCTGGCTGTCTGGTATCACTTACGTAAGCACAAATGTGTGTATCTGTGTGTCAGTATGTGTGTGCGCGCGCGCGAGAGAGAGAGCGCGAGCTAATGCCCTTTTACGCTACGAGAACACACAAAGGAAGGAGAGCGGCGGAGGCACATAGGCAGCAAGCAGCAGCTCTGTGGCTGCTGCCGCTGCTTGACAGAGAGAAAGTTTGGCACACGAGATGTGCTCAAGAGATAAGCTATATCCCCCTTCCCCATTTAGTTGTATACCGTAGGTAGACTCTGTACTTACGATTATTATGCGTATGTTGTGTGATAAGCAAACACCAACACCTTTCTTTCGCATTATACGTATATCTGGTGTGCTCGTGTGTGCGCGCGCCACGCGATGTGTGTGTATATGTGTGTATGTGTGTGCGCGCGCGCTCGTGTTCGTTCGTTTATATATATATATGTATATACACTAGTGACCTGCCAGGCAGCAGCTGCAAGCGTGGGCCTCCAATGTGTGATACGACGCTTTGATAGCGTTCAACTTTTTTTTGTCCTCTTCTTGCGCCGATTGAGCGACTTTCTCCGTTTCGTTTCTAAAATGGAACTGAGTATTGCGCTCCGGGAAAAACGAACGAAAAAATTCGTTTTGAATAATCCGAGTGATTGGCTCGTTGATAAGAAAAACGATTTTTTGAAAGTTGCTTCGATACGAATCTTTCGTTATACGCTTCGTAACGCCTCTGTCTGTCTTCCTCTCTCTCTCTCCCTCTTTTTCTCTTTTGGTGTCACTTATCAATTTCTTGAACCAATTACAAAATCGATAGATATACGCACTTTACATTCCCCCATTGCGTCAACGTTATATTCTCACGCGTGATCACGTTTGATGTCCGTCCGTCTTGTATTTTTTATTTCTTTTTGCCTTATCAATCGCATTTTTCTGCTCAGTTGTATCTAAAAAATTGAAAGAAAAATCGATCTTTCAAATAATATTTGCACTTCGTGATAAGTAAGTAATGCATGGGGGCCATTGTAAATAAAAAAAATATGCCGAATTAGTATCAACGTATTTTCTTTTCAAGTGAAATTTTCCTATCGAAATTACTACATATTTATATATCTACAAAACTAGGTTATCGCGTCAGCGGTAGACGATAAAAGACGCGTGGCACGCGACTGAACGCGTTTCTATAATTATCGAGCGGGATGAGAGAATGCCGCCTCGCGATAAGCGTCAATTCCGCGATAAAACTCCATTTGTTTTTGTTTGTACAGTCAATTGAACTTGAAGCTGTTATCGTCTTGTCGGGCTAACCTTCAATCAAAATCTCTGCTTTATCAGTGAACGAAGCAAGACTTTACCTCGGCGTTATGAATCATCGAGCTCGGGCCGATTTTCTGATTTAAGAGTTCCCCTAAAAAGCGACGCGTGTGTAGGTGTGTGCCCGTGTGCGCGTGTGCGTGTTAGAAATTTTATTCCGTTATCCGGATAAACACGGAGCAAGAGATCGCGCTCGCGTTGTAATTATAGATGAGTTAAATCCGCAAGAAAAAAAGTCCACGCGACGTTCGCTTTATTTTCCCTTTTTTTATAGGTGAAAAAAAGAAGCTAAGTCGTTCGAATCGGGAATGGGTATGCGTAGTTTTTGGTTTTCTTTCGCGGCGAGTGATATCATCGCCGGGCGACAATGACGAAAGCGCGGTGCGCATTTAGCCGCGCGTACGAAGCGCGCACACGTGGAAAAAGTCCAAAAACGGCGACAGACAAAAATCCGATAATTACTCCCGATCTCATCCCACTCGCTTCCATATAGGTATATCCTTATCGTGCTATCTCTGTTGCTTTTTTTTGGCCGCGTGCCTTTGGGTTGCATGGTAGGGGAGAGCGAGCTCGCGAGATGGAGAGAGAGAGAGAAAGAGAGAGAGAGAGAGAGAGAGAGAGAGAGAGAGAGAGAGAGAGAGAGAAGGGAGCGCCTTATTTGGCTGGGCCCTCTTATCAGGTTTCACGAGACTACTACTACTACTGCTGCCGCTGCTGCTGCTGCTGCCACCGCTGCTGCTGCTGCTGCTGCTGCTGCTGCTGCTGCTGCTGCTGCTGCTGCTGCTGCTGCTGCTGTTGCCGCCGTTGCTGCTGCTGCTGCTGCTGCTGCTCGTCGCGGACTCTTCGTGAACTTGCCGACACGCTATTGTCTCTCTTTCTTTCGGATGGCTTGTTTTTTTGCTTTTTCTTTCTTTTTTTCCGTTCGATCGACTGGCTCTATCGTTATCTTTTTGCAGTACCATTTTTGCGTTAATTTCGCTGTCTGAGAACCAAGATCTATTCGCTCTTCGAGCATTAGAATTTTCATGCGTGTTTTTCAATTATCAACCTGATGGTGTACACAAACGCACATACACACACACATATATTACACACAACGGTTCGTTACACAATAACCCAAAAAACGACTTTCATCTAAGTGTGAAAAATTGAAATACGCAAGACATCCGGCATTTCACAAATCGATGCTATCATCGAAATATCCCTCTTCCGTTGAATCATCATCACGCGACCAATCACTTTTCCAAAGAGAAAATAAAAAGAAGCTTTCTCCTCGATTTTTATTTCTTTAGGCGATTTGCTGATTAGACTCGTCGTAGCTTATCAGCCACGTTTGCTGAAAATTGAGAATGCACGCGTGCGCGCGCGAACGGTCTATTTCCGAGGGTCGCGAGACTTTGGTTATAACAATCGAAGCCACCTGCGCGCGAATTTTAAGCGTTCTTTTGGTCGCGTTTCGAGGCGTTGTGTCGCGCGCTCGTTTCCTCAATTTTCTAGGATCGAGATAGATCGAGAAGGACACGACTTTCGGAATGTATCGTTGGACGGTCCTAGCGCTTTGTTAATTGGATCGCGAAACGATTCGAGCCGAAAGCCAGCTGAGCTGTCACTGGGAAAGACCAGCGACGCGTCGATTGTCTTTTTGCGACGGCAGCGAAAAGAAGAGATAAGAAAAAGCAAGGAACGAGCACGTCGGTACAATCGAAAGGAACAAGAAGCAGACAGTTGTCGGCGAATCTTGGCATCTCGCGCGAGATGCACGGATATATAGCCGTCCGCCGCGCAGCGGATGCAGCGGCCAAAAATAGAGCACACCCCATGCTGCTGCTGCTGCTGCTGCCGCCGCCTGCGCTGTCGGCAGCGATAAGCTAAAGTTAAATCGTCGCCGTTGTCGTCGTCGTCGTCGTCGTCGTCGTCCGCCGAGAGATTACCGATAATGCAGCTTCGCTTTTGGCCACGGTCGCGTGTATTTTGTCAATCGTTCGCTGGCTCGTCTGGTTTCGCGCGCGCGGGGCTTTTCCGCTTGTAATCAGCTTAATCGAACCTATTCTTTGGCTTGCTATCAGCGCTGTATATAGCCCCCGGTGGCTTCTCGCCAGAACCAAGTGGGTCCGGATTTCGCGAGAGCCACATTGATATATAACATCCGAGGAATCTGTAGATACCACGAGCAAAGTCATTGCTTCGTAGCATGCGTCTAGAAATTTAGCAGATATCTCAATAATAAAGCTCTAGATTTATTTAAATCAGCCGGCGATTGTGCGCAGTAACAAAGCCCGAGAATTGGTTCGCGTCGTATTACCGTGCACAATAGTTTACGTGTAAAACAATTATGTGCACAATCGTCGGCTGGCCATCGCGATATGAAATAAGATCGGCATATTTCGTAAGCGGACAACTCGAGTAAAAGTTCAAATACGCTCGCTGTAAAGTAATCATTGCCACGGTATTATTCTGCAGTACCTGATAAATGTCTTAGCTTAATACGTACCCCGAGGAAACTCCGATATTTCCGTCAAATCAAGAAAACTAACGCGATCAATCGAGTCGGTGTCGCCGGGCAAATCAATTTTTAACTTGGAAGCCACAGCCCCGTGCAGTCTTTTCAAAGCGAAAGCGTGCGTCGCAGTTGAAAGGGCCCCAAGGATAGATAATTCACACTGAATATTCAGTTACAAATAAAGTTCTGAATTGTGGCGGCATAACGACGGATCTGTCAGCTAGCTTTATCGGCGCGTCAACTAACAGGATAGTAATTTTGATTGGCGCTTGCAGGTGGAGGACGGGGACTCGCTGCCACCGATAATCTGCCACCGGTGCGTCTACAAGCTCGACGTGCTGCACAACTTTCGCGAGGTGTCGCGCAAGTCCGACGTCATACTCAAGCAGTACATCGACTACGCCAAACAGCTGTCTGGCGTCACGCAGCAACAACTTGTAAGTACATATGTCCGTTTGACGGACGCTCGTGGTCGCAGTCCACTGCCCGATTTTCACGAGCGCTCGGTCACCAACGACAAACTCAAATCAAATTCTTCAATTTCTTCAGTTTCCGACCAAAGTCCTACGAGATGAAACGAAAGTAGCATTCGTATTTTTAGTTTTCACCGAAGATAACACGGCGACAGACCGTAACAGGCCAGAGAAAGAGCCGACATATTCCCAGTGATAAGCCTCGCATGAACTCTGACAATTGCGTGCAGTCGCTTTCGTAATAATAATTCAGGCGATGATAATTGGGGCGAATGCACTGTTGCCGCTCTCGCTCCGTCAATTAATTACGCGCCTCAAAAAAAAAGTTGCTTATTCGCTCTCATTTGCACGTGGTACGTATTATTCTGGCGTGTACCCTCCTTACGATTTCAAAAAAAATCTTTGTGCCGGCGCTGTTTCACAAGCGGATTGCAAGAATGTCCCGCCGTTCGGTAGTTGAGATTGCGCGGGAAGCAGCTTCGGGAATGTAACTTGAAATATGAAAGCAATTTTTCCGTAATATTTCTTGAACAGCAGCGCATTCGATTGGCTCTCCGTTAACGACCATCGTCATTCGCTCGAAAAACGCCGTTCGCCCGGGTCGCAAACCGCGTACTCGTTAATTCAGTCTTCTCGAGGCAGCTTACTCGCCTCCACGTCATCGCGTTTTATCTCGATCCGAGAGAGAGAGAGAGAGAGAGAGAGAGAGAGTATTGCAGTTCCGGGTTCGGTATTTGACGAGGGAAAAATAAATAGAAATCCAGTTGTTGACGGCGTGCACCGATAAATAAGCGCGCGTTATCGGAAAATGATAAGGGAAAAATGACCGCCGTGAGGACAGGAGAAAAAAATTGCGTCGCGCCCTCACCGGCCGTTTCTTTCCCTTTTATCTTTTATAAAGAAGAGATGGGTCTCAAAGTGAAACCAGTTTATTCATGATCTGATTGACTGAACTATGGTCACGTGGGTTGGGTTACTATCTGTAACATGTATGCGTATGTAAGCAGACTTATATGCGAGTAGCCTGGGGCTAATATCTAGAGCCTAGAGACTATTTTGAAATCAACGTCGTATTTGCAAGCAATTAAAATTTGTAATTTAACTACAAAATTGATTTAGACTTAGGCACTAGGCTCTAGGTATTAGCGGTAACCTACTCGCATGTAAGTTTTACTTTTTGAGAAAAATGCGGTGGCAAGTAGCAATCGAGTCTGCATCTTAAGACGCGTATTTGTAAATTGGATGTTTACCTAAATTACCGGAATTGGGCTATGACTGATAGCATTGACTAACTAATTGACTAATTGAAAAAATAAAAGTGGTATTTTCAACTAAAAATATTCTTTTTTAAAGAATTTTCTCAACATTACATGAATCGACTTGGGACATTTTTCAAATAATAGATGGTAACCTAGACTTTCCATCCAACTACTAAAATCGTCGATGACGAATATGTCGTAGTGAGACACACGATAAAAGTGTTTCGGAGGAACCCAGAATCTCCATCTTACTGTATACAGAAGATAGAAGAAAGATATAGATACTCGCGCGTTGCCACTGCTTCGTCGTTAGGTCGTGCCTACTCGCATGCGAATCACGAGCGCGACTCTTGATCGATAGCAAAAGTAGCAAATCGCTGCTAATAAATAGCTCAAGTTATTTTACATCAATTTATTATCCATCAATTGCGTGAATAAAAAATAATAATACAACCATGTTCGGTCGACGGCCTAACCTTACATGTAATTCGCTTAACTTTGAATAAATATAATCAATAGTAAAGAGAATCGTAAGTCGATGATTGTTTTATAAAAAGCAATAACTTCGGCTAATATGCTACAGTAAATTCTTGAAAGAACTTTCTGACATTAAATTTACAAGTGTAAATATAAAGTCAAGAATGTGTAACGGAGATGAATAGATAAAAGATGACAGGTTCGTTGATTGCTGAAAATGAACATTTTGAAATTTAGCTTGTGAAAAGCAATTAGTCGAAACTGACTTACAGTATTTTTGTCAAGAAAATACGTCTACTGATATGGGAATACCGTATAGAAAAAGTTTTGAATGATAGAGAAATACGTCGAAAAATAAAGAAAATGACATTGTTAGGCATAACTGATGGTTCGATTGATTTAGAAAAAGAAAAAGTAACGAGCTTAGTGCACTTCCCATTACTTATCTAAACACCTGATAATCTGCTACGTTATTAGATTTGAAATTATAACTGAATATATGAATATAAATTAAATTGGATTTTTATTTACCAATGTGAACGGACGTTGAGCTTGTCAAAGCATAAATTTGATTGATGTGTGCGATGTATTTTAGAATTTCGTCTACAAAGAGTTTTCATTTGCTTCAAGTGCATAAGACTGAATATTCAATAGAGACGAAAGATGAGCACACTCGATGACAGCAGTCTTAGAACAAATCAAAGTGACTTTGCCGGCGCTGCGCGCGATAAGATAGCCATCTCGAGGCTCATTACGCTTATGTGTGTATGTATATATATCTACACCACGTGTAGACGAAGGGAGGCCGCCGCCGTGGCTTACGCAACTCGCAGTTTCTTTCTAATCGGCCGTGTAATGGGCGCGAGGTGAGAGAGTTTCGCCGTCTGGTCTCCTCTCGCGATCGATCGACAATCGACAAAGCGATTTTGGCGGACGATCGAGAGTCGAGTGGGGCGCCCCGGCAGCGCATCGAACGCCGCGTTCGGCGACTTTGAAAGTTGGCGCGAAAGCGCCCGCCCCGATCGGCCGGAATCATCGAGTCGGCGCTCGCCTGCTTGCTCGCGCGCTTTATTTATAAGCGCGCCGCGCGACCGGTTCGCTCGCGCGCCAGTCGTAATAATATCCGCGAAATTGGCCGGCCGAAATGGTCGCGCGCGAGGCCCCGCGCTGTTTTTCGGAATGCAGCAGTCGGCGGACACCGAGCGCGCGCGCAACGCCCCCCCAAGACCGCTGCCCGCCTCTCGCGACGTGCTCGCGCGTGGAAAAACGGCGACGACGCCGGGACACGTAACGCTTCGGCCGTACGTACTCGCGCCGCGGGCTTATCGCGATCGGCCGTGGTTTAAGTAGAGTGTGCACATGCTGCACATTCCCAGTTGCATCATTACTCGGAAGAGAGCTGCCGCCGCCGCCGCCGCGCTTGTGTCAGCGCGTTTACATGCCCGTTGCACCTGCTCGACTTTTCCGAGCGAAAATATATGTGCACAGAAATCAGCGGGCGCCGATAACGCTCGCGTTTTTCCTGCGCCTCTGCTCGCTCGAGACGTCGGTCAGAGGCTGCTGCTGGGATCGACCAGTAACTTCGTCCTACGCGGAACTCGTAATGCGACAAATAAAAACTGCTTGATCTTGCGCAACTCGCGCGCACAAAAGTCCGATACGTTTTTTCGCTCGTTATTGCGAGAATCGGTTCAATAGCTCAGTCCTGTGGTATGCTAATCTTTCGTGAGAATATGAATCGGTTAATGAAGCTTTCCACCTCAAAGTGGGTTGCTGCCCACAAAATCATTTGTTTCTATTCAAATGGCATATGGAATTGGTTTTGACTGAACGCAAGATAGATTTCAAACAAGTTCTGTAACTCTATTGCAATCACATGTATGTAAGACAGGAGCCAAGGAAGTTCTTTATTTGAAATTCGAATGAACTTTTTATTTTTACACGTAGATCAATTTAGATTGATTTCTTCATTTTTGACCGTTAAGAAGATAGTTACGACCGAATTGTGAACCATTTGAATGTAAGCGTACACAAACTATGCAGAATAATCGACTTTTCATTCGCAAAATTTAAGGCTCTTGAAATTGATTATTTTACGTCAAGAATCCTAAAATAAGTCTTTTAGTATATGATTTATACTGTAGTAAAGCCAACATTTCAAAACTCAACGATTGAGTTGTCAAATTGTTGAAAAGTTGACGAAACTCTTTTCGACTTGGCTAATATTAGCGAAATTTGTTTAGAAAGCTATTGTAATACTTTTTGAAGTAGACCAGTTTAATCAGATGATTTGATTATAATTAGTTTTTTGCCATTAACAAAAGACCTTATTTGTACAGGAGGAATCAATGAAAAACAGTAACAGCAGCAGCAGCAGTACGTCAGACGAGCTAACCCCACTGCAGTCGTTTTTGCAATTGAACCGCACGCTGTTCAACGCCTCGCCAAATTCGCCGGTGAGCATAAATCAAGACCAATTGCCAAAGGAGACGCGACGAAATCATGTGGAACCACAGCAGCAGCATCAACGTAGTAATAATCGCGAACAGCAGCACCACCACCACCAGCAACATCAGCAGCAGCAGCAGCAGCAAAAATTAAGCAGCATGAGCACCAATCAAGAGGACGACGCGTGTTCAAACGACTCCGATCCTGGTAGATTAGAAATTGAGGAGGAGCGTTACGACGAAGACGAGTTGGCTCGAGATCACGAGGAGACGAGAAGCAGCTTGCATGACGCAAAGAGGATCAAGCGCGAGCATAACGACGAGCCATCGCAGCAGCAACCCGCCAGTCCAATCAATCGGATGGACACACCGGAGAGCAACTGTTCGGATACGCAGGTTGATCAAGAGACTACCAAACTCTGGCAAGCGTTGGCCAGGTGAGATTCATAACACACGCGTCCTTTTACCTGAATTATATCCATCGAAAAAGTGCATTCACTCGACTACGTTTTCCCCGATCTTCGCATCGAATGCATGCCCTCACTCGTACGATTTTATAGTTCGTCCAAACGAATGTAGTCTAAAAATACTTGTGCTTGCTCCCGCGCGTGCTTGTAACACCCTTGATTTGTCTTTTCAAGTTTAAAAATGGATTGAATGAAAGTTCATGAATTTTCAAGGTTTAGTTTCTTATTGTAACATAAAACGAGCTATGGTAACTTTTATCTGAATGCAAATTCGAATTCTACGGTTTCAGATTTATTGACCATCAGACTTTCTTTTATATATTTGGTCCTATTCAAAATTTTAAACCTTGTAAAATTTTGAACGCTGTAGCACTGAGTGGAATATTGAATGCAGTTTGCGATTTTCCAAAGCACATCTAAGGATCGGAATTTTTAGTAGAAAGAAATTATTATTCTCAACATACTTTGAGCACTAAAACTCGAATTTTAAATCAGATCGATGCTATTATTTTTAGGTTTCGTTTATTATTTTATAATTTATTTATAAAATTTAGAACGTGAGCAGAGTTTAAAAGATTTGAAGCCCGGTGCCGGATTGTGCTTTGTTTTCAGTGAAATCGCTCATAAATCTGCGTTAGTTGCTCATTTATAGAGCAATTATCAGCACAATGAACGCATTAGTTTAAGATAAAATTTATGCTGGCTGACAATTCGGAAAAGTGTGTCATTAGAGCGAGCTACTCATTAAGAAGCTTCGTGCCGCAACCTGCAAAGGTTGTAGCGTGAGACAGTGACTCTTTAACGTCTGTCGCACTTTACTTTAATAAGATAAACTTATTTTTCCTTTTGTCTTTTTATCTTGTGCAACGGATTAATTTTGATTATTGTCATGTATTTCATTCACGTCGAACCGCACAAGATAAGCTAATTCGATTTATTTTTTGTTCCTACAGCAATCGTAATTTGGAGATAACGCGGACAAATGGCGAGCGTCCCATGCCTCCGCAGCATCAGTACAATAATAACAATGGCTTTGCTAGTACAGGCGAAGCGACAAATCTGTTGCGCAGCTTGATAAACAATCGGCAACTCGGCATTAGCGCAGCACATACATCACCACAGGCGTCAGCGACACAGCAGCAAGCAATGCCACAGATACGCTTTTACAGAGACACCCAGGGTGCACCTACGCTTATCACACCTGCTGACTGCGCTGTGCTCGGCAACAGGACCAATATCGAGCCCAAGGTTTGTCTCAAACTACTACGTAGCTACGAAATAAGCTAATCAGTCGAAAAGAACCTACGGTAGCGGCTTTCTGCTTTCCACAACGTGCTCGACTATTCTAATAATCGAAGGTTTATTGCTATTGGACCGGAGTTTTACAGTAGTCCGTTGGTACATTGTGAGCTCGACAAGAGATTTATACGACTCTGCAGAGCATGAACGGAAGAAACGTGTTCATAATCCATAGTATGCAAAGGGCTGTAGTTTTGAAGGAAAAGTTGTCGTGACCCATGGGGATTCGTTGTAAATCACACCGACACTGTTCTGTCTACGAATCTTCTCTCTTATCTACCTCGGTGCGATAATTTGCGCTTCTCCGGAGGCGCTGTAAAAGCGAACGATGCACCTGCCCTCGTCCCCGAAACTGCATAAATCTCTTGTCTCCTGCCCCGTGCATTGTTATCGCTTGCTGGACCACGACTTTACCTGAGGGATTTGTGCAGCTTTCCCTTTTCTCGTTCGATACCTCCTGATGGTCGTTTGACCTGTAGCTTTGGTCACGCTGCCATTGCTCTCACTATCTGCATAAACCTTTTCAATTGTTATGTTTACCAAGGCAGGGCCCAAATGAGAGTTACCGTTGCCAAGGATAGCTTCCTTCTCTTGTTGTCATTTGAAATCCAGTTGATAACTTTTCAGGTACAAATGCACCAAATATTTAAGACGTAAACAGCAATCCGAGCGGACTGGCTTCGGGTCGGAAAAGTTGAACGAATAAAAAAAACAAGCTTCCTCCCTTGACAAAAGCAACTTCCCGATAGAGAGAGCGAGAGGGAGAAAGAGAACATTTCAACTTTATAAAAGTCCAGAAAGGAAGGACGAGGAGAGAAAAGGTGAGGGCGCGCATGGAGCGATCGTTTTTCCCTGAAAAGGCCGTTCGGGCGCGTTTGCATTGTCAGAGGGGAAAAGCGGCTTTTTCGCTTTTCTCGAATCAATACTTGCCCCCTCTGCCGCGATCAGTGGAAGCCTTTGGAGGATATTCTTTTTGTTATCTGCGGAACATCTGTTAACAGAGCGCAGCCGCCTCATCTTCTTTTCTTCACTCTCTCTCTCCCGAATTTCTCCGAAGCGCTTATCTTTTTCACGGCCGACTGGAGGCTGCTGCTCCCCTCTCTCACACTCTCTCTCTCTCTCTTTCTTCCTCGTCCTGTCAGTCCTTGCTTCTGCGTGCTCTCGATGATCATTTTAATATACATTTCCGTGCTTCGCGGGAACTGGTTTGTAGCCATTATCACGTTATTAATCGTGCTCCGTATCGATTAATAACGTGATAATGGGCTTCGGAGGAATGCTCGATATATTTTTTTGACGAAGGTCTTTCTTTCGTTCCCTCCGAAACTGTGTCATTATTAGCTCCCCTCTCCGCCTTCCCGCTCTCTCGCTCTCTATCTTCACGCTCCGCGGGCGTCTTTCTTGGGGCGATTTTTATTTTTGAAAACGCGCTGGTCTTGCGCGCAGTACCTCAAAGTACCTAAAGAAGGTGACGAATCCAGTACAGAACGATTCAAAACGTTATCCTTGACAGCGGATAAAAGAAAACTGCGCGAAGGCATGGGAAAACCTTGGGAAGGTAGGCGGTTATAGTAAATGCAGAGTCCATCGACGGGGCAAAAGCCGAGACGAAAGCAAAAGCAAACGGTGGGACAAAGCGCTGTCCGCGCGCGCGAAATCAGTCCTTGGCCGTGGTCGTTGTTGTGTTCCCCGAAGGGAGGATAAGAGAAGAGAAGGTGAAGGCAGCAGGCCTCAAGCCTATATCACAAAAGGCCGCACATTTCGGCTTCTCTCTCTCTCTCTCTCTCTCTCTCTCTCTCTCTCTCTCTCTCTCTCTCTCTCTCTCTCTCTCTCTCTTTCTCTCTATCTATTATCTACCGGGGTCCCCTTTTTACCTGCGCACAATCCGCCGCGGCACACTGCGAGAGAGCGGAGGCAGGTGTGGGCTGCTGCTTACCGCTGCGTCGAGTTCTCTTTCAATGGCTCTCCCTCTCCTCTTATATCAGCGCGCGGAGAGCGGCACACCGAGCCTCTATACTGCTCGTCCTGCTGATATTGCGTTCGCCAAACGCACGCGAGATCCGAGCGCGGCCAAAGGACACGAGCTCGCCGCGGCCTCGTTTCTCGTGGCGCGGCTTCGTTATCGGCGCTCGACTCGCGGCTTCGCCACGCCGGCTGCGGCGCTCGATCGAGACGGCTCGCGGCGAACGCGCTCCGAGGGAAAACACGAATATTTACAAACTCGCGCGCGCATCCTCGGCCGGTAGCAGCAGCAGCAGCAGCACCGCTGTAGGGCTGCTCTCCTCCGAAAAGGAGAGCCGTGGGCATGTGCGCGCGAGGCACAGGAAGCGGCTTTGTGTGCGCCGAGGTCCATCTGTCTCCTCTCCCCGCGTTTGCCGTGGCACACACACGCTCGCGCGCCTATGTGCAGCTTCAAAGAGTTCTGCCCCGGCGATTTCGGATCTCTCTCTCTCTCTCTCTTTCTCCCTCGCGGTGGTCAGCCTACGCCGATAAGTCGATGCTTGGAAAAGAGCCAGCCCCCGGGACTCATTTATCTGTCAACAAGTGTCCCGTCGATTTCTCGTCGCTCTCCGTGCGCGAAACAATAAACGCTCGCGCGGACGACGCCAAAGTTTTCACTTTTCGGGACAGAGAGGGGGAGGCACAGCGTCAAGATGCACAAGTATATACGACAGGAAAATAAAACAGAGCGGCTCTCCTCGAACTTTCATATCGCCATTTTCAAGAACGAGAGGAAGGAACTCGCTGTTCGTGAGAAAGAAGGTAGCTTTATCGGGACGAGCGCGTCGTCGTCGTCGTCGTCGTCGTCGTCGTCGTCGTCGTCGTCGTCGTCGTCGTCATCCGTGGATTGATCGATGAGAAAGAGAGAAACTTGTCTTCGCGGCCGAGCGGCAAAGAGAGAGAGAGAGAGAGAGAGAGAGAGAGAAAGAGAGCGGGAGGAAGGGAGAAGGAGGTGGAAACGAGTCGTGTGTGATAGCGTTCTCTCTGTACGAAGTTGCGCAAGGGCTTCCGCTCTCTTTCGCTTACTCGTATCGGTGCTGCGAAGCACGCACTCACACCACGCGACTTCCCAACGAATGTCTACCTTATCGGTTCCTTTTCTCTCTTTGCCCGAATCTCGACTTTTACATCCAAACATCTTCGTGCAATCGCTAGAGTAAGTTTCAGTCTTTGAAACGCTTGTCGCGCACGTGAGTTTGAATCTGCGCTTCGGGATAAAATGGCTCGGAAACTTTTTTTGAAATTTATCGTGGGTTTGTTTTGTAATGTCGATGATTTTTTTTTTTAATAAAATGACACTCTTATTTTAATCGTCAAACAATGCATGATTCAACAGTCGGAATCAGCGACGTATTCGTAGTTGGCACTCACGGAAACTTTATTTTCTAGATGATGTAGGTAGTCACGTAAAAATAATTCTAAATATTATCCGTTTCTGAAGAAAATCCAACACATGAAAGCAATAACATTCAATCGGTTGGAAATTCGTTACGGATTTTCAAATAGCATGCTTAAATTTGGATATAATTGTTTGGATAGAAATGTTTGAATTAAATGTCACCCAAACTCTTCGAGCTTTATAAACATTAAAATTACGCAGCAACAACGGAAAAAATAAGTCACTTCTTTTTTTCTACGTTGAAGCTCCAACGATCGATCATTCAAAGAATCATACAACTGATCCGAAAACTAGTTCTCGCGTGTGTACACGATATATGTAGCATCAGCTGAGTTTGCTATCGGTAGCGTTTACTTGCGCACGATAAGAAGACAAACGTTTGCCGTAGCAGCACCAGTTATGTTTGATTTTCAGATTCAATAGATTAGGCATTTGTCCGCGCTTCGTCTCGGCAAACACGGCGCGTGCACGAGACCGACGTTAATGTTTCTTTTCTCACTTGACAGGGTGTGGGACTATGTTGAATCGCATCCTGAAGAACAAGAGAGCGTATAACGAATTATTACTTGTGCATTGCAGAACACATCAATGGACAGTAATCCATCGTCACCCGGTAGCATTGGCAGCCAAGCTATCAATAACGGACCGAGGAAGGAGAGCAAAGGTAGGCGAAAACAGAGCTACCCGAGCAAAGCACCCATCAGCCCGGTAGATTACTCCGAGGACGAGCCACTTCACGACTTCACCGCCTGGCCAAGCAAGCTCAAACGGAAGGTATGCGCGCGAAGCAATAGCGTCGCTCGGGTTATAACGAGCGATACGTCAATGCCCGTTTGCGCGCAGCTGCACGATGATCATCACAAGCAGTTGATGGACGAGAAGGCGACTTTCTCGCCGATTTCGTCCAACAACGGCAACAGCAATCTCGGCGGCACGAACAATAATCTCGGCGGGGCGAACAACGGCAACTTGACGCCCAACAGCATGACCAAGAAGGGCGACATGTCGTGCACCAACTGTGGCACCTCCACCACCACCATCTGGAGGCGAAACCTTAAGGGCGAGATGGTCTGCAACGCCTGCGGTCTCTACTATAAGCTGCACGGTGTTAATCGACCGATGACCATGAGACGCGACACTATACACACCAGACGGCGCAGGCCCAAAGGCGAGAAGGCTACCAGGCATCGAAGTACGTTGTTTCAGATCACTTCGCACAGCCGCCTTTGAAATGTTCCTAATTAATGAATAGAAGGAGTTCCTTGGTTATTTTTTTTTCTTTTAAACCGTTTTTTTTTCTTTTAAACCGTGCTGTTTTTTTCGACAAACCAAATGATTCTGGATGATTGATGAAACTCAACGGTGGCTTCGCATAATTACTATCAAAAACTCGAAAATGAATGTAGTTTTACTGCGGTAAAAGCTATTTACCACATACTTCAAGCTATTAATATCGCTCTTATTGTTTATCTTTCAAATTTTATTATAAATTGCCATAGCAGCAGATGTCCTTTTTATGTTCAAGCAGCCTATAATGATTTTTTTTAACTTTGCCTTTTTGTAGCCATAACCAAACTATATGTAAGATAGGACCTACCTTAAGCGACATGCGATTAATGCTATACCGTAAATCTTAATTTGAGCAGAAAAGGCTGATAATGGAGCTGGCATGCCGACGCAGCAGCCAACCGAGCAAATGGATCCGGAGAGCGCGGACATGCTCGAGGCTCTGCGCCGTCAGATCCAACCGCATTTGATGATGGCCGCACTCTCGACGCCCACGCAATCGCAGGTGAGGACTGCACCGCTCGGCGCCGCTCCCATCAACTTCAGCATTCCTCCGTCGGCATTAACCTCCTTCATGATGCAAGTGAGTATAGCAACAATGTTGAGCAGCGGAATAAGTTGCGAGAACTCGCTGATAATGCGTTTGTTTTAGCACGTGAAGCAAGAGAATGAACACCACGAAGACGGCTACGATATGGACGACGACGGCGATGAGGAGAACATGGCGGACGTTCCGCTTAATTTGGTGGCTACGTCTTTGGCCGAAGAGGCACACTGACGCCGCGGATACTCGGCATCATCGGCAACTCGAGCTCTCTGATCAAACGCCCCCATGAGGGACAATAATTCACGTAAACACAATTAAGAATCAGGCGACAGGATTAACCTCTGATATTACGAATTCGAGTCGCAGTATTAAGCAATTAATACACACTTATACTTATCTACAGAGATTTGTAAATAGCGAAGAAAATGCGTATACGAGGAGATATTTTTTTACGAAATTTTACTTGCGGGCCGACACGAGAATAATTATAATTAACTATTTTTTTATACGCGCTCTCTAAAGCAAATGTAAACAAAATAACAAAAAAAGCGAAGAAGCAGAAGCGTTCGCAAACTCGACGATAGCGAGTGGTTTTTGGGCATTTTGTGTGAGCAGCACTCTGATATTTTTTTTCTCTATCTCTCTGCACCGCGTGACTGAATTACCATTATACCGGTGGGAGTGAACCATGCCAGCAGATCTTTAATTTTTACACAGCCCTGATTGCTGTCTTTCATGAACCATCTCTCTTTATTTCGACGTCGCTCAATGCTGATCGACGTAACTCAAAATACGCTCTCTTTCTTTCACTTAAATGTTATTACTTACGGCCAAAACGCAAAAAAAATGTATAAAGTATTAGCACGTACGTCCGGTAGTTGATTGTTTTTCTCTTTTTTTTTACATATGTGTTTTTTTTTTTTTTTAATATGGAAAACTCGTTGTTTCAATGAGATTTCTCTTGGCTCTAGCTTTTATCAAGTATTATCTTGCTTACCGTTAGCAGGCTCTTTTTTGCTTATTCAGTTTACTTTTAATACTTTTTCTTTCTGTCTCTATCTCTGTCTTAAGCTTGCACATCTAATTCTAAAGATGATAAAGGCATTAGGGATATCGAGAATAAACTTGATATACGATTCATAGCTGTAGGTTATACGCGCGACAAGTAGTCGTTGATACTCTTGACAATTATACGAGTATGTACTTAAACGTCAATCGTGATGCGCCGTAATACTCGTGGTCACAAAGACAATATACCCTTCTCCCCCCTCATCAATGCTGTAGCAGAAAAAAGTATAGAATTACGTTTTAAAATTACGTTTGATTTCTTTCGGTTTTTCCAGCTATTGAATAAAAAAAACTGTCAAAAGTATAATCGACGTATTTAAATTAAAAGTGTAATAAGTGCTGCAGACGAGAGTGATAAGTCGTTGTCGTCGTAGAGGCAGGCGACACATGAAGATATTTTTCTCCGAAGTTAGTCAGAACGGGTATTATTGTGGAAAAAGCGAATGGCCAGTGCGATCCTTAGCGAACGCGCCTACCCCTCCTCACCTTCTCTATCCCCCAAAAACACGTATTATCATAAACCTAATGTACTTTGCCAAAAATAGTTGTTAGAGCTGTGTACGTTTGTAACATAGAGCATTAACTTAGTTAAGGGCATCATTGATTCATTTCGTTCGTAGTGATATATTTATATATAAATAAATATACGTATACGTGTGTACGCTCACTCGCTTGCCTCGACGACGGTCAGACTCGGCAACGACGATACGTACGAGCAGCGAACATTTTATCAGGGGGGAGAAGAGCTTCGTTCGTTAATCATTAAAGATGCAGCCTTTGGACGCGCGCGCGCGTGCAAATCTAGTTTTTTTAATGTATGTAGGATTAATTACACGCACTTACACAAGTAATTGTACGAGTTTGCCTGCCGCAGCGAAGCAATAACCGTGCCACCGAATCATCTCTGTTTATTTATTGAATCATCGCTCGCCATTATATTTCGTTCATTCTTATTCTTTCATTCTTATTTTTCTCTTTTTCTCGAGACTATTTGGAAGCGAATACTCACGCTCGCGAAACTCGTACAATGTAATAATAAAGTTATTTGTACATGGGTGTTATTTTATTTTGTTGCTTCATCAGCGAATTGTATATAAAAATGCTCTCTAACAAGTGCCGGAAGATATTTTTGTAAAATCTCAAGCGAGCGAGCGTTATTTGTAAAAATAAAAAAACGAGGCGTTATAGGATTATTATTAACATGTCTACCTGACCGCATAATGGCATTCGATTTGAAGTTGGGATAGTCGAGACTAACTTGTCTATTGTATTTTCTTTTCTTTTAATAATATTAATGAGTAAATTAACTCTTTTATTTATCAGTATTCCAAGATCATGATTTTTAGTACGATTTTTTTCTTTAGCTTTGTAGGCCTTTTTAAACAAAGCTACTTAACAGAAACGTTCTACTTAATTAATTTGTTAATTACTCATCGGCTTTTTCGAAAAACTCTCTTTCTCTAACAAACGTCCGTCCTGAGCGAGAAGCCTTGAGAATTCGCTTTAGACAGGCAGCTAAAACGAGTATTAATCAATTTTATTGTATATAAATCAATTTTTGTAAAATGAGCGATCTGAAAGTATTCTAAAAAACAAGCAATCGTCATGGTGGACGAAGAGCAAACATAAAAAAGAAGGCAGCATAATTAAATTATTCTCTTTAACAGCTGTTGAGATTATTCAAGGTTGTGCGTATTGATATAAGTATTTTTGCGAGATTGTTGATTACACGTGTAAGCGAGGATTTTCCTGTGGATCATCTCACGCGCATTCATGACATACATATACATATATATATATATACTTCTATCTATATATATACATATTTTTTTATGTTAAAAAATATACCCTCGGAATGGTATCGCGATGAAGTATATTGTATCAGTGCCTTGGCGGGAAAAAAAGATTATACCTAAAATGTATTTACTAACAGGGAAGTCCTCAGCGTACCTTAAGTATTTTGGAGTAAAAGATAAAAAGTATTTAAAGGGGTTATTTTACTGTGAAATATTTAATGTATACATTGCAAAGTCGGCCAGCTTCTGCCGCCCCCTACCAAAAGGGGCGACAGGCAAACACACAGTACATTTTTCTCTCTTTGTTTTCTCTTTGTAAACGTACAGCCCGCGCCAGTTTTTAGCCTACTTATCATACCTTTTTTTTTAGTATTTTGTACTTCAGAAAGAGCCCCATATTGAGGTTTAACGCAGGTCTACTTAATTTATGATTTTACCTTTTATTTATGTATTGCACGTGTTTTTTAATTGTATTATTATTTTTACTATTATTAATAAATAATTGATTAATTCATTATAATACGAGTTTAATTGAAAGTGAAAAGCGGACGAACTTTTTTTGCGACGCTGAGTTTTCGAAACTCACCTTAATTCATGCTCTCTGAACTGAGGTGTAACTTAATGTATGTATACTGACCTTGAAAAGACTTCATTTTTTTGTCCGTCAAAGTCGCGCGCTTAGATAAAAATTATCTTGTAAAATTCTTTGACAATACTATTGTATATTGTGACCGCATAAGAAGTGCATTTTAATTTTGCTGTAAATAAGTTATCACTGCGACTCACTGTTATTAGCAACGTCGAACATCTATATTTGTTTATAATACCTACTGGTGAGTGCACTTTTTGTGCGTGTGTGTAATCATTTTCGTTTTCTTTGCGTCTTTTATTTTCTGGACCGATTCTTCAATATAGGTTTCAGTCGCAACCGTTATTGGATATTTGTTGAATATAAGTTTCGAGCGAATGTCGATATTTGCAAAATTCTGAATTTTTTTTAAATAAAGACATATGACAAAGGCAAGCGCTGCTATTCTTATTTCATTAATACTCAAAATTATTTACCAGACTTTAATCTGACAATAGGCCATTGGCGATAATCACTGGTAAAAAGAAAATTCTCTCATAGCAGTAAAAAATCATTTTAATCTCTGCACGGTTGTCAAATTTGTCAAATATGTAAGCGTATCACTTTCGTAAACGGACATTGGCATAGTTAATAGTTTTCTACTAAAGATTGTAAGATATGGATTCCGCAGATATACATAATTTTTATAAAATATGTACAATTGATCATTCGCCTATTTCAAGCGCAGGATCATAACAACGTGGAATTCATTTTATTGTTATTTGAAAATTTACCTTTAGTCATCAGATATTCGCGACTCGTAATTTCAAAATATATTGAGAACTAAGGTATTTTTATTTGTAGCATATGTGAATATAAAATTAACATAAAAAGAATTTTAAAAAACCTCGTGGTTGACACGCGTTAAGAAAAAAGTAACTAGTAAATAACAACTACTATGCAACAGGTACAGTAAGCAATCGAACCAGGTAATAATAAAATTAAGTGCTATGGTTTTTCTTGACAATTAAATCACGAATCGATGCCTTGGAAATTTCTGTCGATTACTTCCTCAGTAGCACTCTATTATCAATTATTATTATAGATCCGCAAATCTAAAATTATAGCGATATGTTTAGGGGATTCATGGATACATATTTATATTTTGATGAATTGCTTATTTATTTATTATTAACTAAATTATATGGTAATTTAATGCAGTGAATTATCGTTATAAAATTAAATTCAATTGTCCTCTTAGATATTAGCTAACGGACCATAGGAACTTGATTGTTATAAAAGAAGTTTCAGATTTCTTTATAACTCTTTGAAAACTTAACTCCTAATGGTGTTGTGCACTTCATTGGAAATAGTAGTTTGTTAGTATACAACGCGTCAAAAGCATAATAAAGCATACACATTGCTGCGCAAGTTTCAGCGGATGGCTGACCAAAATATTCGAAATTCGTTTGTATTATTTTTGACAGCTCGTTTACAACGTGTTGATGTGTAAATCCATATTTTTCTATGAGATCTAAAATTCTCACTTTTTCGTAAAAGTGCTTTCTACTGAAAACTACAGTTTCGAAAACTTCATCAAAATCCATTGATTTACCCTGTAGTATAAAGTTAATAATAATCATATCTTTTAATTTAAATTCATATATAGCATGATTTAGTAGATCTTACCTCAAGCGTCAGAACGGGAGGCCAATTTTCGGTACAAGCAATGCAAGTACAATACCTATTTAATATTTGAGCAGTTCTGTCACTTCTGTCAGACAGGCCCATCTCAAAATAAGTAGATCCATAGCATTCCAAAAGCTAGTAAATAGCAAAATTTGTTATTTTATTTAAAATATGTTAAAAAATTCGCAAAATAAACGACTTACTGGATCTTTTTTGTAGATTGGCTGTAGGGCATAACATATGTCTTTACAGCCGTTTGATTTTATCGTTTTTACTGAAGGATCACAGCAGTGTGGAATAAAATTACCAATAGTACTGACACTGTATCCCCTTTCGCAGCAAGGAAAAATGGATACACAATTTTGTTCACTGTTATTTGGACATCTGCGTTCCGGTTCTGGTACCTGCAGGTAAGTACAAAATCATATTATTTAACAAACTGCATAACTTTTGTACACTAATCAGTAATTTACTTTTATCCCATTGTTGTATATAATAGCAGCAACTTGTAACAATAGAGTTGCAATGAAAAATGTTTCATCATTATTTTGAAAGCTTTCAACAACATTAAACTGTGTGTTTGTACCAAAAAAATTCGTAAACCGTGCTAAAGCAATGACATTTCTACAACTAGCTTTTGACAAATAATTTAAAATATTAGAGTCAGTGCAACTATTTCTAAAGCTAAATATACTGATGAATGAATTACATTTAAAGTTTCCATCTTTAATAAATCCATGATTTAGATCTAAAAAATAAATTCATCTTTTTAAAAGCTGTACTTGAATATCTGTAAAAATTCAAAGTAGTATAAAATACCTTCGGAATTTCGAATGTAATCAATCTCATCTTTGAGTTTCTTTATTGATCCAAATTCTCTAACAGCCTTAATCACTGCTCTCAAAGATCCTTGCACTGCATAATCAGAGCCTTCATCTCCAAATATCACATATGAAATAATGGGACATTCTATATCGTGATATTGTTTGATAGCTTCTTCTTTACATTTGTCAGAACACCACAAACAACAACAACAGTTATCACAAGGAATGCTAGACCAAAGAGGATCCAAACAATGATTGCAATAATTATGAATTCGTCTGAAGTTAGGTACTATTATTAGTGGTTTTGTAACAAAAATTATTTCTCCAGGTTTGATGTTTTTACTTGCAACAAAATACCTGCTATAATCATCATCTTGTCTGACTATCACTGAATTGAAAACACCGTTTTTCTCTTTTTTCTCTAAGATGTTTAGGTGAGTGCTATCACCTTTCAATGGCTGATAATCAAATTTATGCTTTTTACCCTTTTTCCTTTTTGTTATACGATCATCTAGTATATTATCATTAGAAGCTGTGAAAATCACAGAGTCAATATTAGAAGTTTCAGCACTAAAAATATTTTTAAATTTAAAAATAATCAATATTAATGAAAATCATTAATCAAATTAATTTAATGTACCTGTCATTTTTAACTTTCTTTTTACGCAATATGATCTTTGTTCTATCAAGCAATTTTATAAGCTCTTTCTTCATATTGTCATCATTGCTTATTTTACTCACCCAAGCCTCTGCTTCTTCAAAAGTTTCAGCTATTTTACTGCTATTCAACGAGGCGTAACACTTTGCTTTACGACACAAAAGTTTAATTCTCAGAGAGATTGATTTTGTAATATTTAACGCTTTGTCACATTCCTTGATACATGCTTCGAATTCAGCTAAATGGTATAGAAGTGCTGACATATTGCCATAAGAGAGAGCTAATGATTTGGAATTGGCAGGTGATAAAGATATACTTTTCAAATATGAATCCCATATTCTCTCATGAGTCAAGTCATTATGTATGACTTCAAGATACAAAGCATTACCTACTTCTCTTCCTTCTTTTGCCAGTTCTTCACTTTTTAGCAGTGGATGATATTTCTCAGACAGAGCATGTTTTATTTCGGAATCATGAAAAGCTTTCTTTATAAATTCTTCAAGATCCATTATTACACTGAAAATAAAATATAATGAGAGGTACTAATGCAAGCATAATAAGATAAGATTCAATAAAAAATATTTACTTTACAAATGTATTATTTTCTTTTCAAATTTCAAACGGATATCAACTAACCTAAACAAATTTGGAGCTTTAGTGCCTCCAAAATATATCAAATGAATTGAATTTTACTAGTTCTAGTGACATCTGGTTTCAATTCTAGTGAATGACATTACGAATGTTTCAAAACTGGATAACTTTAATTCATATTTTTTTGAAATTGAATTAAAATATTATGTAATTGGATTAATAAAACAATATAAAATATTGGACTAAGAAATAAATTATTTTATTACTACTATTAATATTATTATTTTAAAGTTATAATATTCTGTAAAGTTAATTACATATAATTCATAAAACAATTTATTTATTGAATAACTATGCACGTTTATATCAATAAATTTATGTGCATCGCTAAAATGTTGATGATAGATGGAATAAGTTTTAATGAGTTTATAGTTAAAAAAAGAAGTAAAATAATATTAGATTTATAAAGAGAATATAATAAAACCATTGGTCGGTTTTAATTTATCTTATATTAGAGCTTGATTATTCAACTAGGAATTTAACGTATAGTAACATATGAAGTATTAAGACATTGAGTAAATGGAAATTATACAACAATCACTCTTTACCTTTTTATAGTTGACACAGAACTAACCTTTTCGCCGATTTTAATTAATTACTGTTTCGATTTTATAGATTTCATTAAAAGAGCATGGAAAAAATAAGCGGACATAGTGATTTTCGTACTTTTTCCGGCGTTTTTCGGCGAGATATTCGACTTTGAGTTGACGCTCCTGTCGAGCGTTATAAGAAATACATGGGCGAGGAATTTGGCGAAAAAGCAAAGTCGCCAAAAATCACGTCTATAGGCCTTACTAGGGATAATTTTACGCGCTAAATCGATTGCGCATGGTCCCAGACCGATATCTCGAAAATTTTCAATTTCAAAATCGTAATATTATAGCTATAAGCTCCTGTTCACCTCGGCAATCAATAAAGTGTAATTAAAAACAGTATTTCTAAGCTTATATATTTATATGAACATTTTTTTGTATAAAACAATTATTAACATTCATATTTATTTTCATTAAAGATTTTGAAGATAATCCCAAATTATTAGGTAAAATAAGATATGGGACTCTTTAATTTGTACTCTTTATTGTGGCAATCATTTATCGTAATTGATATAAGCGTACCATTGCATATTCTATAAATATAAATTCATACATGCAGACATATTTACAATATAATAACGTCAAAAGTGTTCATCTTATTCTTAACGCCAATCGAGCAAATGATTTATATGCTAAAATTTTGAATATAAATTAGAACCTTGTGCGATGACACGTTTGATCGTGAAAAGTACTACATCGACCGACATATTATGAAGATGTTAGATAAGGATTTCCTTAAATCATCTTTTTCTTTTTTTTAAATTGTACTTTAATCGACAAAATGATCACCTCTTCGTTAAATTTTGTTTTTCTTGTGTTTAGTTATGTTCAGATCGTTTATAGAAAGTGATGTGTGGGGTATTGATCATATACACAAAGTTAGATGACACATAAATGTGTAATATAATTATTAAAAAAATTAATATATCAAATTGTATTTGCGAACTCAAATGTTAACGCAAATCCTCACCCATCGCTTTACAATGATATCATATTTTCGTCAAAATAATGGTTATTTTCCTCTATATACGCAAGTTTTTATTTATGTAATTAACTACTTTCTCTTTAAGACAATGTATTTTGTATAAAATATATAATTTAATAAAAATATCATCTAGTTATCTTTGTCCAATAATAATACTCTCTTCTTTTTATCAGTATTAAAAATATTTCATGAGTTATTATGATTCGATTAGGCATTATCCATAAGCAAATTCGTATGAATTATCTATTCATTATTCTTAAAAGAATAACACAAAGATAATTAGAGAAGTACTACACATTTATGAACTTGTTTTTGTAAATACATCTAGAGAATGAATTATTACCAAAAAAAAGTCTTAGTAATCTTATGAACTAGAATACAATAATACCATTCAACGCTAAATGAGATTCATTTTCAAGGTCACTTGAATGTGAATATGGCTTGGTTGATGATTAATTTTTTTGATAAATCTTCGAACGGTTGCATAAATAATATTGGCAGAAGTTCCTATTTTCTTTTCTTTTATTTATAATGGACGGACATTTGAGTGTTATTCTATTTTTCGTTTTCATATGCTTTTTTATTTAGTGTATTCTGCGAAATAATGCGATAGAGAACACTAATCCAATGAACTGAAATGGAAGATCAATCGATATAATACTTTCTTTCATAGAAATAAATACACTCACGATGAATGTCTTACCGTCAGAACAGCACCACTAAATCCAATGCCAATGAGGACACCAGAATGAGTTTCTAAAAATTCTCTGGTAGCTTGAGAACAGCCACGGATGTATGCGTTATTACTGTTGATACTGTCGCTGTAGCGATTGCACTCGCGTACCTAACAAAGACAATCATATGATGCAAAATTCATGCACACATGAATATTTTTATCGGGAATTGTCAACAGTTTAACTTACGGTAATACCATCAGCATCCACCTGACAACAGCTCCTTGGTACGGTTGTAAAACCGCGACGGGCCCAATCGTTGTGATTATGAACACCGCAGCAACGGAGCTGTAATCGACAAAGGTGCCAGTTAATTGATTTTTAATTTCTTGGATTAGCAATTTAATGATGCAACTGCTATGACTCGATATGTTTAAATAACAGCACTTTCACCGAATTTCCGCAGTGCACACTCTTGATTTTCCAAATTTTAAGTGTTTGCAATAATTGGTCTCATCACCGAGTATGGCTGTGATACTCTTTTGTTGTCTATCGTAATACTAAAATCAATTAAAAGAGAAAAATGGCCTTTTGGAAATTTAAAAAAATGAAGAGCGATAACCGTAATCTGAATTTCAATTTAAACTCAATGGATCAAAATATGTCGTTAAGGAGTTTTTTTTTCTAAAATTGGTTTTCAATGTATTTCGATAAGTAAAATTCTAATTTCAAGGTAAATTACTGTTATTATATCCTTTGTTCCTTTTCCCTTGTTTTCCTTTGTTTATTATACTTAAAAAAACTATAAAAATTAATTTACTTTTATTGTTAATTTTAGCACTACTATGGATAATGAGGAACTGCCATATGCCAAGCAATGAGCCCAAGTATATTTAGATTTCTAATAACCGATGTAATGATAAGATGAAAAATCTAAAAGCGTGCGCACAATGCAAAAAGTCGATGAAACAGAAATCACAGAATCTTCTTCGTAAAATTTCTTGTACTAATAATGTCTAGCGGGTTTCATGCACTCATCTTTTCCGTCTTTTTTTCTCGCTCATTTTAATACATAAATATAAGTATCAAAACTTTTATGGCCAAATTGAAAATTCAATATGCATTAAATATTCCCACGATTTAATATACGATATAACCGATGATATTATTTTTTGGTAAATAATTATGCAGTTAGTTATGCACATTAGTTTTTTAAGAAACAAAATAATAACTTACATTAGCCTGTACAGCGTCCCAAGCCTCCCTCACAGATTGCTGCCTGCTATAGAGGTTCATGGAGTTTTCCATATTGACCACCAGTTTCTCCTTGAACGACGCTCTGTACACGATACCCAATATCGCGGCAACTGCGATCACAACGGTCAAGCAGAGCAGTATCAAGGCGTACTGCGGCAAATTAATTGATTGAATGATTATTATTATTATTATTGTAGATTTCAAGTTGAGACTTGCAGATATAACATTTTTAAGGCGCTTTGCTTATGGAAAAAAACGAATGACACTGAAAACTAAAAAGCGGACAGTGCAAAATATTGGTGCTCCGAGGGTCGCGCAAAAACAAAGTAGATGGGCAATTAAAGCTTGATGAAAGCACAATACAAACGCTTACCATTAAGAGCATGCATTTAACTTCGCGCATAGCACCGTAACAGCCGAAGAACGAGACGATCGTGGTGACAATGCCAGCGATCAGCAACACGTACACAGCACCATGCAAATTGCTGCTTTGGCCATCGTTGCTCGTCAGGACGCTTATGTAGTTGACTTTGTAGACCAGTGCGATTATCGAGATTATCGTTATGGCTAGACCGGCCAGCTAAAAGGCAAAGTAAGATATCAATTTTTATTGGTAATATTTGCTTCGGAAGGTTTAAAAGTTGGGAGATTTTAGAGTGAAGCATTGAAAGCCGCCACTTAAAAGTAGCGTCGTTGTACTAAAAGGAATTTCCCACACAGTGAAAGAAATCTTTGAGAGAGTACTCATTATGTCGAGCTCTTAGCTATAAAATGAACCCTCATAATAAGATCTAGATCGGTGATGTTTTTCGTGGCCTGAACGTTTTAACTCAACTCAGATGCAACGCCACGTGAATAAAAAACAGGAACCTTGACTCGATTGTACGCCAGCGAGAAAAAGAAATCGTTGTCTTGAGGTCAACCAGTAACAAATGTGTAGTCAACAGGTATACTTACGAAAATGATGAAGTTGATGAAGAACAAGATGTACTTCATAAAGCGGCCGCAGCCATCCAGTTCCGTGTGGTAACCCATTGTTGTTTATTTCCTTTTGCTATTCTGCAACGAAGAGAAAAATATGTAACGACGGTTCGATATCGCATTGAGCTTCTGACAAGTGTTCTCTTAGTGGTGACGCGCGCTTATTGGAATTCCAAGTTGTAATAACAAGGAGGTGCAACTATGTGTATCATTACTTACTAATTTATTTCCTTGGGTGGACGTATGCAAAAAGCGAAGAATCTTTTGTTGAATTATGAATCGATCGGAACTATATAAAAAAACGGAATTTTAATGAGGGCTAACGGCTTTTGCAATGAAGAGATACACGACTCGTCGAATAAAACACACTCTGCGCGTCGCATAATTTCATGCCGCACGAAAACCGACAATGCCTCAATGTCAAGAAGCTGATTCATAAATCGACGCTGCTCGCGCTTACGTAACCATTCCAATTGTTTTACGTGTAATTAATCCGTGTCGCTCTTCCGCGCAATCCTTTTGCATATCCTCTCGTTTCCTCGCGAATGCTGTCGTCGATTGTTAAACCAAGTCATTCAATGCAAAGAAACGAGTTAGAAAATGAATGATTCAAAAAGGATTTATAAATGTAGTTTGCGTGTAATAAAGTGGGTTAGGGCCTTGTCCAAGGTTACTGCGTGTTTGTCTCTTCACGCATCGCGGAGCTCGAGCGCTTTTATGGTCTATCGCGAGTCTAATTTCGAAAGCGACTACGCTTTATCTTTATTTTTTTTTCTCCGTGTACTTGAACTTCGACGTTGAATGTTGTTTTTTGTTCTCTTGAGTAAAAAGAATAACCGATCTTTCACGCGAGTTACGTAAAGCGGTTGAATTAAGTCCATTCTCCTATTATACTCTATTCCGATTGTTTATTGTCGTTAGATGAGTAATTCATACGGAGAGCCAATTTTATCATCCTCGTCAATTTCGTGAATCTCAAAGTAAATCGATGAGGAAACAATTAGATAGAATTGTGCACTGAATGTCGACGATCCATCAAATCCTCAGGCTATAATTTTGATTATAATCTCGCAACCGAAAAAAGTGATAAAACTCATGCACAATTACATAAATTAATCGAAGACACATAATTTTTACTTTCTTCTCACGTGAAAGTGAAAGTATATTATACAAATAAAAGTCGTCGCACTTGACCTACTGACCGGTGATAAAACGATTTCCGTCATTGAATAAAGGAAAAACAAATTAATAAACGTCCCCCATATACCTTTCTGTTACATGTAAATACAAGGTCGGCTGCAAGAGTGAAATCGGCAACTTTTCCGAATTATCTTGAGTTTCTTTTTTTTTACGACAACCGACCTCGTGAGATTAATATGTTTTTTAGTTTTATTTTTTTTTTTTAGTTTACAAAGCTGAAGGTTTATTTGTCCCTTGAAAATTTCTTTTCACGATATGTTTGAACATAATATATCGTAATCTACATTTCATAATTGTAATGCAGGATGCATTTGCACGACCTACATTTTATCTCGACTCGTAGGAAGAATAGATCACAAAATTACTTAGGAATATTATATTTTAAAAAGAAGGAAATTACGAAAAGAAAAAAAATTTCCCGATCGCGAGATACATTCCTATCATCTACGTATTATTATACCGCAATACGGCAACGTCCATTTGCGTGAATGTACACGACAACGACGTAGCTGCACAAAAGAAAAAAAAAATATATATATATATATATATATATATGTATAGTGTGTGCGTGCACCTGTTCACGATCACTTATAGTTGATGCTAGTCAAGTTACTCTCGCACGTGCACAGACTTCGATCGGTGTAAGGAGATAATAAATATATACGTGAAAACCTTCGTTGTCCAATGTTTATGCTGCGTCTATTGTCGGGTCGTACAAATGGGAGCATACATGCATGCGAACGTTCTACGAATCGATAATATATCATTATCCTCATAAGATAAAAAATTGAGGTGAGTTCGCGAATATTTTAAAGGCTACACATTGTTCGTTTCGGGACGCAGCAGTGACACCGAGAAATATTTGTTTTTTATTATTTTAAGTAACGCGAGAGAGATCCCCAATTGAGATAAACGGAATGCTCGGAAACAAGTTTTTTTGACGACTTTCAAGAAAGGGAGAAGGGATCAAAGGTCAGTTGTGTCGGGTACGAAATGAAGAGTAGCAAGTATATGTACGTATTATTTCAAACGTATAAACGAAGTAAAATGTGTACAGAGATTGATGTCATTTTATGGGTGATGTAATTGCTATGGGAAAATTCGATAATAATAAATATAAAGTAACCAAAATAAATTTTTTATTGAATTTTATTTCTATGATTTAACGAGTATATTACGATATTAAGAGTCACAAATAGAATTTCTGAATTAAATTAAGAAAAATTCTATTAAATAAAAATTTAATTCTTAAAATGGGTTATTCAAAGAATTTTTTCACTAGATTAAGAAAAGAGTAAAAAATATTTTTTAGAAATGCAACATTTGAGAATATTTGTTTCTTTACGGGATTACTAAGCAACTAATGTATTGTTTTAATTATAGCAGAAAGTTGGAATAAAAAAATAAAGCATTCAATGTCGGAGTGTAAACACGCTCATCTCTCGCAAAAATGAAATGTATTTTCAAAAGGGTGACTAGTGTCACGCGACGTTTAATAATAAACGTTTTATGCAGGGAGTGAAAAGACAAAAAAAACACGTCGTGATGATCATTAACTTTACTTTTACGACATGTTTATCGATGTATCGTGGCGTACGATGACGTATGTATCAGGGTATTCAACTCTTATTTCCTCGAAATTTACGTGTACCATTAGTAGCGAAAAAAATGAAAATTTTAATGTCTCGATGACGTAAACGAAACGCAGCAATGATTCATTTTAGAGTTGATTATAAGCTTGATTTGACAGGCTTGTTGCCTATCGTTATTGTAGATGAAAATTATATAGTACAAAACTTTCCCTTGGCAACAATCTCGTTTTATTTTTACAATATGTAAAGAACGATTAGAATCAGAAGAGCTGAGTCACACTTGCCCTTTCACTTCTTCGCGCGCAAAAAAGTGAAAAGGAAACGTTTTGCGCGCCACGAGCACACGCTATACCTAAATCATCCGCGTGAAGTTGTTAAAATTGTCAAGTTGTATATATTACATTGTCTTATGCACATTATTGACCATTTCGCTCTCCGAAGATGAGATCATCGGAAAATTTTCCGTGGTTATATTTTTTTGCACGTTAATCTTTATAACTCATCGTCGTTAGCCTACAACAATGAATCAGATGCACTGTTTACCTTTTTTGCATGACTGTGACGGAAGTGAGTTATTTAGGAAATTGAAATTGGGTGGCGTCCTAGACACACACGACTCGCGAAGTCTAAACGACACCTATGGTTTCCTTCAATTGTTGATCATTTGTTTGCGTATTTCGTTAACAAAAAATATTCGCATAAGCGTAGTTACTTGCATATTTACCAAGTACGTGACAATCGTAAGTTCAAACGTTTATGTAAGTTACGGCAAAAAAAAAAGAATTCACCAATGATCAACTTGGATTCTTTTCCCAAAATCGACAAGAATTTTTATTTCCCTTTCCGCAAAATAATCATTTTCAGGCATTATCATTAACTGTAACTGCTGAGATAAACGCAACTAACGCTCACACGCGTCACTTTCCTTTTTTGAGAGCGCGCGTATGCACTTCGAAAGTAGAAGTAGATTCTCCAAAAGTCGTCGGCGCTCTTGTGATGTCACAACACATCAGCACATAATAAAAAAAGAAACAAAACAACGCAGGCCCCGCAAATATATAACATTCAATCGTTATTCCCTGCATCGTAGAGAAAATTGCGCAGTCTCTCTTGTAACCTACTTATCTCGTAAGAGAGTTTGCGTGTGACCCACGCTTTTATATTACGATGTATTATTAACTTCGCGAAAATAAATTTTCAGTACCGAAATCGAAAAAACTCATACGAGAATTTCGTTTTGAAAAAAACAACATGCACAACTAGGAATAGTACGCGCGCGGGCGCGCGTGTCTGTGTAAGCACGCACCAACAAAAAAAAAGCAAGCCTACACTTTGTCTACACTTACGAAGGAGACGTGAGTTGCTTATATGTGTGATCACCGCCGTTACTCCAGTCGCACTGCCAAGCTCGACTAAAACCACGACGCAGGTATGCCTTTCCCCACTACTACTATACTTAAAACCGCTTCGTTCTCGTAACTTTTGGAATCCCTTCTATGTCATTTTTGCCTTTTTTTTCGGTACAACGAAAAAGTTGCTTGAGTCGAAAAGGTTCCTCTTTTTTTGGCGGCGGTAATAATGAATTAATACCACAATGGCGTATCTTTACATTTTTTTAGTATATAGCTCGGATGCTAATGTACGGTTTGATTGGTTGGATCTTAACTACGCTCTTAATCATTGTTTTTTTTCTACTGCAATTTTTCATAAAAAACATTTTATTTGAATGATTTATCAATGAAAGAATAAAAATAATTCTATGGCAGACTTCTTAGGAATATTTTGAATAACAGAAAATGAAAATTGTTGAGCATTTAATTGTATAACAACGCTTACTTTAGAAATACAAATGTATTAATTATCATTTAATTATTACTTTTCGACAAATTAACGAAAAATACGATTTCCCTATTACTCCCATCCCTCGTCCGAAGAAGTCAGTCAGTCATGTAATAGGACATTACGATACAAGTGCGGGAAAGTAGATTCTTGGCTTGTGTGGCGTTTACGCCCGAGCGAAGCGAGGGTGGAAAGATATTTGACAAGTGTACGTGTTTTTTATAACTACTTGGTAAGCAAAAATTTAATAGGAGGTAACTCGAAAATTAAAAAACAACCTCCTTAATTTAATGCCTATTATCAAAACAATCATTAATGATTTTTGATTTTTTTTATAATTTCAATTTCAATTACCTATTATCAAAACAATCATTAATGATTTTTGATTTTTTTTATAATTCTTTGATAGCCGGATAGTTTCTTCAGAAATATAATCACACGTACATCCTTCGAGATATGCGCGATAATGCAAACTAATAACGAATTATGCTGGCGGTTTATTCTGTAATATACATCAAATTTTTTTATTGTACTAATAAAAATGTATAATTATTTCGAAATAATTTAAAAGTAATATGTCGATCTGATAAAACGAAAAATGATTTCGTATAAAAAGCTAATGTAATAAATTCTTGTAGAAAATTCTGAACATGCAGGAATTATAACATGTGCAAAGATATAAAACAATTCTAGTAAATAATGCATAGTACAAGTAAAAAATGCAATGACTCATCGCGGAAAGAAGTGAAAAAAGTAACAGATGAAATAACTTAACCATGAATAAATCTTTTTTTTATTATAATTCAATAACGTTTTTCAATTATAAAATGCATATAGGCATGTATATATATATAAACATATAACAATAAGTAAAACGTAGTATAAAAATACTAAAAATAATAATGTTTAAAATCAATAACCAAGCGTATGTCTTTTTTCAAAAATATTATATATAAAAATTATAATTCTTTATATAGAAAAAATATCTTTAAAAAGTTAAAAAACTTTCTCTCTAAAAAATGTTAAAAAAATTATACAGGTGAACTCGGCTTAATGATTAACGTTTTTCTATAATTTACTTGGAATTCTGTCTTTGTTTTCTGGATCGTTAAAAATTTCTATTCTATTGGTTGTAGCAGTAATCTCTCGAAATTGCTTAATACTCATTGATGATAAATCTATTTGCTTTCTTTCATGTATGTTGATGTCATTAGGATACATTGAATCTCCTGGTAGTACAAACACCAACCCATCACTTAAACCTACAGCCACCTATTAGACAGATAAAATTTTATAATTATTGTAAATTAGGAAAAATAACCAAAAAATAAAGAGCAAGAAACAAGTTTTAGTGGTGGTTTAGAAAGAGTAAACTCACTGGAAAAAAACTTGGAGCACCATTCTTTGATTTTTCTACAGCACAGTCAATTAAATTATCAATATTTGTATAGTTTACTAATTCTAAAAGTTCATATCTCTGTGGTGGAAATAAGGAAGTTATATGTGTTTTCAGCATATAATCTGGTGTTGCCCACTTGACAGAAAGTATCAATAAAGCACTAACTTCATTAACATATTTTAATGAATGAAGATCTGAGTATATAATTAGTAAATATTTACCAAAAAATCATCCATTTCATTGCACTCAAGTTTTGTATTAGGAATATTTGGCAGGCCAGTAAAAAAGAAAACAGCATTTACATGTTTTGCAATAGCAAAATTACTTGCACTTATCCAATTTCTCCATTCATATAAAGCCCATAAATTGGGATAACATTTTAATTCTTGGCACATATTATAAAATTCTGTTGAATCGTTGTGAACTTTATGCTGCCAGTATTTTAACTCATCGTTTGTTACTGAAAATATTTAAAATTATCAAAAACAAATCTTAAGAAATCATTGTATGTTAATAAAATAGAAATAAGCTTACTAACAATCAAAATTATTGCCTAGTTTTGATGTTGTGTTTGTGCTAATTGAATTTGTACAAAATAATATACCACACTCTTCAAATGTTTCACGTATTGCACTGATTCTCAAAGAAACTTCTCTCGGTAACTCATTATCAAAATTGTCAAAAATTTTTGGCCTAGTTTTGCTTTTGGGAATAAGAGATTTAAAGCTATTTTCATTGTACCCATAATTTTGAAATAAGCTTTGCCACTTCAAATCGGCATCCGATGGCTCAATCATACCACCAGGGAATACGTAAGCACCACCAAAGCTGCCTTTATTTGATCTTTTAAGAAAAAGCAAGTTGTAATTATACTGTAAGATTATAAAAATTATATAATTATAAAATTGTTGTACAGATAATTTTGTACAGAAATCTGATGTAATTACGACTCACTACTTGGTTAGGTTTCGACGCTATTCTACCAGCAATAATTAAACTTGCTGCTTTTTTCCAAGTTTTCATTTTGATAATGCTTCTTTTTTTATTATTTATTATTTTCGAAACATTAAAATTGACCAATTTAAATATCTGACTTTTAACAACTATATTTACCAATTTGAACTCCTTTAAACAGAATAATCTACAACATGCATGCTACAAAATATAGATACTGACTTATAAATTAAAATAAAAGAAATAAGCTTTTCAAATCAAATCGATTAGCAATCTTTTATCTTTTTTTTTCACATTTTCACGTACATATATATTTTAGTATGACGTCACAGCGCAACAGCTGTTTGCAGTGTTTGCATTAAGTTTTATGGCCCCGGTCCCATAGGTTGTACGTACGGATGCGGACAGATACGGACGCGAATCGCAACTGTAGTAACATCACAAAAAATATCTAGTTCGATTATTTAGTACCAACACTACCGGTAGTGAGTAAAAGTGACTGTTGTTTAAAATTGTAGCGCCGAACGTACCACATTTAATGTTCAAATGTCAGGTCTACAATTTACTTTTTAAATTTTCATGAATATTGCTTATTGATGAGTATGCTAATGTAAAAAAAGTTTTTGGGATGATTAATACATATCATTTATATATATTTTCTTCTTCTTATATATTCAAGTACTTCCATAAAATTAAGGCCTAATTCCATTAATTGTAGTTGAAAGTCTATCAATTCTCTATCATTTGCCATGTTATAGACTGCAATAATGTAAAGGTTAGATAGGCGTTCATTAAATGTGGTACGTTCGGCGCTACAGTTTTAAACAACAGTCACTTTTGCTCACTACCGGTAGTGTTGGTACTAAATAATCGAACTAGATATTTTTAGTGATGTTATTAGAGTTGCGATTCGTGTCCGTATCCGTCCGCATCCGTACGTACACCCAACGTGGATTGAATCGCGACCCCCCCAGTTAGGTTGGTATGAGAATTCCGTCTTGCATCGGAACGAAAAAACCGCGGGAAAATTCAAAAAATGAAAATTCGTTTTAAGACACGATAAAAAGCTAAAACGTTACTAATTTGTTTTTAGGTTTAAAATTAATTGTTTGCTGAACAATGAATTTAGATGCATGATTATTTGATTTTAGGTTTTAATTATATAATTTAAGAACGAGCGTTATACTGTGACCGATCTGAAAACCACCGTTACGGATTGAAAGTAGCAGTCAAAATCAAAGCTTGAATAGCAGACCTGAAAAAGCCTGTTTACACGTGTATATGTCTATTTTAAATGTTTCTTCCGAGTTTCTTATGCTTTTACCTGCTTTTGCTTCAGCAAGGATTTATCGTTATGCTGGCATTTAGATAAGTTATTATTTATTTATTTATTTACTATCTACAATAGAATTTTCCCGCGGTTTCTTCGTTCCGATGCAACGACGGAATTCTCATACCAGCCTAACTGGGGGGGTCGCGATTCAATCCACGTTGGGTGTACATACCTATGGGACCGGGGCCTATGAGAACCAATACAATAACATTTGTTAAAAAATAATTTCGATATTAGTTTCAATAATTTTGCGATAAATAAAAAGTTTACTTATTATAAAACTATGACAAAGATAAATAATGATGGTTTTGATAAAATAATTAACAAAAGAAACTCATTTATCCAAAGTAAATGTAGGATATTTTTTTTATACAAGACAATAATTTAAACAATACATTGGAAAAATATTTATTATGGTACGAGTTGATTATATAAAAATCGAACATTGTTTCAGTAGCTGTATATAGCAGTTTTATAACATTTATCTATAAGCATTATTATCTTAGGCGGTTAGCATACTACTGGGTTACTTTACCGACGCATTAGTATCCATCGCTTGGAGCGCTGAAGTTCCAAACCTGAAGTGCAGCTTACGCCGCTGAGTTAGAGCCGAAAACTTTTATAGTCTTATACATACAGAGTTCCCTCTCCTGTATACAGTCTCCATGGTATAACAGGCAAACGCGTAGAAAAGTGTGCGTGTGAGTCATTTTGGGTGTGAAACGTCGCCGAAAAAGGTCAAGAAATTCAAGTTGATTATAGTTTAACAATCATCCTTATTGTAATAAAAAATCACTGAGACGTTCGTGTGTCAAAAAATTTCTACTTCTAACCAACAAACTTCATGTCAGCTGACTGAATGTTTACGCGGACGATATCGAATTGTTTACCGGATTTTCCTGGCTGATATGAGTGGATAGCAAGAGTTTGATGTTTTAAACAAACAGAAGAGATTGTTTAACAGCTGCAGTCATGACGATTGCATTGATGGAGAAGCTCCGTGAATATGGCTGGTAAGTGTATTTAATATACTGTGTGTGATCGTGGACCTGAGAGAGTGATTCATGAAGGATGTATCTATTTTTAAGCTCTTAGCCTTGTCATTTATTTGATGTTAATGGAAAACTTTTTTTGATATATATATATATATATATATATATATATACACGTATGTGTGTGGCCTTGTATTTTGTAAGCTTCTTTAATATTTATTTACAAACAAGTTTATGAGTTTGATTTTAAGTTCCAATAATATAAAGTATACTAAAACAATAAGAATTTTGTTAGTTTTAACTAAATGCAAATTCAATATTGACATATTTTACATCAGGTTCCTAACGGAGCAAGGCTTTGAAACTGTGAGTGATTATGGAAATATTATTGACGTACAGAAGATCATGAAACGTGCCTCAGAGGTAAGCCAAATTTAACTTAATTCTATTAAAAGAATAAAATTTTTTTAGTTATGCTAATAAATTTTTTTTTGTTTTGTAGCATGATTTGAAAGAAATTGGAAGTGGAGATGGTGATATGAGCCAAGGTGATATTGTTTTACAAATTCAAAAAGTACGTAATGTAGCTGCTCCAAAGCACAATGAAGAATCTCGAGGAGCTCCACGCATGCTCAAACTTTCCATGACAGATGGCAAGAATAATTTTCAAGCTATTGAAATAGAAAATGTTTCTTCCATTAGGTACACTTTTGATATACAAAATACTTTAAACAGTAATCTGAGTTATACTAAAAAAATGTTTATTTTTCAGTTTAAATACACCACCAGGTACAAAAATAGTATTAAGAGGAGGAACTGTACCCATGTCGCATGGGATTATTTTATTAAAGCCTTTCAATGTTGCTCATATTTATGGGGGCAAAGTAGCCAGCCTTGTAGAAAAATGGGAATTGAATAAGGTAAATAATATGGATAAAAATTAATAATCTTCGTCATATTTTCGATTATATTATGTTTTAGAAATTGGCATCTCACTCTCGTCTGAGACCTGTTGAAGAAGGTGGACCACCACCATGGATTCCATTTGGCAAGAAAATAATCAAAGTCACAGAACAAGGAAAGAATTTTAAAGCTCTTGCTGAGAAGGAAAAAACTACAGAAGAAAATGCTGAATTCGAAACTCAACGTAAGAATGCTATTGCAGAAGCTGCTAAACAAGGTAGCAAAAAAATATTTGGTGGTGGTAACAAACAAGTACGTATTTCTCATTGGAACGTATTTTACTTATATTTCTGTCGTTTACTAATATAATAATACTTGTTTAATAGCTTCTGGATCACAGTGTTCAGAAAATTGTGGACCAAGGATTTACAATAGAGCAAGCTGAGCATGCACTTAAAGTTAATAGAAATAACGTGGATCGTGCCCTTAAATCTTTGCTGAAAAGTGAAAACAAAAATAATAGGTATATCTGCAATCTATTTTAAAGTTTGAGACATTTTATATAGAAATTGAGTTTTTATGATTTTTATTTTAGCAATAATAGAGAAGGACGTGAATCTCGTGATCCAAAAGGTAAAAGAGGAGAAAAGAAATCGGAAGAAATCACAGGAAAGCCGAGCAGTGGAAAGATATCTTTGTTTGATTTTCTTGAGGATAAATTACCAGCACAAGTTGAAATTACCGAAACTAACAATACTCATCATAGAGATTCTTATGGTAAAGACAAAATGGATAATTACTCCGATCGTTATCATCAAAGGATTAATGAACAAGCTCAGTCAACACGAGGTGGAAGGTAAATAGTCGTAAAATATTATAGTTTCTATTGTATTTGTATAAATTTATAAAATAATTTTCTTTTTAGAAATAACCGAGGTAACCGTGGCTACCAAGTACCTCCACGGCATCAAGAAGAGAACCGGTCGAACAAATATTCCAACAGTTCCGTAAGCAGTCAGCAATATAATCCATATGGAGGCATGAATTCACAGAAATCAAAACCACCGAGATTCCAACGCAATCAGGAAGCTCAGAGTATGAATGAAAGTTATACGACCAACACTTATCCTCTAGAACCTATTGGTAGTTTTACCAAGTTTCCACAAGTTAACGAGTTTAGAAATACATTGCCAAGTATTCCACCTTTTCCTCAACATCAAGAAGCTATCACACCACGAGACTTTCCTATCTCGACTTTTAAACAGAATCATCAGGATTATCAAGCCACGGTGAGTAATATAAAATTTAACTAATCTCCGGCTTAATTTAAATAATTTTTTCCTTGCAGATACAACAAGATTATCAATCAAAAATGATAAACAATAGCCGAAATCAGAGCTACGATTTCAATCATCTTCGACACGGCCAATTGCCAGAGCCAGATTATCGACTGTATCAATCCAATACTGTAGATCGAAATTTCAAAGGTAGTCAATCCAATCGTTTCTACAGCGCTGCTAACGACAGCTTGGGCTTCCAAGGTATTAGCGGTGATTTGACTGAGCAAAAGAGTAATAGCTACTATAACAATAGTAATAACAAAAGTGATGAGTCTCTTGGTGGTACTTGGGTGTGGCGTGTTGGCGATAGGTGTATGGCCAAATATTGGGAGGATAATATGGTGAGAGATTGTTATGGGAATTATCTTTACTGTTTCTAAAGGATAAATTTTGATTAATGTTTGTTTTTGCTGTAGTATTATAATGCCGAGGTGACAGGTGTTTCCAAAAATACTTGCGTTGTGCAGTTCAAGGAGTTCAACAATTACGAAGAAGTACTTCAAATTCATTGTATTCCAATAACCGATGTTGTAAGTTAGATAATTACTTTTTATTGAGATCCGTATAGAGAAAAAATTAATCTTTATTATTTTTTAGGATCCACCTCCACACTATTTCGGGCAAGATAATAATAGGAGGACAGATCATCGGCCAAGTAATCGCCCGCCTCGTTTCGAGCAAAATCAAATTAACTCAAACAGTGAGTAGTCGAACACTATTTTTAATTTTACAATGATTCGTAAATCAATTATTTTTAAGCAGCGAAGTTGGTTTTTAGATATGGAATATCGTCGCGGTGGCGGTGGTGGAGGCTCAACGAGTGGTAATAAGAACAATTATCGTAAGCGAAATCAGCAACGTAGCGCTCAACCTATTTATCTACCACCAGCTGAACGTGGTGGTGGTGCTGGTAGTAGTAATATTGGATCTCCGTTCACCTAGGATTTGTTTATGCCAAGCTAGTACTGCCTCTTCCTCGAGGAGCTCGCTCGTCATTTCGACGATGCCAAACTCCGGTGACCGAGGAATTTATTCTTAGAAGACGGCAATAACAATGTTTTTTGATTAAGACCCTTTGCTCGTCAAAAACTTCCTTTTTTTGTCTTTTGTTTGTGTTGCAGATATTTTGATTAGCTTTGAACGTCTATGAAAAAGAGCAATACTGATGAATAAAGGAATAAAGGGTTAAAAACTCGGATCTTATGATTTTTTTGTCGAGTATAAAGTTGCATTCAAAGACAAAAGCATTTTTAATATTAAATGACTGCTGTAAGCGTGTTTTTCTCTCACTCTTCGTGCAAATCATTTGATATTATCTAGTCACATTTTAGCAGCTCTCTCCGAGATGATAGTGTTCAGTACTTATGTAAAGAAGTTGAAAATGACTGTTATGTTAACAAAAAAGAAACTCGATATATGATCCAAAATGAAAAAAAAAACGTAACTGTCATCTTGTATAGATACAATTTTTTCCGAGCAAAGATTCTGATTATAGGACGTTTATAAAGATATTTCCTTAGCCGCCATAGATAGTCGAAATGTTCTAGCAATCATCATTAAAAAGAAAGCGCAATCGCAATTATACTTACATTGTATTATATAATGAGAAGAAATAACTTAAGTGTGGTGGAATAAATCTGATTGCAAAGTTGCGTTTAGCCAAAAAAAAGCATAACGCGTCATTGTCTTTAAACGTGAAAATACATTCGCTGTTTATATAAGATGGCGTTTGAACTTTGTAATATTTATTAATACGTTTCCACGACATAGCTGTATGTTTTACAATTAAACTAGCAAAGTGAAAACGTTCAATAAATGTATTTTATTGACTTTTTTAACCTGACAGCGTATTATCCTTCTTCGTTTTTATCGGTAAAGTCACTTCCGCTATAGAAAAATAGGTTATCTCACTAAGGTCACACAACCTAAATATATCATATTTATATAATTTATAATGATAACTCACAAGCAACCTTCATCAACAACCCAGATATAGCTTATCTCAATGGAATATCTTCTCTATACATAGGTTTTTAAAAAAAAAGATGTTCGCGCGTGAGCAAAAGGATTATCCGCGTGCGCTATATACGAGGAGGGTTTCGTCTGAAAAAGTTTTTTCTTGGGCTTGCTAGAGAGAAAAAGTTCATTTTAGCGCTTCATATAAATCCGATCGGGCTAATTAGGCAGCTTTCACCTTTCAGTGCTGAGATTAAACGCGAAATTACGTCTTCTCTTTTTTCTACGACACGTAGCGTAGGTTGGATACCTTTTTCTAAGGTAACATCCTTTTCATTCACTGCTGTAATCCTTTCGCTCTATTGTGTCGCCGTACGGCGTCTTATAGTTCTTCCCTTTTCTTTTTCTCTTTTGCTTGCATTGTTAGCCCACGACCTGCTTTTATCGAAAATTGTGCGTTATCGCAAGGATTAATCAGATGTATCATTTTTTTCACCGGAGATAAAAGTTTTGTTGAAATTTCATGTCTTGAAACTTCAGAGAAAGTCGTATCTCGATTTGAATCATTTTAAAATTGTCAAATTAGAAAGTTGAAAAAACACAAGTATTGTGAAAGACAAAAACAGAAAATAAAATCGTTTACTTTAACATTTATTCACCTTTCTTTGTGATTTAGAATTGGAAATAAGTGGCCTCTTACAGGTAAAAAAATATTCTATTCTTTAGCTAATCTACATAGAAAGCCACTTAAATTGTAAAAAAATTGTTTATATAAGGAAAAATTCTTCATTCACGTGATTTCTTTTTGAATAATACGCTTTCGTGGTTTGAAAAAAATAATTAACAAACTGGTTAAGGAGACATTTGCATCAACAAACAAATCTGACAATATTAATTTCTGAAAAAATGTCAATTTCCTTATAACACCGCAATAATATAATAGTGCACTTAACGAGCTGCGGTTACATATACAGCGAAAGTAAGGGAAACGCAGACAGACGTACCACAAGCCGATCGTCGTCGCCTATAAGCGTAATCCTGACGCATCGAGGGATTTGCATCGACGACGACAACAGATGGTGACAAGCTTTTCTCTTTTTTGAGTTACGACCTCTGTAGAAGAAAAAAGTCGATTGCAGCGTCTCGTTATCGCTCTAATAAAACAGAAAAGAATAAAAAAAAGAAAACTTTGGCAAAGGACAAAGAAAGAGAGAAAAAGTCCGTGGGATAAGAAGTATATAAGCGAGAAAAGTTTTGTTTATGCCGCGTAATTAAAACTCCCCGTGGCAAGAATACAACAAAATATAATGCTCGCGGCAGATAAGAGGGAAAACAAAACTCACTTACATAAGAAACGTCGTGAAGACGAAAAGAAAAAGAGAGTTAATTGAATCGCATATAAGCGTTGAAGTGGCACATGAAGCAGTCACAAAAGCTCTCAGCCCGGCAAATTTGAAGCTATCAATCTATACTTGGCGGGCGGGGAAAGTCCGCACGCCTCCTTGATAACTGACTACGCGGCCTAAGAGGCACTTGATGTTGCTGCTGCGCGCTGCCGAAGCTAAGTAAATCATGCCTATAATACACAACACAAAGGGAGAGAAGGAGAGAGAGAGAGAGGAAGGCATTCTACTTACACTCGAGAGAGAGAGAGAGAGAGAGAGAGAGAGAGAGAGAGAGAGAGAGAGAGACAGCAGATTCGACGTGCGTGTTGCTGTTGTGGTTGCTCGATTGCTGTGCAAAATGTGTTTACGCTAAACTCCTCCCTTCTTCCCTTACGTTTGTATGTGAGCGACAGACTTAATTTGTTTTTATACAACTTTCTACAACTAGTTTGTTCTGTGTATTATTCAAGTGCTACATTAGGTTGGTATTTATGCTTGGAATCATACTTATTTTATGAAGTCTTATGCCAAATTTCACGTTGACGAATTTCTTAAACAATTTGTATATAAGTACAAGGGACAACCAAGTTCAAGTACTGTTGTGCAAAAAATTTTTGAGAATCGATTTTCAATAGATTCTTTTTTAAGAAATTTCGTTTTTCTTTCCATCTATAGTTTTCAAAAAAGTTATTGTTTTAATTTTTAATTATTTGTTTACAAGAGTGCCTATTTTATACTTCGCCATTTCATTATCTCTTCAGATAATATTACTAACTTTGTATAGACGCTAAACGTTTGATTAAATTCATGACAAACGATTATAGGAATAAAACAATTGTTAGAGCAGTTTTTAAAATAATTGTTTTCCCAACATTGCGATACCTAAGCGGTACGCTATTTTTTTAGATGGTTATTACTTATCAATGCTTTATTATTAGTATCAACGCTTATTTTTGATTTTCTTGATTTCTTTTTCTGATCTAAATATATACAATTTTTCTGTTTTCATTACAATTAAAAATATGTCAGCGTAATACCAGTAATTCAATAGTTTCACTATACCATCATAACATTCTACTTTTATTTTTTACTTCAATAAAAGATGAGACCCAAACATTATAGAGAAAGCCTCGTTGGTATTTACCCTCGCAAAGAAAATTAGTACATAGTGGTCGCCAAGAGCGGACGCGTGCAGTGTTTGTCCTTCGGGGGTAGAGAAGTAAGACAGCCGCAAGTGTTCTTCAAAAGGCACTTTGGAAAAAGGGCAGTTTTTACCATGAGAGAGAGAGAGAGAGAGAGAGAGAAAGAGACAGCTTGAGTGGCGCCAGTGGAATGCACTTTTGCGCGTATCTATATATATGCTGTCGGCTGCGGGAAAAAGCCTTTGACTTAATTGCTTTACCGGAAAACTCATGAAAGGGCTTTTGCTTGCTTGCTTGCTTGCTTGTTTCGTTTTGTCAAGAAGAGAAAACTTATCGAAGAAAATATTTGCTTTCAACTTTTTTTTTCTCGGGAAACGAAGCCTGACGAATTAATAATTTATGCTATTACGTTGTTTATTAGCAATCATAACTCCTAACCATAGCTTACTATTTTTACTTAAATGAATAAAAAATATTTTATCGTTTGTCTATTATTAGATTAAAACTTATTAAATACACTCGTTAATCAATTCCATTCGTTAGCATTAAAAAAAGGATACGTAACACAGCCGGCAAAATGACAATGCACACGTTCAATAGGCCGCGACAGGTGGTCTATATTTATAACAACTCTTCCATACTTCAAATAAACAAATAGCCGAGTGAAAGCGATAAAAAATAGCCAAAGGCATTGACACGTGAGTAATGATCGTCCAAGCCCAAACACCGAAAAACTCAAGGTGATCGGGACGTACACCTGCTCGTGATTTTTCCAATGTATTCACCGTCCACATTGCTATGTTTACTACTATTAAGAATGTGATCAATTCTTTGCCTGGTTTTTCGTCTGTTCGCGAGCGACGGCGCCAAGCGATCTGCAAAAAAGGAACTTTTTATTTCATTTTGTTTTTGTCATGGAAATGAAATCTCTCGCAATATATATCTATTTTATTTGCAAAAATGTATCGTTAACTCAATAATGACAAAGAATCACCTGTCACATTTTCCGCTTCAGCGGCAATTCGATATTTTGAAAATTAAGTTTTTCATTTTTTTAATAATGAGTTCTTGAAATTTTGTATATTTTTAGCTCAACACTGTGATTATTATTTTAAAAATTGTTAGAATACATCAAATAATTAATGGATTAATTATCTCGAATTGATATGAATAATAGTAATTTTGTATGAAGGAATTACATTTAATAGCTTAAATTAGGATTTCTTTGATATGTGACTCATCTGAATATAGAAGAAATGAAGGTCGATACCTTAATTAAAAGCGTTTGCGTAGTACTCTGCAACATAGCCATTAAATCAGCAGCAAGGCAGATCATCCAGGAAGGTCCTTGTGTAAGAATACTGCCCACAGCACCGAAAAGGCAATGCAAATATACACCAGCTTGTGCAGCGGCAAGGAGAGTGGAGTCGAGATGTGGTGGTTTGGCGTTGCGAAAGTCAAGTGCACGTATTTTTAAACCACCAATTACCGCTGCTATCACACCTGCCGCAAATTGGTAAAACTCACTACAGAATCTAATTGGATTTTGTATAAAAAGGATTGTTTACCTGAGGATTGGATGGCAACTTCGAGGGATGTTACTTGCTCGATGGCCATCTGTGGTTTGGCTTCTTTCAGCACGAAGAACATTATGAGGCTCAGCACGGTTGCGGCTACTACGAGGATTCCACCGAATAACCCTCTGCCGCAGAAAACAAATACATGATTCATTATACATATAGATATTATAAATGAGATTAAATTAATATAAATCAGAATTTGAAAATATAATAGTATGAATGAATGAGTTTGCGACGGAAAAAGACTTCCATACAGACCTATGAGCACTGGCACAGTCAATGCTGAGTTGATGTACCGAGCGACTGCAAGTTGTGGCGAGGGAGTTAGTTGATCGTTCGTCGACACGTTTCCACATCTCAAAGAGGATAACCGCACAAATCAGACTAAACTCGATCGTGCAGGGAAAGAGAAATGGCGAGGCGTCACGCAGTAACTTTCGTAACATTCCAGCACCGCTCGACACTTCCTCATCACGAGCGTGTTCCAGCTGGACGATCTCGTAGCGCGTCTCTTCTACCAGTGCCTTCTCGTGCATGAAATATTATAGAACGTTACATGTATGTCGAGTTTGAGGTGCTTCGCTTTTTCGAAAATGCGATTTTACCTATATTTTATTGTATATGTTAAGGAATATCACGATTTTTCATCGGAACCATATTTTAAAAGTCTTCACATGGATTGCAAATTGTTCAAGGTTGCCTTCAACCTTCCAAGATTATTATTTTATTTTTAAATGCAAATTCATAGCGCTTTTAGTTTATAATATAAAACTTTTATAAACATAGAATTGTTTGATCTATCCAAATAAAAATGCATCTGTGACACTCGTTATAGTCTTCATTGTCAAAATTAAAAGCAGACTTGCACTTAACTGTAATTCGATATCTGTATCGATTTTACGTAGGTATTATTATGCATCTTTGAAAACGTACGGTCGTGGTCTAGCCGGATAAGATAACCGAATTTCGGTAAATTGCCTTAGAACCAGAAAAAAAAACGTAGGGCACCACGATATTCTATATAAAAAAATAACCTTCTCCTGAAATTTTCAAACCACAAGGCTTGTATGAATACCCATCATCGCGATTTTTCAAGTTTTTGGTTTTCTTGAAATATCTTGATCAATTTCTGACGTAGAAAATGGTTTTTGTTTTTATTTTATAAGGCTTTAGAAACGATACAAAATGGCTTGATTAAAAAAATTATTTGCGCAAAATGCAAAATTTTACAGTGATTTAAAAATTAAAAAAAGATTTTTTTATACAAAATAAACTGTTTTTGTCAGTTGTAGATTATTTACTCGTGACTTTGAAGGTGCTTTTCAATTTGAAATGTCAAAAAAATTATAATCGCCTATGCGTTTAGTCAAAGTTTGAAGGGATTCCTTTTTTAGATCAAAATTGGTGTTCTAGCTCACCTTGAAAGTCTCGTTTGAAATATAAAAAATCAGTCATACCTGCAACCACTCGCACACATTAGTAGCAATCATATGCATAAGACCCAATTTAGCGAGAGCTTCGTGTCTGGTCAAGACCATATCCTTACTATTCAGGAAGATAAAATGCATCTGCGCCGTAACAAGTAAGAGTCTTGTAGCTGGTATGACGGCACGTAAGATCGGACCATTGGCCAACTCGGCGCCGATTTGTAGACCCGTGAATACAAGACTACCGGCACCAAAACCAACCGTACCGAGGCGAAGACAAAAGCTTCCGTACTGCTGGGTATGGCTGTGATGCTTTCTCGTGATTTTTGAACACTTACAGATGGTTGGCGGCTGTTGCTGCTGTTTTTGCTAGGTCAAGAATTCGGGATAGTTACAGATTGTTCGGTGTCCGGGCGGAAGTTTGCTTAGTTTACCTGCTGCGGCGCGCTGTCAAAAGTGTAGGTGGTGGTCTCCTGAGCAACGTGCTTGGCGATCATCGTTTTCAAAGCTTTGTCACGCAATAACGTCGTGTACATCGTTACGACAAAGGCAACGCTTGCTAAGTACAGGTAAAGATAGAAGCCCTTGTTACCGAAATCAGAGAGCAATGTGAGACGAGGGCAAATGCGACGGATGGCGAAACAAATGGCATGATTATGATTACTCGATCAAGTGCGGCGGGCACTTGCTGGCTGACGCTCGCGGTGACGGGCACTGCCACGCCTACCACCACCAACAGTTTCGCATATAGAGTGCTCAGGCTCGACATTAATTCGGCTTGCTGGCGACGTCGACGCTCCTCCGGCTTGTCTGCAACGGCAAAGCGTCGTGCGTGTTGCTTTTTTTTCGTCTAGAGCTCTTTTCCTGAACTTGCCTGTCTTTCTATGATAAGTGGATGATTGTATTCTTACCTTCGCGAGAATGATCGAGGGGTGTGTTGCTGTTGACCGGGGCTAATTGTAGCTTATGTTGAGCTAACGACGTTTCGTCGTTCATTTGCTGCTGTTGATGGTCTTGATCAGGTGGTACGCAGGAAGTTAAAGACATATTGCTACCCATGCCTTGCAACAGTGCTCTAAAAATAGTTATGCTTTCTCTAATATGAGCTTGGTCTCATGTGAAATTGTCGAAACAAAATTGCAAGAAATGAATAATTGCGGTAAATTGAAATATATTGTAAATTTTTGACATAATTAGAATTATTTAAAATATTTCAATTTGTCAGCAATTTTTTTGCAACCATTGTAATATTTCAATGCTACTTGTTCCACGATAAAGCTTGATTTATGATTATCAAATATAAGCCACCATTATCCAAAAACAAAAAGAACGATCGTATAGTCCCTTAAAGCAAAATAACCAAAAAACTTGGTAACAATAAAACATAAATTTCACGATCACACGCGCCAAAAAATTGATTGCCGTGGAAAATATACAATCAAAGGCGCTATAAAATACGACTCAACGGACCATTAGAGCGCGTAAATCATACCCAAATAGAGCACGTCGATGATTGATGACGGCGTTTAGGGAGATACTCTGCCTTCGTAAACTGTGCGACCTGGTACGAGAGGGAATGATCTCCGCTGCTACCGCTTCTACATCGATCGGCTGCTGTTGTTGCTGCATGATGTTGCTGGACGAGTCGGAATACCTGAGATTTTCATCCTTTTTTATGTCCAATTACATTTTTAGATTTGGTTTTCTCGGTTGACTTGATCAAATTTAGGAAAATTTTAAGAGAACTCGTTTTAGTAATTGACGTGTGTATGCAGAATCAACTAATTATCACGTATGAGAGAATTCTTTTTACAAATATCGTAGCAAATTCACGATCTTACGAATTTTGTTTTCAGCAGTTTTATATTACGAAGGTTTTATATTATGTAAGTGGAAGACATCGGTGTACGGTCAGACGATCTCATTAGTACTTCGGGTAAACACATCATTCGCCAATAGTTAAAGAAAGGTTACTTTTCAGCGAAACGGAAAAATATCTGAAAGATAAACTCACGTTGTGACAGCTCCGTTTAGCATTTGAAATGCGCTTACCCGCCAATGTTGCTGAACTTTTATATAAAAAAACTAGAACAAAATTTCATTCTTTTTTATCATATGTCCTGAAAAATGGTTGAATCTTAATTATTTAAATGAGCTAAAGTGGATCGTTGTAAATTTCATTATAATGTTTGATCATTACAACTCTTAATTAGTTATTAAGCGACGAGTAGACGCACCATCAAACAACTTTGCAACGCTTAAACGAAGTTAATCAATGAACTTACGAGGTCGAGATGAACAACGTTGTTGGCTCTTTTCAACAAATCAAACTGCATGTTTTTGACAATTGTGTTTTTTAATCAATTAACACTGTATGGTATAACATTGAAAAGTATTTTTATTGCTATGGTAAGAAACGAGGTTTTTATCCGTAATGAATCGTGAGATTACTTGTTAATTTGATATTTGATAATCGAAAGCTTAGGGGGAAGTGTGTGAGCGAGGGAGGGAGAGAGGGAGAGAGAGAGAGAGAGAGAGAGAGAGAGCGAGAGAGAATGAAGGATGTCGAAACTCTCTATATTCGTTTTATTTCGAGAAATGATCATTTATTTTTGTCTCAATTGCTTATCATTTTTGATTATATAGCCTTTTTTGATTGTATACTTACTTTCTTTTTTTAAAAATACACTTTGACAAATTTAAACTTTAACTTACATGAGAAACGAAACCTTACATCATTCGAGGAAGTTCAACGTGTAGTTTGACAAGTGTCCGTGGCCAACTGTCTAACTGACTTTTCGTTTGGGTTGTTCATGTAGCGTGGAAATTAACACAAAACCTAATCGTGCCGCCCGAGTGGCTTGCCTCAGCTCCATGTCACGTGGAGCGTTAATATACCTTGCGTTTTACTTATTTTTGAACTGTTCGCTGCTGTTTGACTTGACGTTCTGTGTGATAATTGAAAGGGAACGTGTGTTTTTCAAGGTTGATGATTGATTTGTTTGATTTGAAAATGTTACTGGTAATGGAAGATGATCAATTTTCATTGTAACATTTGTTGTTAGCTTCAATCAAGAAAAAATATGTCAGTTCAATCGACAATACATTGCTTCAAATTAGTAACGATTATTTTATTTGTATTAATTACATAATTTAAAAAATTTTACTATAAATAAAAAAATATTTATTTTGCGTTTACAGTTTTCATACTAGTAAAATATAGTTTTCATCAATGTGACAATCCATTTTAAGAAATATTTTTTCCTCGAAAATATTCTTAAATTAAAACTTTTTTATACTACGTTACATGAGATTAACTTATTTTGGAAAAAGTTATTAACTAATGTTAAATTTTTCTTATGTTGCACAACAAAAACGAAATTCTTAAAATAAGATATTATTTTTCATGGAAAGTGATTGAAGTTGAGAAATCTAAGTTCTCAAAATAAGGAGTACATTTTCAGTGAATAGCCGAAAATTCAGGAGATTTATTTTGGCTAAAGTAGAAAAAGAATTGTTATTCTGAAAATAAGAAATTTTGTTGAAATGATAAATTGTCAGTTTTACATTATCCAATTAAAAACGTTGACGTTAGTGCAGTATTTGTTCGAATTTTAGTATTGCTAATGTTGACGCCAGACAGACGCGAATTGTGAATTGTTGATCATTGAAATGTTGATTATTTGGATAGATAAAATAAATCTTGGTTTTCTATTGATATTTTATAGCACTACTGAAATTCTTTTATATTTCATAATTAATATATGCATCTTTGATGAAATATTATCCAATTAAATTACACACAAGTCAATTGAATCTCACTAAAATCAATCAAACACGGCACCGCAAAAAATTTCAAAGATATTCGAGCCAAGAGTCGAAAATTTACGTATACACAGAGCAAAATAGAAAGAAGGGAGCGGCAAGATCGATAACCGAGCGAACTGAACGCTAAGAGCTCTAATTGCGGGCGCAGCTCTCTGCTGTGTTTTTTTGTTCCTCTGTTTGTCCATTGCACTTGTTACTCGCTTGCAGGAAAATTCCGACGCATTTGCATCGAAATGTGGGTGATTACCAAGCGTTTAATGAGTTATTGTCCGATGCCGTATCTCACGTGCACGGTGACGAGATGAACGTGAATGCAGAGATATATATTTTTGGTAAATGACGTTTGAGTTTAGTGTTCCAGTAAGAACCAGTAAAATCTAATATTTGTTATGTAAAAGATTAATCAGTTTTTGGTATAAGTGGTTTAATATATTATTTTATTGTAGAATTTTATCGATAAGGAACTTTATAAATTCATTTTTAACTAGATCAGAATCAGCGCTAATTAGATTGTTGGTTGTAGTTTAACTCGAATTATTTCTTGGGTATCAGTAAAACTGATGTGGCTAATAATAAAGAAAAATTAAATGTATTTTCAGGTTGCTATAGTTTTCACATGTATTTCAATTAATTTATTGAATGTATTACCGAATAACAAGTCATTAATAGTTCATAATGAAATAAGTTCCTGATATTTGTGGCAGTTTTAAACAAATTTTTTCTTAACTTTTGTAAAATATTCTTTTTTTTCATCAAGTATTTTGCTGATGATATGTAAATATTTTCGTGACTTTCATAATGAAATTTACCGATAATTATTTTTTCATAAAAAATATTCGGCATTTTTGTGCAGAGATAATACAAAAGCAAGCATTGCAGAAAATTTGTTTTTTAACAGGTTAATATTGCAACCGTCAAGTTTACTCGAAAAAACATCTCGAAATCGCCCACAAGCTATCAAACAATGTATATCTGCAAAAAAAAAGAATAAAAACCTTTAAATATGCTCTAAAATTCCATCGAACAATAGTTCAAATCCTCTCAATTCTCCCTCGCGTGCGCTCATGCTTCGAATATTTCGCCAATCATAGTCATCATCGTCCACCCTTCCGCAAAAGAAAAGAAAAAGAAATATTAAGAACATTCACCGCCCAGTCGTCGTTCAATGCAAAATTCCTGTGACGGAAGTGAAACCCTCTCCTCTCCACTCCTCTTCGTTGAGTCGACTGGGCCGGAAGTGCCCGGATATGAGTTTCCGACGCGGACAATTTGCCGCGCGAAATTGAATGATCGATTCCGCGAAGGGGCAACCGCCCCCCCCCCCTTACCAAGTTACGATTTTGTCATTTACCATCGTTACCGGCAACCCGAACGACGAATCTCTTCGTCTTTTCTATAGCGATGCAACGATGCTTCGGTAATTATACTCAGATAATTCATTTTTTATTTTATTTTGCTTCCGTTCGCGTGAGGGGTATTTAACAAATAAGTGATTATTTGTTAAACTTGAATTTCGTGGATGAAATTCGAGTGGACTTTAATTATTATGCTTCAATGGCTGAAAAATGTCTGAATGTTCTGCATATTTTAACGTAATTAATATTGTATCTCGCAATAAATGACGATATTATGTGACAAGCGTGAGCTAGCTGCAAAGATTTCTTGAGCTTTGATTTAATCTATTATATGGATCTAATAAAGTGATGTTAAGACTAAATCCCGCAAAATTAAACATGCAAAAACATGGTCTGGATTAACAAACTTCCAAAAGCTACGGTTACATAATTCATTGGCACGATTCACTAGTATATTCACACGGACAACAGTCCGAAAACAATTACAAAAGTTATCTGAATACCAACAAAAGACAAAAAAAAGGAATTGATAGCTTGACGTCAAAATACATCGACGCTTCGAAAATTACAAACTGAAAATGTTTTGCCAGCAGCAGTAGCAGCGCGAGCGGCTGGATGTATTTACACGACAGTAGGCGCAATCGTCGCTCTGCTCTGCATTTACAAAGTAAATTTTCACTTGGGTGTTGCCTATTGCATTTCTGTTCTCTCTCTCTCTCTCTCTCTCTCTCTCTCTTGAGCGCGAGCGTACTGTGCTTTTATCGCTTGCTTCCTCGCTCTTTTTCCTTCCTGCACAATGGAACTCTTGACGCTGACCTGCTTTTCCTTTATTTAAGGCACGTAAGAGATTATTGTATATGTATATAAGTTGAGTATTATTTGAATTTTTAGTGTTTTTCGAAGTGTTTATAAGTTTTAATTATTAGCTTCAATAATTTACCAATGTTTTCAATTGAAGATAGACTTTTACTGACAATACTTCTGGTTTATTTTTTAGAGCTTTTACAATTTTTACGAATTGAGTGTGAGCTAATGAGACCTTATCGAATGAAACAACAAAAATTAAGTTTGATCGAAACAAACGTTTATTGAAATTTCCCAGTGTAATTTCTCCTTTAATCTAGACTATTAACTATTTTGAGGAACTGTCGACGCTCAATAACTTCATTACTGTTCATAGAACTCAACGACGAAGTCGATGCTGTGACAACGTTCGCTTTTTAAGTGAACGGTAATGAATTTGAAGCCAGATCCGCCAGTAGTAACAGAGGCAGTGGCACCTTTTCGTTTCTTGTTTTGATCTAATCATTGCACTTGAGTGATTGTTTCGTCTGTTGAGGTATTGAAGGTTCAGTCAGCTTCGACGACTTACAGTCACTTGTACGGCTTTTTGAAGGCTACACGTTGATTTAGATTATGACATGGATTTCTAGTACCAACAACCAAGTCTGTGGCTTCCGTTAAGGCGATCAGACCTAAAGCGAAACTTGTCGTTTGCACGAAGCTGATAATATCCGCGTTTAGAAACCATTTGTTTGCTATTAGAACTGAGGTTAAATAAAAATATACTCATGTTGTTAATAATTAATTGTGTAAATCTTACTTATTTCACGGCCACAGTTGATGAGCGATTGCCAATATCTATTATCCCATTTTATAAGCTTCTAACGGTTTCTTTAACGCTGTATTAATTTCTCCGTAAATGTGTCTGATTGATCGTATAATGATTAAGTAATGATATCATGGATGTTGTCAAATGTTATTTGAACTAACTGTGGCAGATCGACTATCAAATTAGCAAGAGATATGAAAACGTTACGTTATTATTATCTGCGAATTTTCGGACTGATATATCGCATCATAGTTGACGCCGTACTTGATCGGTCAAGATAAATAAGGAAAGAAAACAACTTTTTTATGTTTCGTTAACAGATTTGTCAACCTCTTCAGGAAAAGTAACATCCCAAAATTGCTATGATTAAAAAATGCATATAATTATCTACGTCATAAATTATTTTCTTTCATGATGATGACATTATTAGAATGATTTTTCCAACACAATAGAAAGAAAACTTATAATTACCACTGTTTAACTCCAGCTGGTTCTCTTGAACTATAGATAACAATAACGTCAATCTTGTAGTCTTATCAAAATCATACTTATGAATTGTTCTTAGGTATGACTCAGCATATTGAGTATTGAGTCACGATAAGAGATAGCAGACAAATAAGTATAAAAGATAACAATGATGATCACATTGCAATTGACGTACGTTAACTACCATCGGGAAATCCGATGAAATTGAAGATATTACCACTGACTGAGTCTTATGTATTACCGTTTGATAGACCATCCAGTATTTTATTTGTATTTATTATTTCTAGTATTTTAGATAGTGAAATTATACGTGAAAATAATCTAAATGTATGAGTAGTGATTATGTATTCTTTCATATTGCCATAACTTGTTGATAATTTCAAAATAAATTAACCAATCGAATCACTTTTCAGCAAAGTAAAATCTAACATGTCCTATCAACGTACCATTCTCGTTGTCGTCCTCTCGGCCAGTGTACTATGTCTAGCACTAACAACTTTAGCAAGGTCTAAAAATGTAATCAGTGGATCTCGTCAATACGGCGATTTTTTAACCCATCGTGAAATCATTCAGAAGGACTCCAAGTGGTTGCAAATCATTGAATCTTACAAAACTTTTGTCCCTAATAATGGTGAAAAAATCACTCAAGTCCGTTTGATAGATGAAAATCAAAAGGGTCACGGTGCCACTGCAACAATTATCGCCGGTGGACCCGGTTTTACTTTTGTCACTCTTCACTACAAAAGCACGCGTGGAAATAACATCGATTTTATTACTGAAATTTACGGAAGGAATTAAATTAGTGCGATATGTGTAAATATGGACTATGTCTCTCTTATAATGCTCGATTATTGTGTTGTATGTATTGTGAAAAACATGTAGGTTTAAATGATTGAAAAATTTTTACGATAAAAGAAATGACATCTACTTTGTTTCTATATAACATGCTCAAATCTTTACTTTGGAGATGTATTGTGCCTTTGTACGTTTAATTTTCTGTTAGTCAATTTTTCAATATTTACAAGTATAGTCTGCTCTACTAATATAAGAAAAAATCTGTACACAAGTTAATATTTATTAAATATTAAAAATAAAAATTTATTGGAAGAATTACTAATTATTTATATCGCATACTTTCTAGAAATAAGAATTTGTGAGAAACAATTTCAAGTATTTAAGTTATAAGATAGGCCTGCAATGGCTCGGTCGGCAGGGCGAGGGATTCGCACCCAGTAGGCCCTGGTTCGATTCTCAGTCCCTGCTGATTGATACAAGCACCACTGAAAAAAATTTCACGTGCTTTGTTCTCAAACACATTGCATGCCACCGTCGCTGATTAGCACTGACGAAGCATAAATAGAGCGACATTAAAAAAATAATTTAAGTTATAAGTGAATGTCTTAAAAAAAATTAAATAAAGTGATTATTAACAATAACTTAGAATCATTATATTTACTTAATTTAATGTCGTACATATAATGTTATTATATAAATATATATTTAAAGTAATTCTATTTTTAAAGTATTTAAGTACTTTAAAAATTTTTCCACGAAATAACCTTTAATATTGTATCCTTCGGCCATAGACATTTTTTGTATAATTCCTTTTCTCATAAATAATATTAAATATATAAGAATTTTTTTATGGACAAGGAAGGAAATATTGCTTCCTACAAAAGAATATCATCAAAAAATGATGATATGAATCAACTCGAATAGTCGAGAAATCGATTAATCTGTAAAGACCTTTTATATAGATGGATAACGGTAATCTCATCGTCAATCGCTTGGTTTCTATCAACGCCTATCCAGGTAAGACATGTATAAATAAGCATTAAATCTTCTGAATGTTTAGCGCGAATATAATCAGTAAGTCAGTTTGATAATAAGCTAAATAATTTTCAGAATAGTAGAAAGATGTTTTCTAAACGTGGGACTCTCAGCTTCGTGCTATTGGCAAGTGTTGCGCTAGTTTTAATCGCCTCAACGGAAGCCACAGACTTGATTATCGGCACTGCGGGTCCACACGATCATCTGGCTCAACACGAATTTTTGAAGAAGCCATCCAGGTGGTTTCAAGTTATTACTGCCGACAGAACCTTCACCACTACGTCAGGTGAACTGATTTCACAAGTGCGATTGCTTGATCAGAATAAGAAAGGAAATGGCGCCACTGCTTCTGTTACTGCTGGGGGACCTGGTTTCCAATTCGTTAGCGTTCACTTTAAAAGCAAGCGTGGACACAGCATCGACTTCCTCGCTGAGCTCTATGGACAGTAAATTAAGCTATTGAGCGTCGATAGTATGCCAAAACAGCTAATAGTCTAGGTTATTAAGGAAAACTTACACTGAAAGATTTCAATAAAAGTTTGTTTCGATTAAAGTTAATTTTTGTATTTTCATTTGATAAAGGCTGATATCTAATTCGTGAAAATTTCAAAAACTATTATGAAATTGTTGTTGGACCTCTTTTTATTTATTTAGAAAAACGAAAATAATCAGCCAAAAATGCTCAGAATTTCACTGCTTATTTATTTAAAGTTTTCTTGAAATATACTACTTACTTTTTTATGAACAAGATTTTTTAGCCAGTTATGATAAATGTATTATTGAAACATCGCAGTTTTTAAAATTTTATATTTCAATACTTGTTTTAGAAATTAAGTAATTATTATCTTTTACGATTTCGCATTGCGGTATTGAACAGTTGCTTCTATTACACCTAACTTTTTCGAGTACTCAATATCAGATATCCATAAAATTATACAATTAAAGAATTGAGCTAATTGAGAAATCGATTGCCTCTTTTTTTAATAATCAGTTGCTCAATTTTAGTAACATTTCGATACCAGTTTAAACTCGAGTTAATAAATACTTGTTGAGAAAGAAGAACGTTTTTTAAGCAGTTTTTCAATATTTAATACGTGTAAAATTTTATTCAATAATTCCTTGTAAGATATATATACTAAGGGGGTTCCGCCCCCTGCTCGCTTCGATCGGCAACGTCCTATTGTCAATATTCAACAATAATTAATACAACATTTTTACAATTTGAATTAAATCATACATTGTTTAATCCAGTAAGCTACCTTTATCGTTATAAAATCTTATATATCACCAAAGCTACTCAACTTATATACTGACTTTACTTTGCGCTGGGAATACTCTAGTACGTAACATATAAAAAAAATTTTTTCAGAATCCACCATTAAATATTATGGATAAATACTTATATAATGGCACATATCTGCAAAATAGGCGGCTGCGATTGTTCTTGGCCGACTGAGAGGCATTTCCGAAGTAATTCTTTGCGCATAATTCGAATTCGAAGCCAGAATTTGTCCATCACGTCAGGTTTTTTAGATATCCTAACCTGAAGAGGCGAAAAAAGCCATTTTTTGTTATATTTCAAAATTCCATAACGTCGCGAAAAAATTTTTTTTTCCAAAATCGAGAAGAACCGTCTGTAAGCTCTATTTTTACTCTTCAAAATCCATTTTTTTATTTTCAGATATCTTTTTTTTTCATCGAGATATCGTTAATTCAAGTCAATTCAATTTCGCACATGCTTTGTATGCATATCCAAAAAATGTGCTGTTTTGAGAGTTAAAAAATATTTCTCTTTAATCAACGATATCTCAATAAAAAATAGATATCCCAAATCTTAAAAATGGATTTTGAAGAGTAAAAATAGATCTTTCAGATGATCCTTCCCGTTTTTAGAAAAAATATTTTTTAGGTTACGATATCTATAAAATAAGAAAAACAATTATCTCGTCTCTGCGTTATCAATGTACATGTGAATAAAAAAGTCGTATATGATTCCCACGATGACAAACACATTGGTAGGTCTTTGTATAATATACATGCGAACAGATAAACAGTTTATTAAAAAGGTGATTTTATTTTACTTAATAAACATCAATTAGATTTTCACATACAAAAGATATCGTGATTTCAAAAAATTCTTTTAATTATTATGCTTTTAGCCAGCGTGATCATCGCTTTCTTATACTCATTAAAACGTAACCGTTTAATCGTCGGATATCGAGGATCATGCGATCATCTGATACATTTTAGACTAAATCAAGTGGATTTAAATCTTTGAGAAATATACAAGACAGAGGAAACACTGACACTTGTTGAAAAATCAGTACGGTTTAACTATTCGATCAGAATTGTAAAGAAAATGATGCTACTGCTACTGTCATTGCTGATGGACCTGGTAACCCATATGCTACTGTAGATTTCGAAAGCAAAGGTGGATGCTGTATTAATTATGTTGTTGAATTTTTGAAAAGATAACTAAAGAGTATAATTATTTTGGATTAAATTTATTGTATTGTAAAAATGTTATGTAATTAAAATATTTTAATGAAGTGCAATTTTTTTAAAAGAATTTTTTTATTATTATTTTGTATATAAAAATACAACATAGGTAGTTTTTCTGAATTAGTAACCAGTTTATTCAATCTAATAATATTGAATCATGATAACGAATGATAGATATCTTATTTGCGTTATAAGATTGAAACACTCAGTTATCAGTTTTATTTCTAAACGATTAGTGGTATTAAAATTTTCCGAAAACAAGCTTTCGATTTCTCGTACATTATCTTATGAATGAAACATGTCATTACAGGTATATTTTTTCCTTCTAAGATTGAAACGTTTGAAGTCAAATGACGTGAGCCAGTTTGTGCAAATGGCCTCTGTGAATAATACGAGCTATTCGTATTGGCAATTTCCAAACACTCAACAGATAAAAAAGTTAATCATCTGATTTGTAATTTGAAAGATACAATATACATATGAATTCGAGAAGTTAGAAAAATTATCATAATACGACAAACTCTTATACATTACAAGATAAAAATATATAAATAGAAAATTTTTGATTTAAAATGTAATGCAACAGAAGTAAGTACTAAGGATTGTAAGAAATGAGGAAATCTCATTTTTAGTAAAGCATTTAATACTCGAGTAAGTATTAAAATCAAATTAAGAAAAAAGTTTTTTTCAGTTTAAGATATAATATGGAAATACAGAAATCTATTTATTAATAATATTTGTAATAATATTTTTTACGAAATTGAAGAAATATTTGTAATCAAAGTGAAAAAATCTTAAAATATCTTAAATATTTTTATACTTTTGTTTTTTCAGTGAACGTATCTCAAGAGTAGCAGTTACTAAAAATAAGGGAACGGTATGAAATATTTTATTTTATATGTTTCTTTACTAATTTTCAAGTTTGAAATATTAAATCGTATTAAAAATCAGTTCATGAAATATTCAGCTAGAATTCTTAAAGAGAACACAGAACATATTCAATAACAGATTGCAAAAGATTTTTCTATTAGTAAAACACTTCGAAAATCATAACTTTTAGATAAATATAATAATAGTTGGATATATAATAAGAAATATATAACGGGTGAGAGTAACAGTTTCGGAAAAAATATGAACCATAAGCTCTGAAAGACAACTTACATATTTGCATTTCCATTTTTATGGAAGAAAAATATTTTTTTTTTCAATTTTAACAACTTTAACATTGTATGCACAGGTATCGCGCAATAAAACGTCGTTACGCGTATTGTTTGAGATAAACAATGTTATAATCAGCGCGAGGATTAAAAGCAGCGTGTATATACATAAAAAGCATATTGGTTGGGGAGTTACAAGAACTGGAGCATAAAAATTATTGGAAAACGCACGAAATGGAACGTATATATATATGAGGATATAGACGTGTGGAACAAAAAATTGAAATAGTACACTGCACGCGGATAAGCTTCCAGTATGATTACAAATAGCTTTGAGTTTATTTTGGAAAGCACGTATCACAAATACAACTCCTACCATCCGGTATTATCAACTTTGCCACGTTTTCGTTGTAAAACGTGCGATCGCTTCACGCTGCTTCATTTTGTAGCCTTGATCCTCGATTTTTATACATATTTGCATCACTGGCATGCTTCGTCACTCGAGCAACGCAAGAAATTTTCCCATTTGACAAAATAAAAGCAAACTGCATTCGGGTATCGCACGGTGGTTGACAGTTTAACATTTTTCGTTCTCTTCGGAATAAATTTTAGTGCGAAACTGTAACCGCGAAAATAAAATTTAAAGATCACAGGCGTGGCTGATGGAAAACGTTCGTTAAACTCGCAGAAATTTTCAATGCAGCATACGGCGCCGTTATCAAAAATAGCCCAAACATTCGCCCGTTAACTCGTTTGCACGAGATTCGAAAAAAAATTGACACCTGAATCCGGGGGAATTCGTTTTACTCTCGCGTACATGCGAGAGAAAAGCACGAGCGATCCGATACAGCGATACAAAAAAAGGGAAAAACGACGTACGTCGTTGTCCATTGGAAATTCATTCCGATATTTTCAATTAAACTTCAACAAAAGGAGTTGGAGAGCTGATAAGCCAAAGCGACGCTTGGTCGACCGCGCAAGAAATGAAAACGGCTTTTGTGCTGGCCTCTCCCTTTCTTGACTACCGCTGCCGGCTGTGCGAAAGGAATTATCAAATTGGAACGAGACATTGTTTTTTCGATTGTTATGTGTGTATGGGAGTATATAATGTAGCTGGCATGTATTCGAAGGTGATACTATAACTTTTGTCAGCTTCGACTCTTTGTTAATTTGCTGTAGACCATGAATGCTTTTTCTTTTTTTTTAGATTTGCATTATGTTCAGGAAATTTGCCTGTTTTAATAAGTGTTTTATGATTATAGCTACGCGTGTAGACAGACAGAAATAAGTTTATTTATTTTTGTGTCTTCACTTCACTTCTGTAGAATATTTTCCTAGATTAAATAATAAAGTACTCATTTATTTATTCAAATTAATACCCTGCGGTTATTAAACAATATAAAATGATAGTTTGTATCTGAATTCGAATTTGAATAATATAGATTAATTTGGTTTACTTTATGACCTAAGATTTCGAGTCTGGCAGAGTTTTAATATCTGTATTAAAATTGTACGACAACTTAAATTACAGTACTGATCTAAAGGAAGAAAATGAGTCGTTTAAAAGCGATTTTCGTTCATTCCCATGTTTAGAAAAGCGTGCCAACCAAATTTTTTCAAAACATCAATTGTTACGATTAAGGAGACTTTCTAGGGCCTCTAATTGAGATTTTAGGGCTTGAAAAAAATAAAAATAAAATCATTTACCAAGTACTTCAAAATAAATAAATGTTCATGGTGATAACTTGTAAAGGCAGAATCGGTTTTTACAATGAAATTTGCCCGAGACTATTTACTAATTAATTATTCGCTACTAAGTGGTTTTCCTCGTCACAAACTATTAAAATGATTTTTACAACACAATAAAGAAAACTCATTGTTTTCACTGCCTAACTTAAGCTAGTGCCTATGAACTACAAATATAACGATGTTATAAATTATTGTAGCCTTATCAAATTCACACTTATGAATTATTTTTGCGCGTGACTTAGTAAGTATCGAAGATAAGAGATATCAGACCAAGAAGTATAAAAGTTATCAGTGATAATTACATTGCAATTGTTGCATATTAACGACCACGGGACGAGCAAGTTAGATTTAAGGTATTACCACTAATTCAGTTTAATATAATACCGTTTGGCAGATCATTTAATATTCATTTGTATTTATTATTTATAGTATTTTAGATAATAATTATATGTGAAAATAATCTAAATGAGACAAGTGGTGATTATGTATTCTTTCATATTGTCATAACTTGTTGATAATTTCAAAATAAATTAACCAATCGAATCAGTTTTCAGCAAAGTAAAATCTAACATGTTCTATCAACGTATTATCCTCGTTGTCGTCTTCTCGGTCAGTGTATGTCCAGCATTAACAAGTTTACCAAGGCCTAAAAATGTAATCATTGGATCTCGTCAATACGGCGATCTTTTAACCCATCGTGAAATCATTCGGAAGGACTCCAAGTGGTTGCAAGTCATCGAAGTTCACAAAACCTTCACCACTGATCACGGTGAAAAAATCACTCAAGTCCGTTTGATAGATCAGAATCAGGATGGTCAAGGTGCCATTGCTACAGTAACAGTCGGTGGACCTGGTTTTACTTTTGTCACTGTTCACTTCCAAAGCACGCGTGGAAAGAGTATCGAATTTATTGCTGAAATCTACGGAATAGTTAAATGATTAAAAAAATTTTTGATAAATGAAATGATGTTTACGTTACTACTATGACTTCTTAAATTCTTTACTTTTGAGAAGCATCGTAACTTCGTACATTAAGTTTTTTGTTAGTCATTCTTTTAGTGTTTACAAGTTTAGTCTTTTCTACTACTGTAAAAAAAATCTATACATAAGTTCATTTTATCAAACATTAAAAACAAACGTTTATTGGAAGAATTACTAATTATTTATATTGTTTACTTCTTAGAAATAAAAATGTTTAAGAAGCTAGCTCAACTTTTTGAGCTATAAGTAAATTCTAAAAGAAGTTAGATAAAGTGGTTACTAACAATTATTTATATTTGTAATAATTATATTTTTAAAGTATCTAAGTATTTAACAAATTTGTTCATAAAGCTATCCATAATATTTATCGAGATATACGTATTGAAAAAAATGGCTTTTGTAATTATTAGAAAAATGCTGGACTGAATATATCTTGCTAAATGGATCAACCTAACAAATATAATAACCAACTGGAAACTTCAACTTTTTTTCGAATAACCGTTTCTGTCGCATCAATGCAGCTGCGTAAAAAATTATGTAATAATTTGTAAATTACGTTCTGTTCAAGGCCGTGTAAACTTTTTTTCACGCTAATCTTTCGGGGATAGACGTTTTTCGTATAATTCTTTTTCCTGTAAATAATATTAAATAATTGATAATTTGATTACTGATATGAATGAAAGATTGTTTCCTATAGAGAGCGTAATCGAAAAACGATGATATGAATCAGCTCGAATAATCTAGAAGACGATTATATCGATAAAGACCTTCTATAAGAATGAACAACAGTAACATTGAATCGTCAGTCTTTTGGTTTCTATCAACGTGCATCCAGGTATAAATAATCTTACAATCTTTTACGAACATAATGTTTTGCGCGAATGTAATTATTAGGCCACTGCGATAATAAGCAAAAATAATTTTTAATAATTTAAAACTTTTTTAATAATTATTAAGCCATTTCGATAATAAGCAAAAATAATGTTTAGAATAGAAGAAAGATGTTTTCTAAACGTGGGACTCTCAGCTTTGTGCTATTGGCAAGTGTTGCTCTGGCTCTAATCGCCTCAACGGAAGCCGCAAACTTGATTATCGGCACTGTGGGTCCACGCGATCATCTGGCTCAACGCGAATTTTTGAAGAAGCCATCCAAGTGGATGCAAGTTATTACTGCCGACAAAACTTTCACTACTACGTCAGGTGAGACGATTTCACAAGTGCGATTGTTGGATCAGAATAAGAAAGGAAATGGCGCCACTGCTTCTGTTACTGCTGGGGGACCTGGTTTCAAATACGTTAGCGTTCACTTCAAAAGTAAACGTGGACACAGTATCGACTTCGCCGCTGAGCTCTATGGACAGTAAATTAAGCTATTGAGCGTCGACAGTATGCCAAAACAGCTAATAGTCTAGATTGTTAAGGAGAACTTACACTGAAAGATTTCAATAAAAGTTTGTTTCGATCAAAATTAATTTTTATGGTTTCATTCGATACGGTCTTATTAGCTCAGGCTTAATTCATGAAAATATTAAGTCATTTTCAAATTTTTGTTAGTTGGCTTCAAATAAAACTAATCAGCGATGAAGTGTTTATTGATTATAACTTTTCTGGAGATATACTACTTACTTTTTATCAAAAAGATAACATACTTAATTTGTGTAATATTCCGAGATAAATGTAAAATAGTCAATGAGTACTCGTTGATATTAGTCGTTCTTAAGTAAATCGAAAAACGTTTTCTCGTGACTCGCATTCAACTCGTACAGTTAATTCGAATTCCCAACTTAGTAATATATGCCAGAAGAAAAAGCACGTACACGCGTCTATGTGCCTTTACGCGAGCGTATTGGGTCGTATAATAGAGGGATGGCGAGAAAGCGATAATTAGATGCCTGTGGCGCGCGCGGCCGCAAATGTCAGGCTGTCGGAAGAGCTGTCAACCAAGCTAACGCGGAAGCTCAGTATGCTGCTAGCTGCTGCTGCGTCACGGAAATCGGGAGAGAGAAAGAGCCGCGACGCCTTTTCAATTGCCACTGCAAGAGTTTTTGATGCAAAAAAGCTTGCGCTTCTATAATGAATTGTTGTAGATGATGTTTGTATAAGCCTTTCAATAAATGCTATGCGCATTGGCTTCATCGAGTACACTTGGTTAATAGTATGGAGAAGAGATGATTTCTTTTTTATTATTCCGTGGAAAGCTATGAATTTCATTATAAAAGGAATACTACACAGTAGAACACTTCATTAAAATTAAGCAATAAAAGATTCTCGAACACAATTTGAATGATAATTGGAGAACATTACCCGGAATATGAATAAACACTCAATTAAGTTAAAGTATTCAAAAAGACAAGGCGTTGAAACAGTCATTTTGTCAAAAAAATTAAACATTTATCTGTATACACTTCCGCGTGATTGTTAATGAAAACTTTTTACAGAAATCTATAGTCATCGGGACACTATAAGTGGCCGTTAAAAATGTCGAAGGTGACGGTGACATTTACGATTAAACACTACGCGATATCAAAAAATGAAAAGCAACTAAACTTGGAAAATGGAAGAAAAGTCACGTTATTTGACAAATATGAAAGCGTCAAGTACACTTGTCGCGTCGATCGTTAAGTGACGAAGCAAAAGCGTCATATGTCATTTAGTACACGACTGCGAGTTAAAAAATACAAAGTAAGAAAGTTGTATTGAAAATGGTGAAAAATTCATTGCATCCACTTTTTCTTTCATTTCTCGGGTGGAACTCAAAGATGCTTTCGCTTGAACCATGTAAATCACGACATTTAAATACTCTGACTTTCGAGAATGGTTCTACTATCTTTTCCTTTCGACATGCGTATCTTGTTAATAATGTCCTTAGTTTTAATTATGATTTTTACACTTTCTTTATAAAGCGAATGTCGTTGAGAATTTCAATTTGTATGAAGGATGAAAATTCTCTATTTTTAACTGAAAAAAAAAAAATAGGTTTTCAAGTAAAATTTACAAATCTAAATTAGTAACAAGACGTAGTAAGCTAGTTTTTTCTTAATGCTTTCTATTTCCACGTAAAATGAAAAATCTCAAAGCTACTCGCTTAATAACACGCAATAAACAACAACGGAGCTAAACGAATACTTGATGGCGCGTATATTTCTGTGAATGCACGTCGCAAGCGCGCAATGAGAGACGTGGGAATATAACGTTTCGAAAATGCGCACATACGCGTATATGCAGGAGTATAGAGATGTGCGAGTGTGTACGTGTGCATTCGATGATCGATAGAATTCGAAGCGCGCGCGTACGTCGTACGACTTTTAAGCGGTTCACGTTCGAATTCACACATGCGGCACATATTACTGTCATTTAGCACCCTCTCGTGCATATATATATGTGTGTGTGCGTGTGTAGTTCAGGCCATTTCATAGTAGCAACACGCTCTCGCTCCCCGATATATTTCGCTTACGCGAGATCTGAAAGTTTTTCGATTGCTGCTGCTCTCTTTTTTTTCTTTCTCTTCTTGAATGGATGGGGTGGCCTTTATTCTGCATTGAAGTTTTTCTTTTATATAGCTGAAAGCTGGTTTGCATATTGTAAAAGTGAAAAAAAAACATTGTAGTTGAACATAGTAACAAGTTTTACTTGAATCGAATGATAAAAATGACTGGAAAGAGTACTCGTTTATAGTTATCCGAATCCGTACGCAGACAATTATTTGAACGGACTGATGGCCATTGATTTGAATAATTTAAATTACGACTACACTCAAATTAAAAGTATCCGGAAAAACTAAGGAGTAACAAAAGTGAGATCCTAAAGTGCAAAATATTTTATCATGAAATCAATATGCTAATTAATGAGATATTTTTGTCAGAAGTTTGATAACTTACTTATGAATTTAAGGTAGTTTATGCGAATTAATCAATGTAATTCGAAGTATTTTGACCAGGTAATTCAATAGAAAAAATTGTTAATTAATAATTTTGCAAAATTTTCGATGGACAAACTTGAGCTTTCAATGTGCAGTATTTCATGGAATTCATAGAATTCCTCTTTTAATGATATCATTATTTCTTGAAGTTCTTTTGAGGGCTGAATAGCAACAGAAACCGAAGCAATCAATAATGCAAGACCGAAAAGCATATTCAGATGCAAAAATCTGGTCTTTTAAGTATTCATCATTAAGAAACTTAGTAAAATCCTTTGAGATGAGCTTTAAAAATAATGCTGTCATAACCAAAGTGAATATAAAGAACAATCAATTGAGTATTGTTATTATTTTTAAAAGCATGGCACGGAAAACACGTTTCACAAATTCACGTGGCTCATCCGTTCAGTGGCTTTGAGTACAAAAGCTAATTAGTTTAGTATGGCGCAACATTCAAGATAATTGATGCTTAGAGAGATGAATTTTTGTTGAATGAATACTAGCTGTGTTCGGATTAAGGAATAACAATGTTATAAATAACTAACGGTAATTTATGTCGAATACTATAAATGTATTTGGTATCCATATGAAATTCATTAATATACCAAAAATTTTCTTAAGACAAACATTATCTTATTTTCAGAAAATATTTTAATATTTATGTCATTTCTTTTCCAAAATAAAAAAATATCTAATTTTGAAATGATATTAGCATAAAAAATTCATTACTTCTTTTAATAAATAAATAGCTAAAAATAATAAATCTTACAACAAGAGTTATGTTTTAAATTAAAAACATTGAAAATTAAAAAAAGCAAAGCACAAGTAGGACAGTTTATCATTGTGTTTGCTTATGTGGTTCTATTGATGTTTCATAATTGCACAGATCTTAAAATAACAAGATTATTTATGGAAAACATATAAAATCACTCGCTGCATAAAAAAAATATCTTAAATATTGCTGTATTACTTATAAGAGTTTTTCTTAGAATAAAAACTATGTTTCTTAAATTACGAATTTTCCTTCTTATTTGTAAAGGAAATTCAAAATAACAGTATATTTTCAAATAAGAAACATGCTACTCGTTAGAATAAAATAATCAAAAATTACTTGAAGCAATAATATTTATTTAGTTGACAATATGATTGATCGGTGCAGACAATTAAGGAAAGAAATAACTTTTTGACATTTCGTTGTTACAAACTTGTTAATCTCGTCAGAACTTTTATTATGAAAAACAGAATGAATAAACAACATGAAAAACAAAAAAATAGTATGTAAATCAGATTGATACAACAAACAAAACAACTTAAAAAATAATAGCCTAAAATTGCTATGATCAGACCAAATACATGTAGTCTTACAATTACGATTTGATTTTATATACTCTTCTACCCGATCTTTGATCCGTAGTAGGCTTGTAATAGGATTGTATATATTACTCAGTTTAGCAGTAGTCTCTTATTATCATTAAAACTCTTAATATGTAGTATTTCTGAGACCAAGCTCTTCCTTCAGTTAAACTCGAAATCCAAAATGTTAAGGCCAATCCAAACAAAATTGCGATTAAATTTTTTGTTATGTATCACCGCATCCTTGTTTTTATTATTCTTATGATCATTAGTAAGTATTTTCTATGTCCGTATAGTTTCGTACAACCCTATCGCATTATTTATAATTCAGTTTATACACTGTTGGTCCGACCAATTTTTATAGTCGTATTCTTGTCCAATTTTATTATCGTTAATCTCTACTAAACATAATTTTTCCTATACTCTAAAGACTTTTCTTATTCACACGATTTGCTTTTCTTTCATCTAAATTTATTTGTTCATTTATTTTACATCGTCTGTATCGATTTATGCTAATAATACATTGCTATGACGTTTCTCTCTCTCTCTCTTTCTCTTTTCCTTTCTAATAAACTCTGTATCGCAAACATTTTTCTAATACTTTCTCATTCATTTGGTCATACTCAGCTGTATCATCGCTATAATATGTAGATAGGTGCGCAAAAATCGGCCATACAAAAATTTTTTCGTTAAAATTCACAAAGGTATACATTCATTGACGCCATGATTTACAATTTGTTCTCATTCGATGTCAAAACTAAAACAAGTCTCTGGCAGAACTTAATCACCGTATAATCCTAATTTCCGTAAGCTAATCCACATTTATGAGGTGAACTTCTCTCTCACACACACGCAGGCAAAGTTATCAAGGCAAATCGTCATCTCACAGCTAAGGCAAATGTATAAGTGGGAGTAGGGAAAGCCTCATAGCGGTAAACTAATCCCTAAATAACCGCGATGTAATACTAATAGGAGGCGCGCTGCCGGCGGCTGTGGCTGTTGGGGGCTAAGTGAATTAGCCTCAAGTTTAATCTTAAGTTGAGCGAAATCTCATCCCTCTCTGTCTCTCTCTCTCTCTCTCTCTCGTCCCTCTTTGTCTCTCTCTCTCTCTCTCTCTCTCTCTCTCTCTCTCTCTCTCTCTCTCTCTTTCTCTCCCCATCTTCACTAATACGCATAAAAATATTCAGCTGGAATGGCTACAAATCGTGCAAGTTTCGTCGACAACGAACCAAGTTTAAAGCAAAACGGCTCGCCTGTCACGAAACCCGTACGTCTGCGTCCGAGAATGACGTTCGTCTCTTCTATCGTTTTCCCATCCTTGGCTGTATGTTGTTTTGCTGCTGGTGTTCTGCTGCTGCTGCTGCTGCTGCTGCTGCTGCTGCTGCGATGTAAATCGAAATGCCTCGAGGCAACGGCAAGAGGAGTCATAATTAAAATCGGCGCCGTCGAGCGGAATTACGGAAGTGCAAGTCCGGATAATTCGGGGATGATGTAGTAGCAACCCCTCCATCTGAAAAGAACCTTTTTCCATCTCTGCGTACGCTCTTCAAACTACGTTCGATTTACACGAAACAGGGGGTGTTAACACTGCGAATCGAATGTTGGATATTATCTAGAAAATGGCGTAAATTATGTATCTGCGATGTTGGTTTGTCTTATAAATGTTGATGACAATGTTTTGGTCGAGTTCTTAAAATGATTATCTCGAAATTAATTCTGCTTTACGAAAAATTTCATTGAGCAATAGTTAAATAATAATTAATAGTATTTTATAATAGTTAATAGTATTTTTATTTTAATATAGAGATATCGATGCAGTCTTACTACGTTTCTTTTTATAAAAGTAGATTTGCTCAGTTTTACTTTCAGCGACATTCGAATTGGAACGTTAGACCACAAATCAAATAAAGTGACGTATGTACTGGTGTGTGCCTGCGTGAGAACCGTAATTAAAGGTAACGAGTGTGTGTAATCTTTCAGAAACCACTGTGATACTTTACTT